TAAGGAGAAATCCGTCTTTCTTTCTTCTTCAGCTCTTTTTCCTTATTGTTCTTTCACAGAGACACACATGCACGCAACAAAACCTCGAGTACATTGTAGAATTGATGCTAAGACTAAAGAAGCGTCTCTCAACCTAGCGATCAATAACAGGAGCGAATCTAGGGTAGCCCGCACACCGTGGAACACATTAACCCTGTAGTTTTCAGTTAGAGGTGATGGTAACGGATACGTATGCCCTGAACGCGCCGGTGGTACGCTACAATGACGAGGGTAACCTCTGCTCATGCTTCGTGCTATATGCTAGGTCTCCTAGCACAGAGCAGACTAGACCTGATTGTAATTGCCATTTCCTGTCTCAGTGTGGTTGCCTGTACAGGTTTTTCTCTGGTTACGCTTCCCTTGCGGCCAGTCAATCGGTGTCAAAGTGAAAGCAGTGGGCGGCTTTGAAACACAATGACCTTACATTCATTTAGACAAATTAATTAGTTGTAATTAATTGTTGACGACGACAGCAGGTTGACTAAGGCGGCTTCCAAAGAGCAACGACTCACTCTACTTTCTGGACGCGTCTGCTCCTGTTTGGTTCTTCCTGCCACGTCTCACCTGAGGCGTCTTCGTCCCCTGGAACAGTTGTTTGCGTCGGGCTCGATGTAATCTGCCATCGACCAACGGCTGGTCGTGGACTGCTCCTACCAAACTGTGTTCCAGGACCCAACCTTTTGTAGAAAATTGAGCATTAACAAGGCTCTGCATATCATTCGATTGTGCAGGGGTCCAGTGAGAAATTTCAATAATACACACGGGTGTATAGGGACACGCTCTGTGTGCCCGTTTGTTTGGCATGACTTCCAAACCACATACACCAATAGGTAAAAATATTTGACGAGCTACGGTCTATAATGAAATAGTTTAAGAATTTAGCTATTTTAGTTTGTTTCGCTTTTCCAAGAAATTTTAGTATTTAGACATACAACATACATAATCCACTTTTCTCATTATCTAGTTTTAATAGCAATAATAATAGGAGCGAAGCTATTCACTACTACTCCTTCGATTCGTTCTCGATAGACTCTCGAACTCCTAAGGACTATCGGTAAACATCTATCTACGCCCTATACGTCATATAATAATAGGACAAAAAAAATAATTCCTCGAATTCAAGGATTACTATACAATAGGCCTTCAGTTGATAAAATTTTAGGCCCAGTTGCTAACAGATCGGATACTATCCACCGTAGCTAAGCCTCTACCTTTTTAAATTTCTTTAAAACATATTGTTCTACTATACGGCATGCTCCGACGGCATGTCACTTATCCAGATAGCGCGTGACATAGCTACAGAAGCTGACGTCTTATCATTCTTATTCTGACGATATCTTTGATGCGAATTATACATACAACAAATTTCGGATGTCTATCTAACCCTAATCATCAAATGACCTCAGTCTGGCATCATTATCAGCATCAATTCGATAGAGAATCTTATCTGTGGTCTATAGTTTCCAATGTTCGATGAACGCGAGCTCGCCAGCACGCGCCTAATCGCATAATGAACTACCCTCGTATATATAGAGTAAATATTGTACATAACAGCATCTCTAAGGTAGAAATGAAGCAACGTAGTACGAATCATTCTAATATATGTAGGTACACCTTTATTAACTGTAGGGACCGATGAAGAGTGCCGAAGAGAGATGAGTGCGTGGGTGGATTACGCATGAGGACGCTCTTAATGTGCATAGGATATAACTTAATTCGCATCCTTTTCTAAAAAAAAAAAGCCAGCTCTCTCTAACGGCGGCAATAGACTTTATACTATTCCCGTCGCAGGGTTGCGCGCAATCTTTCTGCCAGCTCGACGCGGTCCCACCTGCTACTCCGCCCAGACGACTAAATGGAGCGTCAAACATGCCGATCAAGTCTGTCCAGTTGGGGTGGACGGCCACCGACAATGGGAGCCGTCACGGTAGCGGAGGCAGTCCATTTTGACACGCACACTGTAGGGAAAACAGCAGACGCTCGAAAGTTCTGTTCAGTTTCTGTCGATCAACCAGTAGCAAAAACGGCTGGAAGCTAGAGCTTTGTGCTTGCGCTAATGGCGGTAGGCGTGAATGAGGCCAATGAGACAAACAGAGCAAAGGATCGGAGCACAGAAAAACAGAGATACTGTGAGAAAAAGATTTAAAGAGGTCCACGAATAACGGTCAGTCAATAGCATGGCTTTGGATAGGATCACACAGCCAAGTCGGATTACTGTTGAACACATAATCATCTGAGGACCGCGTTTGCCTTTAAAGGAGACTAGTCAGATCTTTGCCCCAACGTGTCGTTTTCATCGGCTGCAGGCACTGGTAGAACAGTGTAAACACGGAGCGCTTCTTTTCGTTGTGCCCCATACAAATTACTATCACAACAGTTCTCGTCAATATAGCGCATGACAGCGGGCTAATATTATCTCAGATCTTGTTTGTATTTATATACGTATACTTATTGTTTTCACATGCATTATGCAACATACAAATGCATCTTAGATCGGTGGATAAACACTTTCTTTAAAAAAGTCATCTGCAACTTACAGCATTTACAAAAGTTACGCTATCTGCCAGTTAGTTATTAAGTGGGATACAAACGGGTCACGTCCATTTTTTCTATCCCATACGGTTGCGTGATGCTCTTAACATCCGTCCATAGTTCTATTACACCAAACAGATGTACAGATCCAGTTCTCCGGAAGGAGGTGAAATACAACGCATTGTAAGCGGTAATCGTGTTATATAGTCCTTATCTAGTATAACGTCAAGCTATAATATATAAACGAGTACCATTTTTTTTTTACGAAACTATTACAATCCACACTGGTTCTTAGACACTTTGACACTAAACAAAATTGTAGGACCGACGATTTTTCAAGAAGATTGTCTTGGACCGATTTAAGATACATATCTCTAAAAGTATATGAAAACTGCTTAGAACTGCAGTTATCATTAACTTAATAGTACTCTACTATACAATATATGTACGTGTTTTTAAATTTCACATTGCTTAATGCAGATTGCTTTATGAACGATCGTTAGACACGATCATGACTGCAGGAAGAGAGTACTGAAGAGAAGACAGAAGCTGTGTGTGCGTGTGTGTTAGGACAGAACCTTATATGGGTATATACCCCATTTCTACACAGCCCATTTTTCTCCCACTATCTTCTTCCGCCAATTAGGTGACAACTGTCCGCGATTAGGCATTAAAGAAACAAGGAATTACCGGTTATGGCAAAAGCAATAGGACTGCAGAGAATTCCTTATGATAGCGTAGCTTGTACCATACAATTTAGCGGTTCCAGCTCATGCGGGTTCTAGCTGCAGCTAGGTCGCTGAAATAAGGGCTGACCAAATCGAACCATTTTACCATTCGTAAATAAGTTCTATTTTTCAAAACACAAACAACAGTCGATAAGTGCACGGGTAGCCTGCCTTCAATTGTCGGATGAACGCAATGCTATAACTAATAGTGGGCACGTACCTACGTGTTATCTAAATATGAATGATAGTTATGTCGATATATTACCACGGATTTTTCACGGCAAGCCAAATCCTTCATCTAGGGTGTTCAATATTGAGGTCACGTTCCTCGATTTTGCAAAAAACCTGTTCAGATTACTTGTTGTAAGCTTTTTGCGATTATCATCAGGTCAAGTCAAAATCTAGAACCTGGCAATCAAATGGCTTCAAACACAATTTATTATACGCAACGGGGTGTGTCATCCAACGTGCTTTTTGTGAAATAAAATTGTTTCTGTCCCACAACACGGCCGCAGCACCTAAGCGAATACCTACAGAGTGCATGGAATAGACTACCGTCTATATATACGATCACGTCTACATACGTGGAAATTGTCAAGTTTCCATCCAGCAACAATGGAATAACTTCTAGGTTATCTTATTGGTTATGCCTAGCAGCGCACGGCGCCTATTTTAACGATAACCAAGAGCTGTAGATTTTATTGCCGAATAATAAAGAACTATCGTCTTCAACAGAACAATTACGACATTCTAAAATTAAATTATTGTTTACCAAAAAAGTACCAATATTGGTACGGAATGATCTGTTGAGCAAACCGATTAGAATTTAGTGCTTGGAAACGAGTGCCAACATGCCCGGTATATAGCATTTCATTATTTATAATATAAAACGAAATTGGCTGCTCCGGTAGTTGAAACACCAACCCGTATAAACGTAACATGCCTTTTACCATGTTGAACTAGTTTCGACAGGCCAGAGCTGCCTGACGCAATATTACTGCCCAAACGTGATAACATTAGAACTCTGCACGATCCATTGACACCTGCTGCACGAAAGGTCAAACAGTACCTACTTGTCTTATTAGGTCTAACCAATCTAATTATAGGCCTTTGTAGTACGGCGCCCAACGTAAAAATAATTACGCCTATGGACACTGTAAACGGTATTCATACACGTGAATATCCTTGACGCGTCCATACCATTTAAGCTATTGAAATTTAATTAGCATATAAATGTTGTCTGCGCCCGCAGTTCTGATGGCGCGCCACCACTCATAGTAAAACATTGAAAAAACAAATAAGATTTATGGTAATGCGAAGACATATTAGTTTCAACATTTCGTCTGTAAGTGGCATGCCACAACATGTCAAATACAACTAATTTACTGAAGTAATAAACCGTGCGGTTGTCAGTTTATTCAGTATATTGATTGCAGATTTAACAAGTTGCCAGCATTGCTAGCCAGCTTCTACTGCAATATAACATTGCGTTTCAGAAAATAGACTTATTTCGAATGTTCGATTAAACATAAGGTTTAAACATCTGACCAGAACTATATTGACATGATATTACTCATCCAGTAGGCCTTATTTCAGGACATCGTGTTACCCGTTATTACGTGTTACGCCCGTAGATTGCAGTTTCTATCTAAAATAATTATACGTTTGTTAAGATAGGTCTGTGTTCGGCTTGTTGTAATACAGGCCAAACATTATCTTTTTAAGTTTTTTTTTTTAGAATATGCTTGAAATTACGTCCGTAGGCTAACTGCTGAATCTCGCAGCCTTGTTTCAGGTTTTTAAACCACACTTAAATCAGTTAGTATGTTTAGACTCCCCTTCCTAAGGTAGTTCATACTCCAGCTAAATCCTGAAATGAAGAGACGGAAATGAAACGACCCAGTGTGTGCACTCAGTATTAACCGAATTGATCTTTTTTTGCTTGGAAATGCCGTCATTATACCAATTTGTATTATTTCCACATATCGGCATTGGAGCTACAGGGTGCTAACGTAAGCCGCTTAACCATTTCGTCTGTTTAATACCTAAGCTAGCAACTCAGGCACAAAGTAGGCTCACTGATCATAGCATTTTTGCCGCAGTTCCGACGTCCTGCTTTGAGTAAATTTAGGTTACATTACGAGTCACTTCTCGAATGCAAACTGCGGAAAGTCAAAACTAAATAGGGGCAGCTGTTGGAACAGATAGATATTCACAGAACTCAACAAACGCATAGATATGTTTATACGGTTTAGCTTGTTTGTCATATTATTCCGTCTGCTAGCCAATGACACGGATAGTAGTTTCGACGCGAAAATAGCGAACCTCAAAAACAAGACTATGTTGATCATCATACGAGCCATCCATTCCGGGCCATGGATGGATGGAGTTATAGCCAACCGCGAGATGAAGTCAAGCTAAGGCTGGTCTTAAAAAAGTGCTCAGTCTAGTTGATTACTATATTGTCTGAATTAGGCTAACATCAGCGTAATGTTTCAATCGTCGAAATTGTAATAGTATCGAGTCGTAATGGTCCGGAAGATTGCGGATAACAGGCCAACGGTTGGCCTCGAGGATACCAGTAGTCAGTTGAAGGTTTCAATTTTGGGCCATTTGTCATTAGGGAAGGACGGGTCGATCAATAAAAGATGGGCCAAACCTGTTGTTCAGGTGAGAAATGCACGACCATGTAAAAGTTGACTTGAGCCCTAACGAAAGGGCAGCTAGCGTCGTATATTGCGCAGACGACTGTAGAGACAACCGTGACGGAGTACGTCGAGAGAAACCAAACGCAATGTCAACAATACCTCTATGTGAATTGAGCAAGAAACATCGTCCATCCCGTATTCATGGCGGAAACTCAAAATAACGAAACATTTTGCTATATTAGCTAGCGTGACTTGACAAAATCTGCGCCCGATGGTTTTCCATACCATCTTAATCTTTTACTCTATGCCATCTAGGTTTGCCTTTATCTTGCTTTCGTAGTATGCATACATTTACTTCTTACGGGGCTAAAATTGAAAACCACTGTGAAAATAGAAGAAAAAACAGCGTAATATATATATATAGAAAAAAAAAAGTATGGATTATATATTTTTAGCCTTATTAATAATGTCCGTTAGCTATATCTCTGAGATTTTCTTTCATGTAGCGGGCGTTTAAGGCGGAAGCTTCAAGATTGCGACCGGTGGTTCAACGTCATCGGCGTACGACGATGTCCCGCGGGTCTCCATTGAGACTTTTGAGAGCTCACCGGACGACACACCGCCGGAGACTGAAGAGAAGGACATTGAAGAGCGAGCGACAACCTCCACAGCGCCATCTCAACATCAACAACGGCAACAAATGCCTCAACACAATGGCACTGGTGGCTGCAGCACCAGCGGTTGCCACTGCAACACCGGATACGGCTGTAGCAGAAACGCCAGCGAAGACTACAAAAAGACTACAAACAGACCAACAGCGTACCAAGCGACGACCGTTGCTAAAAGCCCACAAACTAAACGGGTCAGCAAACTCACAACAAACTCAAAAAACTCACGAGCGAATTGACGTTTCAATGAAAAGTCGAATGATTCTCACTTTAATTCAGAATAAGAATCCAATTTTCGGGTGCAATCTGAAATATTTTTACCTTCATCGTAAGTGTCATATGGCTATCGTGGCAAGATATTTAATTTCCTGTAAGATCCGTTGTCCACGCTAGCATAAAGTACGTAGAGCTAGAATCTTTTGAAACAATAGTGGCTAGGAAAACCGTCTACAACTAGTTTCCACTGCAATTTAATCACGTACAGCAGGCTTCACATGGCTTGTAAAGCTCACATCCTGGAACTATTCCTGACAGGATCGACTCAACCGTTCCCTCCATAAAATGAAGTAAGCAACACTCAGTTTGTTTCATTTAATTGGATTTGCCAATGTCGTCATCCAATCTTAGGTTGCATTAGGCAAAACTGATGAGCTAAACGCATAATTAGGGTACTCGTAACAGAAATACAGAACGGAAAGTAGCGACTAACGTATAAAATATTCACTATAGACCAGAGAAAACACAGAAAAAAAACATTGGCCGAAAAACCCGCAGTATAACTATTGACCCTATACCTGAACGAGTAGCTTAGCTTGGCCTAACTTTGTTCACGTAAAACTTTTGCGGCCCGAACGAGTCGAAGTAAGTTGATTACAACGAAGGATGTTTTGTACGCATCTAACCAAGTCAAACGCGAGACCACATTTGTATATGACGCGAGATGGATTCCAAAGTCCAATCCACATTTCTTACTTTGGAATGTTTAACCAAAACATTTGATACGGGCGCGCCCTTCATAGTGCTTTATCTGTAATTTTATGTATTAGCAAAATATAGAAGATTTGAGGAGAATAATGATAGTTCAGAGTATCCCGTGCATAAAATCAGAAACACAGATGTATCCTTTTACGAAAGTACGTATGTATGTAAGGATGCAATGAAGAAAACGAGAATACTTATCGGTTGTTACGTGTGAAGACAATGTCATATCAGAATAGTTTTTCCACATATTAGGCTATATGGAGTAAAATAGAACAACAGATTTTCAAAGTGGTAGTTCTCTTTTGTTCATGTTATATGGCGATGCTATATATCTATTTCGATCTGAAGGTCACTTTCTAATGTCGTTGTAGACGCCGATGGCGACGTGCTCCCAGTGGTCTACTGAAGAAGAGAGTCCAAGTCATCCTGTGCCTCGGCTGACACCCACCAGCCCCTCGCCAACTCGGAGCCCTCCAGACCGCAACAAAACGAAAGGGAATAGTATTGGTCAGGGAGAACCTGTGGACGGGGGTGGCGCTAGTGACCTTGGTGCCCCCAACCTAAGGGGCGGCGAACAGGGTCGACGAATCTTCCGCGAGCGGTTTCATACAATGACAACGATTGATAATGACTCATCTTCCGGCGAAGACCAAGATGAAGAGGCTCGTATAATCAAAGAAAACCCTCTGGTGCTTGTCAAGGTATATTGATGTACGGCTCTCTACTCTAACATTGCATGGAAATCACCTAAAATCTGCGCCTACGATTACCTCCGGAAAACAAGGAGTTGCGTGAATAGTATTTTTATAACCCATGTAAGAGAGCTAGCTTTTGTTGGGGCTCTATGCAGTACTCTTTAAGAATTCACTAGATTTTACATAATGCCGATACAGTAAGACAATGTTTATGATATTCGGCAAGATCAAGCTTGGCTGCCCTTGTATGCAGTAGCATCTGCAATTCGTTCCTTATTGATCTCGTCAGTGTGGCTTCTATTACCGTAGTCTCTCGGAACAAAAGGGGAGACAAAAGGGCGGCTCCTCGAGATCCCCTTATTCTGTGACGCAGCATTGATATTTCAGTGCAAAATAAAGGACGACGATAGATAGGGCATTTAAATGCTTCTCAACTCTATTAGCATTAGGACCCTGCTAATTTGGACGAGAAAGAACAATGAGCACAAAGCCAATCAGTGTGAGCGTACTGTTCAAAGCACAATAAATCAAACTAAAAAAAACCTAGGGGCTACGACGTCTAACAGAACGGAGTTTACCAGCAGAGCTAAAGCGTATTCCAAGTGGTCTATGCACGTTAACCAGGTCTCCTATCTAAACAGATCTAAAGAGGTACTATCGAACAGGTGGTATTATTACCTGCATAAGAGTCTGCGTTGATTCTATGATTCAAGTTGCCTGCCTCTAGTTGACATTTGATTGGTATTTTAAATTGTTTGTTTGCAAGTGGAATGTAATTAAACTTGAATGTTCAGAACATTAGAGGATTGTTGTAACTTTTCCGCGCAAAGTGAGCCCCATAAGTGCACTAGAAGTTTCCAAATTTGGAAATTCTTGGTCATTGAAAATGTGTATACACCGGCGAAATCAATAGATTCAACCCAACTTAAAAATGATTCATTTACACTTTATGCTACCCGTTACTAAACGCGTAGTAACGGAACCAAGGGGTTCGTAAACTACAAGTGTCTTTCAATTGATCACTGGTCTGTTACTAAGTTTTTATAGTTTTAAGTTAAGACTTACTTATATTATACGAAACAGCCAGTGCTGTAATTAGGGAAGACTAATTTCGCCATTGTTCCTGTACGTTTCAGCAAGCGTCTGAACTACTTGAAGATGAATTGGATGAAATGGGTAGCATAGATAGCGATAGCACTGCGCAGGATGCTCTTGTGGCTCTCCAGGTAAAGCATATTACGTCACGCAGTGTTTTACATAATATACATGAAGAACGTGACTTATCGAAGAGTTATATAGAACTACATAGGAATAAGCAGTAGCAACAGAAGAAGAAGATCTGAATGGAACATAATATGAATACGGACTTACCCCCCCCCCCCCCCACTGATGTATGAGTGTTTGCCACTTTTGTTGCGCTTTCTAAAATTGCAATTCATTGCTATACAGTTGATCTTCCCTGCGGATTTTTGCAGCAACGCTATAAATGCATTATGGCATGCAGCTGTTTTCATTATTGGTATAATTCGAAAGATTATGATATCATTCTTCATGAAACATTTATTCAATCGCAACTATTCGATTCTTTCATTAAGCTACGGACAGCTTCATTGCCTGCTTGGGTCGTATGTAAGCGGCAGGTCGATGTCGGTAACGGTCGGTCACGATCTCATTAGTTAGGAGAGATGATTTAGGTGAACCTCACGGGTCGTACTAGGTAATAAAACGATGTCATCATAACAGTGACGCTACGAAGTTAACTATTTACTGAATGTTGTTTATGGGCACACAGGACCAATTTGCAAACCCGATACGTTCTACGTTCAGTCATTCACGTGCGTGTTATCGACGTAGCGAATATGACGTTTTTTGCGAAAAACAAAAGCTTCAGATCATTTGAAACCGAAACCTGGCTTGCTCGTCGGCAACAGTTTTGTGGGGGATGGGGTATTCCAACAGTTGGCAGCCATACACCTTAATACGTATCTGATCTGTAGAAGTGGTACAGGTCAATCCCTCCATATTATAAACGATCGATCGCCTTGCTTGGAATGACATACTTGCGGATAGATTTTTCAAACTATAGACATCTCAAACAGGAATAGATAATGCAAAAGGGAACATTCTCGCCAAGTATTAGCGAGATGTTGGAGATGATTTGACGATTTACCAGATTTGGCCGACCAATATCTTACACACAGAAACTAACTCCTACAGCATGATGAAGGATCGAAAGAGGCTATGTAGTATATTATCAATCCAAAGCATTTTCGCCCATTTTAAGCTAGATGCATGAAATCAATTTAATATCGAGAAGCGGACTTGCGAATGATCGCAATAAACATACAAATATTCAATTGGCTTCTATAGGTAAAGCTACATTCGGCCAAGAACGATCTGCTGTTTGTTCAAGGACATCACAAAATGACTCTACGGGGCCTGCACCGCGAAGTGGAACGTTTGCAAAAAAGTGTTCGGGAATTACAGTTCGCTCTGATCACACAGGGATTGACGCTGGTTGACGAAGAAGCCTATCAGAAGCGACTGCGGCAACTAGAAACCAGTCTCAATTACTGGTCAACGAGGTCTGTTCAGCAGGAGTCTGATAAGGACACTAGCAAAAAACCGATCTTAAATCTTAAAACGAACGTACAAGTGTTGTCATTTTGCAAAGTCCTATCTAATATTGGCCTGAACAAACGACGTTACGAACTGAAGAGCGAGGGTATAATTTCTACATTCTACTATTATTGTTTAAGGACTACTTAAAGGAGTTATTGCAAATATGATATACACTCGGGTAACTGTCCCAGACATTACGTTTGATTATCTGATTTTTTTCTATTAAAATCAAGTTTACGACGAAGTCGATACTCAAAGAAGTGGTGATAAAGGCTGCTGAACGGAACGTTCTCCCTAACGGGACCCTGATGCGCCAAAATTCATTCTGCCACTGAATGTTAGATCTACGTAAGAACGACTCTTGCTAGATTTTACCAGACTTAACTTGAAAATATGCCCAGTTACGGGACAATGTAAGATATATTTGTGTAGAAGAGAATCTACGTTTTTCTTAGTTTCCGCCTACCTAAAGTCAACTGAATACGCGTAGGAGCGAAGTAGACGACTTATGGATATTTTACAATTGAGGCAAGGTTACTAGTAAACATGTTAGTGTAGCGGCAATCTAAGAATTAAAAGTAAACCTCTCCCTTAAGTCTAAATCCCACCGAGTGTTCAATCAGCATATACTTTTCTTGTCCGTGGGGACAAGCCTGTGTCAATACGTTGGGGAAAGTAGTTGGTTCCTCAACGCTGATGTCGGATATCGTCATAGCATGCGATCTTTAAACATAACACAGGCAAAAATAGAACAGATGAGTTTTTAAGGATCGGGTTTTCACACATTCAAAAGTTTCTAGCTAAAGGCCATTTTATGCGGACATTATAGGTTCGTACGCGGTAAAATAGTTCAAGAATATTGGAGAGGCAAATATGCATAACGAGCGTTTGACAAAAAACTTCTCAATTGACGAGCGCAAAATCCTCGTATTGTACTTTCAGCGCACATATAAAGAATTTTGTGAAGCAACAATTGTTATCCTACAACAGCAGGCTTCACTTCAACTAGCCAAAAATTGCTAAAATTTCATCTCTAGAAGGTCTAATCGTAAAGGGAGAGATCGACGACCCTGGCACCTGCGTCAAGTATCGCCAAAAGTTTCGTCCAGCCGAACTTAGGCCTGTTTGCCTTGCATTTTGTGCGTCAATGTGCCTATAGGAATCTACATAGTACACGTGCAGGTTTTACCAGGATCATTTGGCCAGGAGTGATCGAGTACCGTTCTCTACCTGCTATCCCCCTGAAATAACAAGAGAAATTATCGTATTTTTCGGAGAGTGCTCCGTTACAGTTGCTAGATTATCTCCCCCAGGTTATCCTGAACATGATATGATTCAAACATGACAGAGAGCTAACATAGTTTGATGGCACAGTGTAGGCCTAATCGAACACGCAATCTGACTCATCGACTCAATATCCGCCCCTGCCGCATAATGTTGACACCCAAGTGATATCTTTAGAATAATATGCCATTATTTCCCTTCAATATGGAGTTCCATTTCGCGTTTGAAATAGCGCATATACGCAGAGAATATATGGATGAAAAGGGCTGCATGTACGGTTTGTTAGTCAATACTGTCTAGTATATATATATATATATATATATGAGATTCCTTCCGCGTTTCGTTTGCACCTGCCCTTCATTTCGTGTTTGTTTTCTCTTTAGATGTAATTATCTTCGTAACCAAGTGACGGCATCAAACAATCAAATTGTGCAGTTAAATTATCAGATGCAGCGGCGAGAGGACGAGCTTGACGCGATGATTCAGCAACGCGACCGGAATATCGCACTTCTCAAAGTGAGCTGATGGACGTTAAGCTTCTTGTCAACCATAGACAACGTCTTACTATACCGGTTCAATATTACACCATATGGTGATGGCTACTTACTTTGAAAATAATCATTAGGCACGATAGTATTTTATAGTGATTTTATTTTACTGTCTGTCTACTAGCGCGAATTGGAGCTTAAAAGCATCGAAGTTGAGGTACTTCGTCAGGTAACAGAATCCCCGCCTGCGTTGATTGACGATCGCCCACCTCTCAAACGAGCTCATTCAGACGTTAGCAGGTGGGTGAGCTATAAGATCATGAAAAAAAATGGTTGAAATATCTTGCGGACACTACGCGAGACAAGTTCTTTGGATTATACCAACAGTTCTGTTCACGGCCAGGTAATTACGACTGTAGCAAAGATCCAATGAGACAGCGGAAAATTATGCATGTTCTATATTGTTTTGCTACGTATTTTCAGAGGCTCGACAGATATACGCAATTGCACGCCTCCACAGGCTCCGCGAACTCCACAACATCGACGCAAGATGCTCCGCCTCCCGTTGTTGGTATCCCGAATGCTTACGATGTCTGCGTACAAAAAGAAGCCACCAGTGGCAAATGCTGCCGCATGTACCCAGCAAGCGTCACCCAAATCTCGTCAAGTCGCACAAGCGAGAAATAAAGAAAGAGCCTAAGGGACCTCGCTTGCCATTCGTCTATCTTTAGCGCAGTAGAGAGAACTCACATTGTCGCATAAGGCCAACAGCAAGGCCATGGCTGTAAGGATGAGAGTGTATCCATTCTGGCCAGCTAGGCTAGGAACTCAGCCGATCCCCAGCGGCAAAAACAAAATGACCTTCCTAATTTGGCAAGCAAGAGCGGCTTGATACTGTACAGACACAAAGACACGTCTACCTACAACACGGAAACGTACTCACATGCACACATACGCCTACATATACATTATCGCTGACCCATTACTGCTACAGTCACATTTAGAATTATAGCTCATTACGTCCGATGTTAACGGGGGATCAACGTTCACATGTGTGCGGGTTCAACAACATATTCACTAAAGACGTAGCAAGGATATTCATTGAACCATTGTTACTACAAGGAAGCAATTTGGTCAAGTGTACCGACTGCTACATACGGTCATTGAGTATAAGGCAAATTACATTATATATTCATCGTAAATGTACGAACATTACAGTATGCAGACACACAATACTATTGCAATGAGAGGATCAACCGCAGTAATCACTAATTATTAATGAGTGGCTGGTATATGAAAATATCAGAACCAACGACTGGTACGTAAGGACCGATACATAGTCTCGCTTCGTTCTGACTTCGTATAAGTTATAGATTCGAGTTACACTTACCTACACTGCGGCCAGAGAAATCGTTTGAAAAACTATATTAAAAGCCACCATTAATTATATTTAGCGAGTTCCTTATGACAAAATGACAACCGGGTTTTTCTCCGGCACATCAGCAACTTTCAAACTATTACCGTTAACAAACACGCGCAGTGAAGATCCTATCGTATCGTATCCTTTTCTATTGTTACCTCGTTTACTTCAGACAGCGAATGGATGGAGCCAATTCCGCGTACTAGTCTCAACATCGAGAACTTCGATGAACGTTTAAATGATGAACGTTCACGCAGTAGTGTTATTCATAGTATTAATTGAGGTGTCAGGAATTTCTTATAGAGCGAAACAACGGTAAACACTGAAGGTAGCGCTTGCACAAATGGTTTGTAACGCACCGTGAAGAGCTGTCGTTGCGCGGTGGTCTTCTAAGCTGACCAGTTGGAGTTAATCTAGAAGATGGGTCGACCGTCCTGCAACCGATGGCCTGTAGGACTCAAGCAGCGCACGGGATCGTTATATTAGCTATCATAACGAGGCACCTAATTCAAGAGCAATTATCGCATAGTTATGTGATAATGCCCAGAGAACATCATCACTCCCAATTATAATCGATAGCATATAAACCTCCTCAGGTTGTGAGCGATCAGAACTAGCAAATCAGATTAAACCCATCATATAGGAGAAACTGAAACGCTATTAGGATCAGGCTTTTATGCAAAATAATGTAATGAACTAGTAGCTTAAAATGTGCATCACTTTCACAAACACTATGATATTCTTACGAAGCGAGGCCAATTCATCAGATAAACCAAAAGCCATATAATGGCGCACTACTTCTAACGTCAGCCAGTCACGTTAACGCCATAATAGTAGAACGTAAGTAAAAATCAGCCTCAATATCAACTCAGGCCGCTACGTCGACCTAAAACAGAAACTAACAGCAATGATTTTCATTACGTGCTGCGGACTACCTTTGCTAGTTTGTTATGCGTGTCCATATAGTGTAGATACGGGCTCCTAGAAAACAGGCAACAGACGTAAAGGACCAAACGACTCTACGTGCTATAGCCGTCAGTTGTTAAGAGATAGTACCAGTAGTGTAGATTACAGCTAAAAACTATACAAAAATTTTACTTTTGGGGACGTTTACGTAGTAAGTGAGGTATTCGCCTTCAACAGAAACGTTGTTTGTACATAACCAGGGATCTGATGATGGTCAAAGCAATTCGACTTCACAATGCTGCTAACGTTTTCTCATCTATATTCTACACTCACATACAGATCTTTCGAAAGACCGCCCAGACAAGCCAATTGTCGAAGATAAAGCTTTAGAACATTCAGTTTAGACTGTTCAGAGGTAAAGTCACGCTAAAATAACTGCGATGGATTAACGCTCTACTTTTATAATACATAACATGTATCGTCTGTACAATGTATTATCATTAGTAAGTAATAAAAAAAAAGGCACAAAACAACTATCTACAATACTATTACCTTCTACTCCAGCTTTTTTCTGTAGTATCGTTTAATCAAATAAATTTTTTAGTGATATACTTTGTTCTGTTTTTCCGTCAGCGGGTCAACTTAAGTAAATCTGAATCAAACCGTATTTGGTAAAGTTAATTATAATTAGAAATTCCTTTAAGCTGTCGTCGAACGCAGTTGCATGGATGTAGTCGAAGGGTACTGATTGGCCTTCCACTGTAATTTGGCCGATTCCGTTCATCAAGTTAATCTCAGCCTACGTTTGCGTCTGCTAGGAATTGACCATACGCGTATATCCGACTCTATAAGAACCCACGACTACTACTATTTAATTTCCACAACAAACAATAAAATTCGGGTACGATTTTTTTAGACAAAAATAAGTATACGTTCATAAGGTATTTTTTTCTTCACATACTTTATCATTATGTTTTGATGCTCACCTTTTCTTTGCAAATATTAGGATATGGAATATCTAATACGAGTAGCAAGCTTCTTAAGTGTGTCGACCCCTGAATAACAAATTATTAAGTAATTGTACATTGCGATGAAATGATATACTAGTTGTTCAAATGTATCTAACCTAACTGCCGTTTTGTTGTGTGCCAAAAAAATCTTGTTTCAGTTTTTAACGAAAAATATGCCTGAAGCCATGAGCTTAAGGTTTAATTAATAGAACTGAAGACGGCTTTAATTCAGGGCTTCGTTATCGTTATGTTGAATTATAAAATCTATGTTTTATGTCGAAAGTTAAGTCAATTCGTCTTATTGCTATATACTGGTATATATTCATTCAAAGAACTTTATTTCTGTCTGCTAATTTAGAAAAAAAGAGGACAGCAGTTTTCAATTCAAGGTATATTTACATGTAGAAACAACAACCTACGAAGAATTAACCGTATGCTCTGAAAATCCATTTTAGAAAGGCATAACACGTTTTATTTATTTGAAACTTCTTTTTGTATAAACGGTAGCATTTCTGTAGAGGCCACATCAGGTGAAGGCGGCCCACTTTGGGGTTTACACCTTTCCATCATCTCGGCCTTTCATTGAAAATTCCGACTTCGACTAGCCATTACGAATCAAGCGGTCACAGTCCCAGCAGACCCCATACTGCTTCTCATTCAAGTGAATCATTAAAAAAAACCTTATTCGAAATTTTGGCTTAATATTAACTACAGAGCTGACTTTAGAAATATTAGATTTGTCTGCCAGAATTTAGCGCTTATGATTCAGAATGGCTCTTACGAGTCGGTCGCTTTAACTTCATCCGCCCGGCATACAAGGTGGTGCGCCGGGACCTCCGTCAGCGGCTAGGCCAGCGATCCTCCGCCTAGGATAACCAGGTCGGTCAGGCCTACGCGGTCCGCCCATAGTAGGACCACCCTGCGGCGATCTTGTACTGGCAGTGAAGCCGAAAAGGGACCTGAAAAATCGACAGTCAAAGAAGATCGTGTTAGAGCATGCAATCACGGAAGCCACTTATAGACCTATGGATAAAAGGAAACGAGACGTATACGGAGTCATTTTGCTATAGAAGTCTAGCATTGTATATTACACACCTCGCATGGGTACTAGATATTACAACAAATACTTTTTGGAAACTTATGGCGTAATGTAAAGCTCGACAGAGCCAGTATTAGCCGACCGGAAACCAGATTATAATCGGGACGTTGCAATGTAGTGACAACATTGTGGGACGGACGCGATCTCATGAAAGCCATCTAGTGCAGGGTGGATGGAGCGGAGAGCCCCGGACTTGATGGTAACATATCGAAGAAGTGGATTGTGGAGGGGAAACGTGCAAGAACAATAGCCAGTAAATAAAGATATACCCCAGAGGAGCCGCACATGTGTGGTGCGACTGCTAAAGACCTATACGCGACAGAAGTTCAGGGACAAGTTTGCGGACTGCATTCTGGGTGAAGAGCTTAGGTCGACCGAGGAGTTCTTCAACTTCGTTAAGAACTACGGAGAAACATCGGCTGAACTTCCCGCAGGCCATGCGCATATTGCGCGATGAAGTAAGATCGATTTCATAGTGTTACTAGTGAACACAAGGCGAACGGCCAACTTACTAATCTGATCGCACTAGCATGGGTTAATTCGTATGTGAAGCCCACAGAGCCAACCTTGCCGAACTAAGGATAATGCTGCAGTAGGTGTATTGCAATATGTAAGTCATACAAACAACATGTACTTTAGGTACTCTGGTTCATCTGCTAGCGATATGTGCAATGATTCGTGGAAAGAGCTTCTTTTTCTATTGCAGTTACGTATTATACCATTGATTTTGAATTACATCAAACACTGAGCCAATAAAAGCACGCACGTCGCGAAACGCAGACTCAGTATAGTAGCGCGTGCTCCCAGATTTGAAGGATCTTTGAAGATTTATACGTATGTACAGTTATCTAAAAGGTGTCAAAAGATACCCTCTTTTATTTATATTAAATGTATAGTGAAAAATATGCATGGGAGTTCCTTACCTGAAGAACATCTGCACACCCTCGATAAACGCAAACACAAAGTCTACAAAGCTTGCCCATAGGGGCCGCCTTTCGACAATCTCTCCACCTGAAGTATAAGGGCGATTATCAGGTTAGTTCGCTTATAAAGAACTATCTTTGTTTTTGGTTTCACTCAACGTTCTGTGCCATTGAGTACCGGCAATAATAATAATAATAATAAAATCAATAAGAAAAGCGACGTTTACGCCTGGATCATGTTTCAGTGTTGACAAGTTCATTGCTTTCCATGTTCATCAGAAATAATTCTGTGTCTTCCACCTGAAGGTTTTGCTGTTCATGGTGATGATGATAAGCGTTACTTGTTTTTATTCCAAGAGTAACAAGGTCATAAAAATCAACAGATTGCCGCAGAGACAACACTGTCTTTATTCAAACAATAGAAAATTGCAAACGAAAAACCCCCACCTAACTTGGAAACGGCATAATTAACAATTCAACGTTCACTTATGCCCTGCCCCTAATGTGACAATGACGCCAACGAGAGAAGTGCAATGTCTAGTTTATAAAGCAACGACGAATACTTATTTTTTTTTCTTTATTTTTTTTTTAATCAAATTCGTTCACAATTGCAGAGTGGTACCAGCATAACGTTGTAACTGACGGTCAGTTTTCCAAAAAATTAATTACGGCAAACATCGAATTTAGAGACTGCTTTAATAGACTAACTATAAGCAAACATATTCCGAACCAGCACCATCTTTCATCAAAAACAAAGCCACCATAATTGATCAGATAAAATATACATAATAAACGATCGGCTACTTCTGTTTGGTACACGTCACAAATGCGCAAAAAACTATATACATGAATATCAAATAGGTTCCACATAGCACTATTGGGTGGTATTGGTACATACGCGAGTTGATGTAGACCATGATCTCAAGTCATAAGAGGAGATTTTTCCGAGAAAAAACTACATTTCTAATTTTGACGTCTATAATATGTTTACTATAAGCACTTGCAACCAACCACTAAAATGTCGGGCCCAGTATATAGCTCGGAAATGGTCTTAGCATTTGCACGCATATTGTATATATGTTGTGTAGTGTGTACTGAAAAACCTGGTGTATTCTGATCATTGGTGGAGAGGGAGCGCGCCAAGCCAACGAGGATTTGATATTTTTTTTGGGACATCTTAACACCTAAGGCACAAGCGGCTTTTAAGGACAACGAGATTCTAAAACCAACTGATAAATGTGTTCGGAACACTGTTACATAGCTAGAAAAATAAAAATAGTAATCAATCTATGCTAAGTTGCGTTTCGATTAATTTGAATTTCCTCCTGGTGGGAGGGGAACTAATTCGAAAAACGTCTGCCGTCGACCAGTCGAAGTATTATTTATAAACAGCACTAACCTCTGCAATTTCTGAAGCGTATTGAACACGGAGTGGTCTATGCTCGGATAATTAGATTGCTGTCGAGTAAATTGAACAAATATGGAGTCTTTTTGTAGAAAGATACCGCGTTTCAAATTCACTCACTTGTCCCATGTGGATAATTGCAAGAGGGTCCTGATAGTAGCGTTCCGCACTATAAGTCAACTTGTTTTCGATGTGTTTCGAACTTCCCTGAAGGGTCTACCCTGGCCATGTTTTCATCATTTAATTTGACTTTTCCCGTCATACGCTTTTCATATCTTCGTTTTTATTCTCTGACAGTCTTCTAATCTTACAGATTGATCATCTACAACTTTCTATTCAAATATGGTCCGTTTTTAAGTTGAAATTATTTTTATGTAAGTGAATTAATACAGACGAAGTGAGCCCGCAACCAAAATAAAAAATCCACGAGATATTATATAAAAGTACAATGGCTCACTTACAAAAAGTTTCTAATTGATGATAGTATTCTATTCAAAATTTTATTGTAGTATTTTACGATACCCAAATCATAGACATGATAGATTTTATATTATTTCTCATTGCTGAATATTATATCGATATTATGTGCAATTAAAACACAATTTAGGGAGCCCGAGGGACATTGGTGGGCTGTTTGAATGACAGAAACATCTTCCTTGTTGTAAAGTTTGATCTTCTTACATCAATGAAGTTAACCTAACAAAAAATAGTTGAGCAAAATCTGTTGGTTACATCATACGCGTACAGCATAAAAAATATGTAGCTTGTACAATTGAGCTCATCTAAGTCGAGAAGAATGGTCGAATCTTAAAAAGTACTTAAAATAGTCGAAAAATTTGCCATGACTATACAGCCTTAACCTCTAGCAGTGTTTGCTAATGTTCTTTTTTTCTTAAAATATAAACAACAGAGTATTTTTCTAGAACTAATTCGTCAAATACTGGCTTTGACCGTGATCTACGCAGCTCTCACATATGGGTAGTTTACAATTATCAAGTGCTATTGGGATTATAAGGTCGTGTCCCCCTTAGTTTATGTTACATTTTATAGATTTAGTTTTTTCTTTATTTTGCGTTAAAAAAAAAAAAAACTCTGTTTTAAACGTCTTGTCGCCAAGTTTATACACCTATAGAAGTCAAGAAAAATGTTTGAACCGTTGCCGAAATTCTAGGCACATACATACGGTCGTATCTCGTTATATACATATACACTGTGCCTATTCTACAGTGTAAGATTATGAATTTATCATACTTTTATTAGAGTATTATGCCCTTCGTAGAGTTTTAAGATTTATTCGTTGAGGCCGGTTCCGTGGGTCTGCAAATGGGTTCAAAACTCACCGAAAGTTGAAAATATTTCGCGGCTATTGGTCGGCAACCACCCATCACTTTAATTAGTTATGATCTAATTTACCCCGATTAATAGAACCGAATTGAATTTTAAGATACATGGATAAATGGAAAACGTACGTTATATAGTAAAACTTTTTTTGGTTTCAAAAAAAAAGATTCTTGGAACTCACTGAAAATAAATTCTTTGTTAACAAAATTTTTTAAACAAAAAAAAGACGATGTTACAACACGTCGTTCCTATGATACGATTATTAGCTTTGATTAAACTTTGTCGCTGTGAGATCAAAAGTTTATTATTGAAAGCAGGATGATTGACCATCATTAGAGAGGTATGATTATAGCTCTATTATTATAAATACCGCACACCAACTGTGTATAGCAACAATAGACATGGAAATTGCCGCCAAGACCGGCTGTTCCGTCCTTTCGTTTTGCAAGATTAAATAAAAGGAAGCACATTTTTAACAGTGCTTATGTCTTAAAGAAATAACAAAGCAAGCGAAAAAATTAAAAAGCACATTTTTAACAAACAGCCCTACCACATGATAAAGTACGTCTTTTCTAAATCGGTACCATTTATATACTTCAATTTTTCAAAAGTAACGTCCACATAAATCTTCATGCATAGGAATTCTCTAGCTTCTGGATGAAGCTAGGTTATTATGAAGCTACGCTGGTTCTTCCCCACAATAATTCTCCCTTCCACACAACAAGTCAATAGTTGTTGTTACTATTGCAACCTAGCCCTTTAATCGTTTCTATTAAATTCTATCACCAAATCAAATCTAGCTTATGGAAGTCAAAGAACGCTTTGCTTTAGCCCATTATCTTTATTGATGTCTTCTCTCATCGTTATTTTTATTGATCTGTTGTCTCATTTTTGTTTATAAATTCTATCATTAAATCAAATTTATCGATGTCTCGCATTTTTGTTTATAATCTCTTGTCTCATTTTTGTTTATAAATTCTATTATTAAATCATCAAATTTATCGATGTCTTGTCTCATGTTTGTTTATGAATTTTATCATTAAATCAAATCTAGCTTACGGAATTGAAAAAACGCTTTGCTTTAACCTACGGAATTGAAAAAACGCTTTGCTTTAACCCGTTATCTTTATCCGTTATCTTTATTGATGTCTTGTCTCATCTTTGATATCGGCCCACACTGGATGTCTCATCTTTGTCTTGTTGTCTCATCTTTGTCTTGTTGATGGAATACATATATGTTCGTGTTGCGTGACAACACATCGTATCCCTATGTTAGAACTATGCTATCAGCAAAATTATCATCGAAGACAGACTAGTTGCTTAGTCTATTTCTTTCTAAGTATTCTATAGTCGTATATGTTTGAATGAATCGATATGAGTCGATAGTCGCTTTCTCTAGGTAAGGACTGCCATGATTCTTCGACACGTCTTCAGTTCGTCAATACAGACTATTTTTTTTTTTACTGATACAATAACTATTTATTCCTATATACCACACCACAACGGATCCCGGAGACTTATCAAAATAATCAAGGATTATTAAGTGTTAATGTGCGAGTAGATGATTTATCAATCCGTAAGATCATAATGAATGGTTTGTTATTTTGCTTGTCATTCCACCACGATGGAGCAATATCGTTTATTAAAACTTATTAAATATTTGATTTTTGGTGCAGTCGCGGCGTTTCTAATATAATAAGATTATTTCGTATATCGCGTATCTCAATCCGGTTACTCGACCGTGTGCCTCATATGGCTTTCCCGTTGCCATAAAAGACCTGCGTGTTCCTCATATGGCTTTCCCGTTGCCATAAAAGACCTGCGTGTTTCTTTCTGATCTCGCAGAAATCGCTTTTTTTTAATTACTGTATGCGTTCATTATGGCATGAATAATTATTCTCAAGCTCTACGCGGTTTAGTATTGGTGGTTCTTGACAAAGAGGGTATCCTCAGCGGCAGCACCCTTGACGCCGCCTTCATATTTCCCAAGGCTAGCGTCCGAGTTCGCCTTCGCACGCTTAAGGAACTCGTCCTGGCCGGCCTTGATGTTTTCGTCTTTTCCGCCCCATGCCTTGATGGCGGATGCCTGGAGAGCGCGGCCGTACGAGAAAGACAACGCCCAAGGCTTCTTCCCTTGCAGTTTGTTCATAGCGTCAAGGTTAACCGACGCTTCTTCTTCGGACTGGCCGCCGGAGAGGAATACGATGCCAGGAACAGCAGCTGGCACAGTGCGCTGCAAAGCCGTGACGGTGGCTTTGGCAATGTCAATTGGTCCACTCTTCTCCGCGCAGGACTGGCCTGGGGTGCACATATTCGGCTTGAGCAGAGTGCCCTCAAGGAAGACATTGTGATCGTTGAGAGCCTTGTAAACTGCAGCCAGAACTTTCTCGGTAACCTTTTGGCAGGTTACGAGGTTGTGATCGCCGTCGGGAAGGATCTCGGGTTCGACAATTGGCACAATGCCGTTCTTCTGGCATTCCGTCGCATACCTGCGTGAACAAGATCCATTGGTAAACGCCCTAACCTGATAAATGCACATGGAAAAGATTATTCGATTCGTAAATCTACCACTAGGATAAAGCTAACTCTTTCTTCTTACTGTATGTAGTAGTGTATGTACAATACCTACAGGAAACACATTTTGGTTTTAACCCTTTGCGCAGCGAAGAGCCACGGAGCAATCTTAGCTTGACTGCACAAAAGTTGTGGCGTACCTGGCGAGAACGTTGGCATTCTCGAGAATAGCGAGCGGCGTGGGGGCATCTTTGCGGATGCGGAGCACACATCTCCATTTGGCGAAGCGGCAACCGTCTTTGTAGTACTGAGCGCAGCGCTTGCTGAGGTCGTCAAGTCCTTGAGTGGTGGTTTCTTCGTTAGTGCCCATCAACGGTACAACACCAGTGTCAACCTATAAGAGCACCGAAAGGACGAAATGAAAGATACCAGCCACAAGCAACGGAACGACGAAATGAAAAATACCAGCAACAAAAGGCCTTAAAATAGAAAGGAATTGTTCCCATTATATTTAGCATTCATGTATTGACCCGACTGAGTTCTTGACTTTATTTTATAATAAAAAAAACCCAAATAAAACCTTAATTCCAGGAATAATTCCGCGGTCCTGAAGGATCTTCACGAAGGGTGTTCCATCGTCGGCCTTCTGATAGAGAGTCTCGTGGAAGAGGATCACTCCAGAGATGCATGAGTCCATCAACTTGTCCGAGGTAAACAGTAGCTGTCTGTAATTTACAAAAAAATTAAAAAAGTAATTCCTCCACCCACAAGAGTCCTCCTCAACATGTTATACCCACCCACACACATCACTGAAGTAAGTAGAACTATCTCCCAAGTGTACATACAACTATCATTGCTCCTGTTAATCCTGATACAACTTTGTACATCATTGCGCCTGTTAATCCTAATACAACTATTACACATCATTGCTCCTGTTAATCCTGATACAGCTACTGTACAGGTATTGTTATTGCTGTTGTTAACAACCTTCAGTATCTTATGTCTTTAGACCTTTGCACTATACCGTGTACTGGTAACCGGTGTAAACACAGTAGAGGCCTCCTTTTGTTAAAAAGGCTTCTAAATTGCAGTCCGTCAGCCTATTGGTATACCGTGCGATCTCTACTGCGATCTACGATCTAGTTATAGTTGTATAGCGACCAGAGAGCTAGTCTCACCTGGCCTTCTGCAAATACGCGTGAAGGATGCAAACGACAGCTACATGGTGATGTACAGTCTTGGAAGGCCGTCATCTCGTACTCATACTCAAGGGCGGTACCTATTCTCCACCTCCATTTAAATTGCTATGAAACAAACCCAACGTTGTTGTACGGGTCAACTATTATATTTCGGTATTTATTTTGTTGCTGGTGTGAACGATCGCTGTTACCAAATCGCTTGAAGATCAACACAATCTAACTTCGGTAATAAATTATAGGTATCCTCGTATTAACTCTTGCTTGTTAAAAAAAAATGTGGATGCGAAGGTCCAGGTGGCCTTAGGAATGTTAGATGGTAATGGCCATGAAGCAGGTCACCAACATCCTCGTATTAACTCGATTTTGTTAAAAAAAAATCATGTCTGTGGATGCGAAGGTCCAGGTGGCCTTAGGAATGTTAGATGGTAATGGCAATGAAGCAGGTCACCAACAAAATCTTCTAATTCGCTGTTCACTACCTTTTTTTTGGTTATTAGTAAAACTATAATAGGTAAAACCATGATACCTTTTCTCTTATTACAAGCTACTACATGGTCGGTCATTGCCCATTTGATAGCCATTTGCAACTGATGTTACTGTTGGGCGCGGAAAAGTACGTTCACCGTTGGCAATGGGCTCCGGTGCATCGCTACGTCGCTATATGATTCTTACCGAGTTTTCTGAAAAGCTAAGGGGGAAAGAAGCAGCGCCATGTGCCAATAGTAAAGAAGTCGAGTGCAATAATTTGATAAGCGAGGACAGTTGCGTTTTAGCCAACCAGGCCTACAGCGCAATCGATGGATTTACGCACAGCTATGACGTAGAGACTTGTTTTTGTCCATTAATCGCAATGGTTATGGCTAGCATGATCTATCACAGAGCTATCACAGAATAGCATAAGGCCCCGTTACTGACACTAGACAATCGGCAAATTTATGCTTACATAAATTTACGTCGAACGATAACCAAGCAATTCAGAATTAATTGAACGAGCACGCTATGAAATCGCTGCCGCCGGCCCAAGAAGGTACTCGGCCCGGCTAGAACCTTTCATTGCGGCTACTGACAGTGAGACAAAGCACGTTATGAACCGTAGTAGAAATTCGGCACTAGTTTTTATTTAGTTTTAAACAGACATCGTAACCTTCGGAGATCCGAAATAGTAACCGTGTTATCGCACAGTGCAATGTGACTTGGAATAGGTGAAATACTGGTTTCGAACGAAATACTGGTTTCGAACGAAATACTGGTTTCGAACGAAATACTGGTTTCGAACGAAATACTGGTTTCGAACGAAATACTGGTTTCGAACGAAATACTGGTTTCGAACGAAATACTGGTTTCGAACGAAATACTGGTTTCGAACGAAATACTGGTTTCGAACGAAATACTGGTTTCGAACGAAATACTGGTTTCGAACGAAATACTGGTTTCGAACGAAATACTGGTTTCGAACGAAATACTGGTTTCGAACGAAATACTGGTTTCGAACGAAATACTGGTTTCGAACGAAATACTGGTTTCGAACGAAATACTGGTTTCGAACGAAATACTGGTTTCGAACGAAATACTGGTTTCGAACGAAATACTGGTTTCGAACGAAATACTGGTTTCGAACGAAATACTGGTTTCGAACGAAATACTGGTTTCGAACGAAATACTGGTTTCGAACGAAATACTGGTTTCGAACGAAATACTGGTTTCGAACGAAATACTGGTTTCGAACGAAATACTGGTTTCGAACGAAATACTGGTTTCGAACGAAATACTGGTTTCGAACGAAATACTGGTTTCGAACGAAATACTGGTTTCGAACGAAATACTGGTTTCGAACGAAATACTGGTTTCGAACGAAATACTGGTTTCGAACGAAATACTGGTTTCGAACGAAATACTGGTTTCGAACGAAATACTGGTTTCGAACGAAATACTGGTTTCGAACGAAATACTGGTTTCGAACGAAATACTGGTTTCGAACGAAATACTGGTTTCGAACGAAATACTGGTTTCGAACGAAATACTGGTTTCGAACGAAATACTGGTTTCGAACGAAATACTGGTTTCGAACGAAATACTGGTTTCGAACGAAATACTGGTTTCGAACGAAATACTGGTTTCGAACGAAATACTGGTTTCGAACGAAATACTGGTTTCGAACGAAATACTGGTTTCGAACGAAATACTGGTTTCGAACGAAATACTGGTTTCGAACGAAATACTGGTTTCGAACGAAATACTGGTTTCGAACGAAATACTGGTTTCGAACGAAATACTGGTTTCGAACGAAATACTGGTTTCGAACGAAATACTGGTTTCGAACGAAATACTGGTTTCGAACGAAATACTGGTTTCGAACGAAATACTGGTTTCGAACGAAATACTGGTTTCGAACGAAATACTGGTTTCGAACGAAATACTGGTTTCGAACGAAATACTGGTTTCGAACGAAATACTGGTTTCGAACGAAATACTGGTTTCGAACGAAATACTGGTTTCGAACGAAATACTGGTTTCGAACGAAATACTGGTTTCGAACGAAATACTGGTTTCGAACGAAATACTGGTTTCGAACGAAATACTGGTTTCGAACGAAATACTGGTTTCGAACGAAATACTGGTTTCGAACGAAATACTGGTTTCGAACGAAATACTACTGTTCAAGTTTCGAACGAAATACTACTGATATTATATCAAGTTTCGAACGAAATACTACTGATATTATATCAAGTTTCGAACGAAATACTACTGATATTATATCAAGTTTCGAACGAAATACTACTGATATTATATCAAGTTTCGAACGAAATACTACTGATATTATATCAAGTTTCGAACGAAATACTACTGATATTATACTGGTTTCGAACGAAATACTGGTTTCGAACGAAATACTGGTTTCGAACGAAATACTGGTTTCGAACGAAATACTGGTTTCGAACGAAATACTGGTTTCGAACGAAATACTGGTTTCGAACGAAATACTGATTTCGAACGAAATACTACTAACAATAAAAACATATTATAATTTAAAACATATAATGATAAAAAAATTTTAGAATTTATAACAAATCAAGATATAAACAATATAGAACTTATATCAAGTCACGTACGAAATAATATAGATATTATATCAAGTTTCGAACGAAATAATACAGATCTTATATCAAGTTAAGATCGAAATAATACTGATATTATATTAAATTTCGAACGAAATACTACTGATATTATATCAAGTTTCGAACGAAATACTACTGATATTATAAGTTTCGAACGACATTGAAGCTATGAAACCTCGTATAAACTTGCGAAAAGGGGAATCAGTTACCGATACAATATCAAACAACGATATCTATTAACGCTCGAGGCACTTTGTTGCTATGGTATAAAGTTCCATCTGCGCCGTCCCTTCTGATTTGCGGCCCAGCTGTTGCCAATAAAATCCTTTTCGATTACATTTTTTTTGCCATAATATTCCTGTTATCGAAAAATTCCCAACGAAATTCTCCCATTTGAGGACCCTCGCCCTCAATAAATGAAATCGTTGATTGAACTCCTGCAGAACGCAGCATAAATTAGAACTACTAGAACGTGTAGTATTATATAGAGGAATAATATAAATTCGTACGTGTAGTCTTATATAGAGGAATAATATCTAAATTCGTACCAACCTGTATTTGCGACGAAGATCTTCCGTGTTCTCAGCACCGATAGCCTGAAGGCGCTTACCCATTGTGCCTGTCGACTCATCAGCAGCAAGAATGCCCTTGCCAGGGGCGACGATTTTGTTAGCAGTTGCGCGAAGTTCAGCTTGCAGCTCCGGCGACAAATAATTGAAGTTACCGGCCATTTTCGAAGTGTTTTTCGAGGGCTTCTCCGCAAGTGTTGTTGTTCAATTATGAGAAGCACTGATTAGACCGTTGGTTTCAATAACTGGACTGACTTGGGCAGAATGCCACACTCAGAGACTCGCTGTGCGTGATCAACGACGCAAACAGGCAAGACGTTACAGGCGAAGGCAGCCACAAGGAGACAATCAAGGACACGGCAAGATATCCGCTGGCGACGCTGCGATCGGCATAGCATCAATTGAGAACCAGCGGCTGCGGTGGCCCTTACTTCGCTGGCGAGGCAGACGACCGCGAGAGAGAGGTAAAGGGTCAGCTGGCAAACGGTAAGCTAAGGGCGGCGTCTAAGGGAAAGGGCCAACGCGCGAGAGGCTTCTATGCGAAGCGTCCGATCCGCGCAACCGGCACGTAGTAACCAGGTGCCGGCTTACTGGGTTGGTGGCCGCTCGGTTTGCGGGACTACGTGTATCCACTGTTGTTGATGCTATTGTCGCTGTCGTTGATGCAGGCAATTGGCTGCAAAGTTACTATTAATAGGTAGATAAAAACAGCCTCGTACGTGATACGATTGTGGGAAACATTTTGTGGAAAGGCGGAACAATTTAAACAACGGATTTTATGAGACGTCGACTCAAGCGCATGGTAGATAAGGGTAAGGAGAGTCTCACTACATCGATTAGATCTGCATTGGCTTCATTTTGATGGATATCAGTGTAAAGAGCGAGATTATCAATTCTACACAACACAATGATTACTCTTTCGATACGATTTTTCCTTAGGAACTTTTGAAAAGGATATTTCATTATCACAGCAGATATTGCTCACAATTCATGCCTTGTACTCTCCAATGAGCAGTAATATCACACCTGATTGACTATAATGCTAAAGTCAAGGAAAAACCCAAAGTCCCAGAAACAAACTGTTTTCTGTATTTTTAATTCTACACACCGTTTTATTTGCGTAAATCGCGGTTGTAAAGTAAACGCCATATGAGCAGAACGTAATAAAAGACCTATTTGGATTTAACAATCGCTTTGTACTTACTTGAGGATTCGTAAAATTCGTCTCAAAGGGACACGACTACTCGCGCGAAAAAATTACGATTCACGATCACGATTAAAACCGTTTTTTCTTTTCTCTAACCTGAAACAAACCAGAAATCCCTCGTCAAAATAGAGCTAGTAGCGTTAAAACATACAAGTCTATTACTCGCGATAAGCCACTAATAAGCGACCCCTGACTCATTCGACAGATTTACCCCGATCTTCAAATGATATGATGTTGAAAATTGCACAAAGCTCGCCTCACTTTCCGAGAACATTTCGAAATTTCAAGATATGAATGAACACAGCATTACTACATACTTCGTTTTCTGAAGTCATCAATCCGTAGTTGTTGTCAAACGGTTGTTTCTAGCTCAGCGCTTTCAAGGATCACGCGCTTTTATCGGTTTCATTCATTATTATTCGTTACTGTCACCAGTTCTGTCAAACTTAATAAGAACACAGATAATAACAGTACCTTGCAATCTCGACATTGGTAAGTTAGCTCGAATACATTAGTGACATTTGATGTGTTGTTATTCATTAATTTTATACCGGCAACTAGACAAAATGAAATTTTCTCTAATCAAATGGGACCTTCTTGAATGAAAACTCTCTTACAGCAGAAACGGGTCGGGAGATCTGCGTTACTGGCCGAAACTTCATCCAGGTGATTTGCGTCTTTCCCAAGAAATACAAACCCAGTCTCATCATCGAGACTTCGGATCCTAAACGAAACCAATAAGCTGCATGTGGTACCCATAGTTAACCCGCGCAAATTAGAAACCGTTCTGCTTTATGCAACATTAGAAGTAGGGATAGCGTACGACTACGACAACGCGCATCAAACGATTGGGAAATCTTTCGGCTAAATGGAAAACCTTACACAGCGATTTTCTATCTTTCTTTTGCTGGAAATTAGGTCGCAAGCTGGTTTAGAATATCTGCCAGGAGGAGTCTAATGGCGCTATTTCTAATCAAACTTAACGAATTTCCCACCATGATTTGTAAATGAATCTAGACAAGAATCTGCCTTTGCCGATTTAATAAAATCGGCAATCCAAATAATAATAATCCAAAAATAATATTTAATTTTCATCTACAAATCTCGATTTGACTAACTCTTTCATCTGTAGTGTAAAGCTCCTAGCAACTGTAAATATGTTTAAGTTAGTTTTGAAGTGTTTAATATGATTTAGATATTTGATGGCTCTCTAAACATATCTGAAGATGGTTTGTCCTAATCACATTTGTTTGCCATTCCCTTATTTTCCAACCTCACATTTGTTTTCCTTTTTTCTTGGCCAAACATATAGATCCATCTTAACGTGACTTTGGGAGTCCATAATTATAAACCATTGGCATATCTAGCCATTGTCAGAGTTTTATCCAAAAACAAAGGAACACATTATTTTTAATGTTAGTGGGCAACTAGCCTCATTACATGAAACCATTAATGTGTCCTCTAAGTATATAGAAAACCGCATTATAACATAGCATGTAGAACCGATATAATGATCATCTGGTCGTTTCAAGAAGTGTTTAGCCTTCTTAATGAAACACAGACATGAAATGATTATATTCCAACAATAAATTATTGTTGTCTTAATACCTTTCAGAGCTCCAATCAACTTTTACCACCTACCACTAATGCATAGGGAAATAATTACCACAGATCATAGGTCTATACTCATTTACGAAATGTGAATTATATATGCATATACAGATTTGACGACATAGACGTTTAAAGGCCAATCTAGACTTATTGATTGATCGCTCGTAAACGTAGCATAACGAGCTCGATGAAAAACAACCGAATTCAGCCATTGTATACTAGTTTTATAACGTAACTATAACGATTTTTATACGTATCGTTTTCTGACACAAACCTGAAATTCATTGGGGTTTTGAATAAGCATCACCTTCTGAAATGCACAGTTATGTACGACTAAGACAGAACGTGATTAACGCCTTTGCTGTCTTTTGGAATACGATCTTTTATTTCTTCAGATACACTTTGCCTGATAGGCGAGATTAGTGTTGATTCAGCTTCGAAATTCCAAGGAGGGGTTCAAAATATGACGTTGGCTAACGAGGTGATTTAATAGCTGATGATGTTAAATGAATGATGTTAGGTTAAAAATTTCAGTGATTGTACCAAAGTGATGCCTTTGTTAGGCATGTAATATATATATATATATATATATAAAATGTTAGGCAAATGATATGAATTGTATTCTATGCAAATCCAAATCTGCTGTACATATTTAGAATACACAGCCTATTAGAGTAGTAATTTTTGAAGCCTTTATGGGCTTCCTGGGGAGTACAATGCTCAAGTGAGGGCATCTTACGCTAAACTCGCTCAGTCGCGCCTTCCTCATCATAGCGGCAATAGACAGCAAAGTAAGTAGATGCTTTAATAATTTTCCATTATCATTTATCTGAATGAGCAATTTCGGTTTAAAAGCAGAAAGAAAAATTACCTACCTAATTAACACTAGAAAAGAATTTTCCAGAAAGCCACAAAAATGCCGATCTCCATTAGTTGTCTTATTGATAGCATGCTGCTGATGACAAACGTATTAATTACGAATCATTTGAACTGTTCAGTCAGTATCAGGCACTACTCCGTATTAGAGACGAGCAGACGAGGTAAACGTACAGGATTGATATTGACAGGACTGACATAATTTGAATGATAAATGAATTGTCCAAAACAGATTCATTGAAAGAGTCGATAACAAACACTAAAAAAACTGATAATGTCCGAGGTCTTATCATTATGCACTAGCACGCTGCTCTTGCAGAACGGTTCGGCATATGACCGTCAAAATACCTGTATGGGCTTGAATTTTATGTAGCTAGGGGAAGTTGCATTTCCCGGCACCGTAGCTTTTTTTTGACATGGCAGTAACACAATTAAATACTTTTGAAGTACCTTAAAAAAATAATTGTTTTTCCGTAGCAGAAGCCAACATTTAAATACACTTATTTTATTTATATACATCTTGTCCAATATTAGCAAGAACCAGCGACTTTATTCAAAAGCTGTGCATTTCTTTCAGCACCGTACTGCGCACTCAAGAATAGTACTTTCACCAACGTTGATACGCGGACGGACCCTGAAAATCAGAGAATTCGGCTATCTTTAATGATAAGAAGCATAATTCAGAATGAACTAGCACAGGACTGTGAAAAAACGATCAAATCGAAAAATATTTTCTACGACTTAATCCTCGCTTTAGTGGACGCTCTCTAAAAATGCAATCCATAAAAACTAACGCATTACGAGCCTAGTGCTTCCAAATAAGCGCCAATATTTAAGTAGAGATAGCTTTTTTCGAACACTTAGTAATTTTTTTCATACTTAAGATTAGTAAGATCACATTTTAAGAAAAATTCTTTGTTGAGTCCTTAAACCACTGCACTTCGCTGCAGGTATTTTCGAAGGAAAGGTTTTCTTTTGTCTGTTTAACGCAGCACCTGGGCTGCCCAATTTCACCAACGTGTAAAAAAACACAATAGCGAATCAAAGGCCGGACATAGGCTTCCAAGCCTAACGTACTTGTTGAAAGCGCGATATATCGTTTTGTAGTACGTACTGGGCTAAGGAAGACGCACCAACACATGGTTTTGAAAGATATAAAAGAACTGTTTTTCTGAAAGTGTAAGAATGCGCCAGCCTCGAAGATCAACCACTGCCTTTGGCTTACAGCCTGTTTTATCCACAGTTGAATTTCCCCAGGTATTTGCTTTGTCGAGCCCCCCTCATCAGTATCACAGGGTCATTTCTGCATATTCATTCATCCGCTACTAATAGCGGGATTTCCTTGTGCTAAATGCCCTTTTTATCAGCCTAGTATTTTGATCGTGTCCGATAGATCGTGAGGCATACGTGGATATAGACTATGGAAGCTTCTGGATTATCATTTTATATATCTGGAACAGCTAGTTATTAACTCTAAATGAGACGTAGCTGCAGCCATAGCAGTAGATCTGTCTAAGCAGTAACATCAATGACTGTTTCAATTAGCTCTGGTTTGCATGAAGTAGTTTTTTTTGGTTACTTATAGCTGTTTTTTTTCCAGAACCTGTCTGGCCCGGTGCGGTTGGGCTGATCATCGACTTGATCTAGGTCAAAGACTTAATTTTGTTTTTTTACAGCCTCTTTATTTTTGGCATATGGTCCTATCTCGCACAGGCTGAGGTCTATATTAAGAAAGTGCACCATTTTAGATTTTATAAAACACTTGCTACTTAGGTTCAGCTTCATAGAGTGTTCGAACAGACGAAGTAGAACCAAAATTCCGTATTAATTCGAAAGCGCAGATACTACACCTACATTTATCTAATATTACCCTACTTAAACGTTACATTCATTATCTGCAACTTTATAACCTCCTTTTAACATCTGTCTGTTTCTGCTGTCACGAAATGCACGTTCCACCAGTCCGCAGAGCTTGTTTGTTGCAGTCTCGTTTTCTTGCCAGGCTTCCCTACAAATAGCGCGTTCCTAATCTTTTATGTATCTAATAGTTTTGTCCCAGTAACAATGTAGCAGTAGCGTGTTTGTCTGCTAAACCTCAGGCCACCTAATGCGGTCCGGATTTTAAACTGGACATAGATACATTTTGTGTCTCGCAGAAAACTAGTCGCCTGAAGCAATACTTCAAAGCAGAAGCGGATGTAAAATCTCGAACATTTTATATAAAGGTTGCCTTTTTCAACGGTTAGCCAAGTTACTTTGGTCTTCTTTGAATTGAAATGTACTTTCTGGACGAAGTAGTATTCGAGCTGAGTATTTTTTCCTTGACAGGACATTTTAGGAATTCTAGTAAGCGAACTGGTTTCTACATCTTGGCCTATTAACAAAATGTACTCATGGAGATCTTTCAATTCAGCATTCTCCTCCTGGTTTCTCTGTAAAAACATTCTTTCAAAAAATGTACAGCTGTTTATCTGAGTTTTTGTCTTGACTTAATTTTTTTGACCTGTTCCGTTTTCAAATAGATGGACACTATAATGATCTTACCAATTATTTTAGATTATAAAGTCTAATAAAAGCTAAAACAAATTATTTTTATGAATGAAATCCTAACCTATGGAATAATGTAGCTTAAGATGATGTTTAAAATATTGTGAAAAGAGATACCGTGCACTTGGCTATTATAATTTGACAGACTTACGATTCATTCCTTTCGAAACTAAATCGCAAAAAATAGGAAATCGAATAAAATGAAAAGCACTATATAGACTAACGTTTCTAATGACGATGTATGTGTGTACGAGAGCTCAGCTAGTAGTCCCAAAATCATATTTTGAATAATTGATGTGCAGAAGAAATCAATGACAGGGATCACATAAATACAAAATTGAAATATATATTTCAAACGTATAAAATGTTACAATTGGCTTGTATGAACGTGTTAAAAACAAAAATGTCCTCTAAGTGTACCCTATTTTAACTTCATTAGCATCAAGGACGGTTATTTGTACGACCAATGAGAGCCATTATAAGAAAACCTGGTCCGAATTTTGTCCCCCTTATTAAATGTTGTACTAATCTTTCCAATAAACTGGTCGTACAGCGTCGCTTACGTCTAGAAGGCAAGAGCGCTAAGCACCTGAATAACTATAAATGTCCATATCTTCAAAGCCTGCTCGGCGCTTGATACGACTTTAGTGGGAGGTGAGCTCAACAACCGACATAGAGCTGGAGTGTCACTCACGGTGCCAATATTATACATTATAAAACACAGTATTTTACAGAGAATAAAAAACAATTGTAAAAGCCAAAATTCTCAATTTGATGTAGTCCGCAATCAAATATTGTTCTTGCCCATTTGATCATTGACAAAATGGCTTTCTGCTACAAAGAATATGTACTCAATTGATAAAGTGATATATTGCAAATGTATAAATTTATACTTTCTAGAAAAGGAATACTGAACATAGTGTAGTATTTTAATATATATTTTTAATTCAATCGTTGCACTTGCCGTACACATTGTGATACGGCCCAATTCATTACAAGGTCTTGTCAACCGGCTACTAAGGTATTTGTACTGAAGTGAAAATACTGTTCTGGTTCTGAGAGAATAAGGTAACGATCTGCGGGAAGCACTAGAGAACTAATAAGGTGTGCATTCAATTATTCCAAAACAATATTTGCTATTTTCAAGTACAAGTCACATTGTGCACGCTTTTTTTCACCATTTGCATTTGTTAGCTAGACAAGTCAAAAACGACGCTGAGCGAAAATTCGTTAAAGGTCTTCAAGGTTAGGTTTGTAGGAGTTTCTGGTGCTTTCTCAAGAGCTAAATTAATTGCAGTAGAGTCCTGGTGCGCTTTACAGGCGCTGCTTTCGATTTAGTGCGTGGTAGGTCGCGGCGCATTCGATGCCCTATTGGTGCCTGGAACGGCCCGAGTGCACGCCTTCGTGTCGATAACGCCCACATCCGCTTCGCCATTTATGAACAAATTTCAATCATTTCCTGGGTTATATGTGCAAGGTACATTGTCTCCTTCCCAATATCAACGCTACATTAACATGAAATAACATAACGCAACCTACCTTATTTATTGCTGATCAAAATAGAAAATTCACACAAAACGATTTTCCAGTAATCAACACAACACTACCGCACCTATTCGAATAGAATGCAAGTACTTGCCATACGAAATTTCACAACATGTTTAAGACACAATTAAGAACAACTGTAACTACCAAAACTAATGTAACTTTCTTCATATAATAAAATATAGACTGATTCATATCGCGTTTATGAATACGGTTACTACAACTCAATATTTTTAAAGTCAGACGCAGTCATTTTTCTCTATTCATCTAGTTCGACATCTAATGGAACAGACGTTCACTTAGTTATCAACTGTTTCATCCTCGCAAGCTTATTCTTCTCCTGGTTCAGTCATTCATTGTGTTCATATGCTAGTGTTCGATCATATTCTGTCGTATCCATGAAAAACCACTTACATTTTATACCAAGTTTTTATCTAGATACATATAATTCACAAAATTTAGAGGCTTACGATTGACGATTAAAACAGTAACTAAGATATTGGAGCCAAAACTCTGCCAAAGCAAGAGCATGTATATTTCAACCCACCTTTGTTTGGCCACCTTCGCTTTCGAGTTTCAAAGTCTGTCATCATTTCTATATGCATTATTATATTTGTATTGTCTCTTTATCTTATAAGATGTTTACCGTGCAATACTGACCAATGAAATCAGCTAAGTTGATTAACTTCCGATTTCATTCTAGCGGTACCATGATTTCTTCTACGCATTTATCGTATATAATTAACATTTAAACACTAATGTTACCGTATGTATATAGTCTTTTTTACCCATGTTGTCATGATTTATTCAGCCTCTCTATCTTATTACCATTTTGTGTACTTATGTATACTCCTATTTTATCCAACCTTCAATATTTCAAACTTTCGAACGGCTCACTTTTGGTGTCCCCATAAAACCTCTCTAGTGATAAATTTATACCTAGTTCATTCATTATCAGGGAGCGTGCCAGACAGCGGCCGATCTGTAATTATAGTGTTGCGGATAGCGAACATGCTATTATAGGTAAGCTGCCACTATTTTTTTCGTGATACGTGCAATAAAAATCAATTCCGTAGTTCTTTGGACCTAAATAATTTCATCTTTAACTTTAGGCGTATCACGTCCGTTTTGACGACGCGAGCACTCATTGAGATATATATGAGACAACAGATGCACCCATGGAGCTGTGAGCAAGACCAGCTAATATCACGTACCTTGGCGAATGTAGTATCATTAATACTTAGTAACGCTAGCGATTCAGTCATTCTTCAAGCATTCGATGCACTCCATCAATGCACACAAAAGAGCATATTTGCTTTCTTGTTTCACATACATTCATTTGTTTGTTGATGGATTAAGGACGCCATTAAGCGTTGGGAGGAATTGGAATTTTTCAAATTGTTTCTGCCGCCAGCCGCACGTTGCTACCAGCGATAGTATTCTTCCAATTCGCTTAGAGTGTTTTGGTCAGAAGTGTTCACAATTAGACCATCTCATCGACCACCGCAACATTTCATCATATAGTCTTCCTCAACTCTTAAATGAATTATATACAGGTTTATAGTGTATTATAACGTAGCACTGTAGTGAATTATGGCGTGTGATGATATGCTGCATGCTCATTTCGGAACGACGAACGACTTCGCGAAGAGCGCACCAATTGCTCGGTTTTTGTCACCTTTCGCAACGGTGAGCTCTTGTATCACGTCATCGCGCTTGAAGCCCATAGCGCAGATTTCGCTTACGACCTTTTCGTCGTGTAACACCCCGTTGGTACTGTCCTGGTGGCCAGATAGTAACTCTTTTCGCGGTGTTACGACGGAGCTCGTCGCTTGGGAAGTAGAAGCGTCTGATGTTGATGATCCAAAAGCACCTAGTGTGTTACAGTAAAGAATAGTGTGGTTAAGACACTTCAAAGAGATCAAATGATGTTATTCGTAGCGCCCCCTTTGTTGTGATGTCTAAAATAATTTTAATACAAGATCGAAATTGTTTTCAGTTTATTTTAACACATATACCCTACTCGAAAATACAAAGAACAACGATATTTTCTACCAGCCGTTTTGCCATTTAGGCCACTGCTTCCAAGCTGTCCAAATCGTATCACTTCTGCGATGGCTATTGAAAAGGTTTAGTAATCGACTTCGAAAAAACACACCTGCCGACATGTTGTCTTTTTGTGCACCCTCGTTCATTGGTTCCATGCCAAGACGTGCACAAGTAGGCAATTCGGACTCGGGAAGAAATCGGGTCTCAGTGCCGCTTGTTCCAATCACTAGACAATCGCGCTTCAAATCAATGACACACTGTGAACATTGGGGACATTAGACAGCTATTAACAAAAAATGAGGTCAAAAAAGGCTATGCTTCATTTTAATTTACCACCAAGATCAGCGTTTCAAATAACTCTAGTTTAAAAGAACTAGAGATTACCCCACGGGTTTCGAATAATAAGATTAGTTCCTAGTGCTTATTCGCTACTAGAAATACGTAATAATTTTATGTGCACTATATGAATAGCACTTATAGCAAGTTCGCAGAAATTACACAGGAATCGACGTATGGTTGACTAACCTGATGACGTTTGAGCATATCGAGGCCTAGCAACATATCTACTGTCTGATCTTCTAGAACCGAGAAGCTCGTATTGAGGTAATCCTTCTCGATCTCAATCGCCACAAGGTGAATGCGTCCGATGATTTTTTGAGTTCCAACGCCTTTGGCAATGCCTGCCCAGCGTGGATCAACGAGTCGCATAATTCCACACCGTTCAGCGCAAGCCGAACTGATGATGGTTGACTGTGCCCCGGAATCCACGAAAGCCTTCACCGGATGCCCATTCACCCGGCAATTGATATACAGCATCGTGACAATACCAAACGATTCAGGATGATATTCCATGGCAGCCTCCATGTTTGAGTTAATATTTTGTTGTCGGATATGTTCCGCGATCAGTTGTTGCGCCTCTGGGTCAAACGGATCGGCCGAGAGCATCCGAGCTCGTTCAGCTTCCTTTTTTTTTACTTCGTCTAACATTTGAGTAAATGGTTCTAAAATGGAACAATCGGCATTGTGGACTTTTTATATTAATTTATCAATTTGTTATCTAATACCATTATCCGTAACGCGACAATTCTCAAAATATCCTGATGTGATTTTTCCCAATTACAGACCTAGGATTTTCTTGCTGGTACTTATTTCCTTTAGTACATTCTTACATGCAGCTTGCTTTGTGATGCTAAAGGCCAGCATCAGTATAGAAAAATTACACGGCTAAATGACAGAAAACCCGTGCCACAAATGTTTATATAACAGACTGAATTCGGAGTAGGGTCACAGTTATAAAACTCGATTTTGTTAACAAATACGTTTTTCAAAGTCACCTGTTTCCTCTGCATTGTGTCACCATTTCCCCTTAGACGTAACAACGAGGCAACAAAAATTACTTTTTTCGTTTCTTTTTCGTAGCTTTTATCAGTTGACGATATCGCATCATAGCTAATATGATCTTAGAAGAATGTTAAAGTTACTTACCAAGTCCAGCTATAGCAGCATCTGCAAGTGATGGGTTGGCGTTTCGTAAGGCGGTCAACAGCGGAGGATTCGCCAAAAGCCTATCACGTATCTCAGCAGGATTTGCAACATTTACTGTAGGGACATAAAGCAGCAACGATTAGTTAAAAAAATGACTAATCCTCTTATAAGTGTTTAAAAAAACATGCTCGTACAAAAACCTAGGTAATTATTATAGCAGTCTCGATATAATATCTAATGATTTCATACAACTTTTAGATGTGTCGTATCCGAAAGCTAGTTGAGGATAAGAACGGACGAGTGCACAAATTACGACGGTCATATTTACAAGGACAGATTTTTCTTCGTCTCAGACACGTTTGTTTCGACATTGCGCTATACCTGATTTTTTAATTAAGGGAAATACCGTTTAATAAATGAATTTCTTGAAATAGTTTTTGGAATATGATCTATACAATTAAATCGCGCAGAAACTATGAGCATGTATGTTAATCAAAAAAATCGAAATAATGCAAGGATACGAAAAGCATATGCTCATGCTTCAATTTATGTTACAACTTGTTCGCATTTATTAAACAAATCTATGTTTCCTTCTATTAGACTGCAAACGTATTTTCAAAAACATCACAAAACCTTGTTCCGCAAAATGGTAATAAAGCGATAGGACTACAAAAGCAGCCTCGCGGTTCTCGAATATAATTGCTATAACTGGCGATAGCAAGTTCGATTGCCATTGCGTATTTTACCGCACGTAAAGAATGATCCTTCTCTTAATTTGAGCTTACTGGTAACTTTTTGGATGAGTCGAAGAGATTTATTCTTTAGACACTAAACTTTTAGATGGGTGACAATTTCTGGTCGTCTGAATCGAATCAAACCTCTTTATTTAGTTTAAAAAGATACATTTTTACACAAAATCTCCCACCCATTTGAAGGCACTCATCTTCATCATTTTTCTTGGTACTACTTTCCCTTGCCACCGTAGATTACCATGTGTCGTCTGCTTAAACATGTAAATAAAAATATTTGCTGAGCAAGCGCTCATTTCATAGTGGCTGCTGTGCCTGTTATCGACTACTATTTAAAATTTTGCGCATATTTGATATTCATTGGAGTTCATTTCATTGCCACTAACAAACATTTTAGGCGCAGTTTGAACTAGCTTTCAGCTGGTATTGTAAATTATATTTATGCCGTGGTTAGTCGACAGCTGCGGCTCTAACCGTACGAGGTTCGATAACGCTAAGTGAATCCAGGCCTTTAAACAGAATATACATGTTTGATTCAGGGGTGGCAAACTTTTCTGATATAGTCTAATCAATTAGTGCTCGTAAGATAACCACACAGTGAGTGAAGAACCGACAGCCAGGCACTTTTTTTCGTTAGGCACGATGTCATCGAGCCCATTTCGTCTTCGAGGATTATCAGATACTTTTCTGTCCAAAGCGGATATGGTGTTCGCTGGTCTTGGTTTACTCGAGAAGCAACACGATGACTGGGCCAAATCTCATGCAAAGGTAAATAATTACACCGCGTAGCAACAACAAATGTTACGCCACATGACTGTGACTGTTCAATACTGAGCCAAGCATCGAACGAAGGCAATTTTGATTAGCCTTTTTAGGCAATTTTGAAAGACACATTTCGTATACTGTGCGCAATGTGTACTTTCTCCCGGCGATATGTCGTTGATATGTACGCCCTAATTATGAAATTTTAATCACTTTTTTCAGAAGGGTCAGCCTTCTCCTCAACAAGAAGAACCAGATACTTTACGGAACAGTGAATTTTTAATTCCATACTCTCGAACCCAACTTGACAGGCGGAACCAGAACGGCGACTTACGAAAAAGACTTTACAAAAGCTCAAATCAACAGCTCTACAGTTCCAGAGATCATCAGTTTCTACACCCGCGAGATCTGCCATGCTCTAGTCGTTCGTCGAAAGTCCCAGATCATAGGTAGTACGACACTGCGATAATTAACTAAAAGATTATTCGTCGCTTTGTTGCAAATGAATGTGATAGAAGAAAATATCTTACTTTACAATGAAATGTGATTCTGTCGAATTGTAGCAAATTTTTCCAATAAGGTGAGAAGTATATACATATATATACACCAATAAGCAGCCGTTTGGTGCACAATATCTGATTATTATTTTTGATCAATGCAGACTCCATCCGGAACGATGGACCAAATACAGCCTCGACTCGGTTTCGGATAACGACCTCTCGGACCGTGGCAATGCAGCAGCTGCTATGAATTTTCTTCAAAAACAAGCTACTGCTTACAACAAAGACAACAGCCAATTACAAACCTCGGAAGGAAGACATACATGCGGGTCTTTTAATTCTAGTGACCTCCGTGCTCACTTTTCGCCTGGGTCTATTAACTTCAGCAAACGATCCCGTCGAATAGAGGTAGATCAATCAAACGAAGACGCGCGACAACCAAAACCTCTACCCAAAGTTCTTACGCATGAGAGTCCGCTATCAGCCGCTCCTCGTCGAATCGTGCCAGAGCACGTGGTTGGTTCTAGAAGCAGTCCACGCGCCATCATGAAAAAACGTAGCATTGTGGGTCCAAAAACCGGAGACGGGGATCGCATCAAACTTAGCCATTTAGTCCACAACGAGGACAGCGACCTCGATCATCACATGCACGTAAACCAAACTAGAGCGGATTCTACTGCTACCAGTAACGTTCCGGACATTGGTTTCGATGTCACTTCATCACGTTCTTCTAGTGCGAACAAAGGCGAGAAGGCAAAACAGATGAGTGCGTCGAATAATGAATCCGGTATCAACATTAGTAAAGAGATTGACGACCCCGAAGCAAGACTGACTAATTCGCCCCCTACGGTAGTGAAGCGTCGCAGATTTCGGGGAGACACAAGAACACGTAACATGGATGAGGATGATGACTAGCACTCAAGCAAAACATTGTGTAATAGCCTCACGACACAGTTTCACCTAAGAAAAAGGTTCTTATTGGCGACTGTTACAAGCATAATACCTTGAGAAAAGTATTCTAATATTTTATCATTAGTGTATTCATCATCAGTTGATAATGTTTAATACCTCTGCTTTTAAAGAATATTTTTGAAGTGCGCACCTGTGACTATGACTCAGGTGATGACTGATAGTGGCAAAGCATTACTATAAGCAAGAAGTGCTAGGCTATACCGTAGATGAAAAATAAATGTTTCCAAAGAACAATTTTGTTGTCTACAACAAAATATACACAAAACACAAAAATTATTTCCGAAGTTTACTATTAGGTTTAGCCTATTGAAACCTACTTTTCGAAGGTGCGCTAGATTGAAGCAGACCGATTGCAAAAAAATCATATGAAATATTTCACTTGAATGTCAATTATTTCACTTAATTTAAAAATAACACTTTCACTCAATTAACGTGGCCTACCAGTACGATAGCCCTCTCTAAAACTTATAAGTCAATAGCTCAATTTATTCAATGGCAAACCTGTACTGCGAAAGGTAACGGTTTGTAACATAAACCGGTATAGCTTCTACAGAACTCATAAAGGATCTTGCAATGGAACTGCCTTGGTTCATTGCCACAAAGGCGCATATACAAGATTGCAGGATCAATTTATCTGTCCCATAAATGCACGTCCTATAATGGAGTAAAGATACATTAAGTAAATACCTAACCTATTTGAGTATTTCGTCCGCCAAGAAATGTTTGCTTGTCAGTTTAACGATGACCACTCTGTGAACCTAAGGTGATAAGAAAATTGAGAAACATAAAAGCTTGCTGATGGTACGACACAAAACTTACCGGAACCTAAGTCCATTGACTCTGGTTCGGGTGCTGCTTGGGAGGTGCCACCCCTATTGACGAGCAATATATCCCCTTCGGAAACGCCCTGCTCCGACAGCGGCCGCTTGTCTCCTACAAGAGGCCGCATATTGTGAAGCAAGATAATTTCGTTAGCCGGGATACCGACCTCAGATTCGGCCAGTGCCTGGAAAGTATCCAAAATACATTTGTTATCACTGTCACCGAAGCAAAAAGGAGAACATGTTGTACTCTCGAAGGCCCCTCAAACTCAAGTTGAATTTCTTAATTATCGAAGTAGTAGTGTACATCGCAAGAATACGAGAATAATGTTAAGTCTCTATTTAGCCGCCTGCAATCTATCCATAGAAGAAGAATTTATTTCACAGATTTCTCACAGCAACAGTGTAGCAACGAATTTGAATAAAAAGCGTGCAAAATGCTTGTGATTGATTTTACGTATCATTTAAGCGTAAGGCCTCACTGAATTGCAAACATAAATCTTTCAAGAATTATCATATTTTATTTATTTGTAGTACCTAGAGTAACATGCTTTGTTAATTTTTTTAGTCTTTCGACTTAAATAAAAAATTAAAAATATAAAAAACATATATATAAATGCTGTAAAAATACTCGATCGGTAGACAACACTTGTAATTATTAAATGTTATGGGTGTACTTTATTTCTCAAAAAGCAGACATTTAAAAAACTTGCGGCGTTCGTGAGAGCTCTGTAAACCGACAATAATCCTAAAACCTTATGTAAGAATCCTGATTAGAGTTCTGGAAACGACATTTGCTATAGTTGCTTTCCCAAAGACACGGTCTCGTGAGTAATGTGGCGTAAAATAGGTGGTCTGTCTCTAGCCTCGTATAATGCGCAATAAAAGTAAGACATCGTAGGTGAGATCAGTTGTGTGGTGCTGCGATTTCCAGTCTAGTAAAAACGCATTTAATGAAGTGCGCAGAGAATCGTAACGGAGCAGCTGACGATGTTGTAAGTACTGAAAAGCCCTTTGCTATTAGCTTGCTTGCATTCTTGCTTTATCGGTTCAAATAAACGTAAAAAAAGTTAGCAGAAATACATATCCATAATTATTATATAATATATAATAATAATTATATATCCAATGCACCGTCAAGCTTTTATGTACAAATTAGTTAAAATAAGTTCTTAACAATAGAATTCAAGTAACGTTTTGAATCTTTGAATGATTATTCTAACTATTAGCTGACACATAAGAGTTGAAATCCTTGGAAAACAATAAATTTGAGATTCACCATAATGGACGATACGGAAAAATGAAAAATTAAATTCTTATAGCATTAACCGATATTAGACAATGAAACAAAAACAAATCTGGATCGAAGTTATAAATGCTCCTCACAAAGAACAATTATATTTAAAAAAAAAAAAACAATTTCAAACCTATCCTCGAAAAGTCATGGCAGCTTAACAAAAATAGCCTAGTGAACTCTGCTGCTGACTGCTATGTCACGTCACAACTAAACGTGACACAAGCACCGCTCAGCCTCCTCTATATTAGAGAAAAAGATGAGGTAAAGTTTGCTATTTCTAATTCTATCTTTGGTATCTAAGATTGGATCGATCTCTTAGTTCAATATGTCAACCATCAGCAAGTTTCCCCTATGACAGTTCCCTATGTGCAATAAGTGCTCACCGAATTTATTCGCATCACCACCTGTTCTAGAAAGTTCTTAGGGAAAATTACATTACATAGCATTGAAGCAATACCGGCCACTTACACCACCGTAATTACACTGACGACAAACCTTGAAATTTTCGAGTTCCATGTCGGCAGGAACTTCGAGGACATACACATCGCCGTTCACCGTACTGAGCGTTACCTTCATTTCGAAAGCAGATCGACAAATAGACCATACGCAACTTAATTTTACAGCTATAATTATCGATAAACTTCAATCGGCAATCAACAATTTCTAATTTTTGTTTCGATAAACTGTGTTGAGCAGAATGAGTAAGCTGCTGTTAGCAGCAAGCTATAGAATGATGATTCGGATCAGTTCGCCGGCAGGCAACGAACCAAAACAAATACGGAGGGCCACTCGCCACAGAAGCCTATCTCTGCGAATGCTATGGAGAGAAGGTTCACCTCCACGAAATGGCGCGCAACTATAGGCCGTAAACAAGTAGAAGAATGAAGATTTTGTAAAATATTGAGCAAGCAGAAAGGTTCGATCTCTGTTGTTCAAGCTATTCAGTTGCAGAACAGGTAATCAAAATCTATCCGCGGTCACATGTGTGGTTGTTAACATATTGTATTCATAAAAAATAGGCAACAGATGTATCAGTACCATTCATATTGCTCATCATGTTTTACGCAGGATCGTTAAGACAAAGCTCACATAAATTATGAATTAACCTGAGCTTTGTGGTTAACGTTGCGTACGGATGTCGTCGTGTAGGAAGCGGTTTCCAACGCGTAGAGCTAAGTGAAACGAATTACATAGGAAAATTGGAAAGGTATTCATAGAAGAAACATGAACGGGACGTATAAATTCATTCGAAAGTATGCTAACTTATCTTTTTTAATGAGCACGGTTGTACTTATTCTGCAGTAACAGTTATATCACTTTGTTGATGTATAGTAAGTTCTACTCATGCACCACGTTCATGTGAGTTTATTGCCTAGGTTTAACTTATGAAACTCTTTTTAAAGTTTGACCGTTCCGAAAATAAACTGTGCTACCAACTTGGGCTAAGAATAGCATATTATAGCATGGATCTTATCACCTCATTATTTTTGCCGTAATATGAAATGTAATTGGTAAGCTAGTAATTGGTAAATGAACAAACATAAGTGATGTGCTCCCCCCTGGAGTCGTTTGGATACACGTGGCGCGGAACTTTATTTAGTCTACATTATTGGGGCATAAGGAAGTTCTTTAGAGCTGATCATACTTCATGCGTAGGGTGCCGCGACCTTAAAGCGGCTTTTCAGTTTTCTTGTGGGTAAGTTCACACCCTAAGATTCGCAAAAGTGAACCTTAACGCGCGAATCTTAAAAAGGGGTGAATTTACAAATGTTGCGGTTTTTGTTAGACAACAAAGGGCTTTGAGATTATTAAATTGATCATCAGGCATCTGCGCGTCGACTTCGCACGTCAGTGATCGCAAGCAATTCGAATCATTGCTCACATGATAACTTGGATTACTCTCAATTCGGCAGAGTGCACTTAGACAAATACCGAGATTTTTAAGTCTGAGAAAATAAAAATCAATTTATCCAGTTCTTTTTAATTGATTCAGAGCTTACACCATGAACTACGCGGTCATTGACAATTTATCTATATGGAATTTGTTTAGACAGACGATAACAGTGAGCGTTTACCTCAAGTTCGAGGCAATAGCTCTTACTTAGATTGAACTTCACAGTGACCATCTCCGTGATGGCTGAGTTTATCACAGTGGAAACAGCAAAAAACAATTGCCGTCTGAGGTTGACATCAGGGCTGAATTAATCGACAAACTTTTTAAATTGACAACCGACACACGAGTTTTATTTTAGACAGTTCTTTCCATAAATGGTTTTGATCTTAGCGTCGTCTGCTCCGACATCGAATGCTGCACTCTCACTGGGCGCAAAAAAGATTGTTCAATTTTACTTGTGTCTAAGCAAATTTAACGAAGTTTCACGTTCTTCCGTAGCACTTCACCATCTTTACAAACTGAAGCCCAACGGAGAACTTGCGTTGATGGGGTATGATACTGAGGCAGACAGCTCTACGGAGCTGACAGAACCTGCCGGGACTTCAGTAAAGTGTGCAAAGTGTCAAACACCAGCTGCTGAGGCTGATCGTAATATCGACCCAAGTGAACTCGAGGAATTGGCAAAAGACCAAAAGTATGTGTGTCATAAGTGTAAGAAAGCACAGGGTAAGATGGCTGTCAACGGAGGACTCTTTACAGCCGATGGAGAGAAGGTAGGCATGATTCAACAATAGGTCACGTCGTTTTCATACGCTTATCGGAAGAGAGATTTGATGTACGACGTTCAGAAGCTGCAGTCGTTTGCGTCCGGCGCATAATAATAATACATTAACTGCGTCCAACAGAAAGGCATTCATAGGTTAGCTCTATTTATGTTACTTATAAACAGACTAAACGTAGTGCTAAAGCCAGGCAAGAATTGCACGCACGTCGGACTCCTATGCTTAGCACTATAGACTACTATACCCGACACAGGATGTTCAATAGGAAGGTTTCCATCTTGAACGCGATGTTGGGGACTCGGCCAGCAAGCAGTGAAGTACAAATAGGAAACGAGAGGGCGTTATGGGGCCTAATAATATGTCGTTTCGTGACATAATTGGGTACCGCATTTAAACCCACTATATTACACTGAACGTTTGTGCTAACGTGGTTAGATATAGAATAAAATGATCACCTCGATCAAACGTTAAAGGGGCTAAACAGACAATTAGAGAAAGGAAAAAAGTGCAACGAAGAGAGTGACTACTAATTGCTGTCTAGAATAGACTTTTTTGAAGTTGACTTTTTTGGAAAATTTAGGTAGGGAGTCCAAATAAAGCGCAGTTAACAATCGGAGCCATGAATTTGTAATCCATGCGTACAATTTAGGGTTTAAAATGATTTTTATGCTAGATCAGAAAAACGTAGTCCAATGACTATTCTGATTATATTGGAACAAATTTATAGAACGGTTGGCTTCTTTGCGTTTTTTCCTTAGATAGATTCATTAAACGGTAATACTTATACTAGATAAAAAGAGCTGCCGACTACGAGTATAAATACGAAAATGTAGTCCAAGAGGCTTAAAACTGGGACCCTTATACAAAGCAAAAAAGACAAATGGAAAACGTAGCCAAAAATACCAAATGTCTGTGGCACAAAATTAACCTTTGATTTTATAGGATAGTGAAATATGTTGGATTATGGTCGGCGAATCTTGGACCTCACGGCTGATGGTTGACTGTAAAGTTGGGATGTTGAAAGCGAAGTTACAGAGCAACCGGATAGGTTGCTCTGTAAAAGCTGATTGACTCGTAGACAGGCTAACGAGCGGACATAGTCTGAAGTTAAGGTGGAGTATAGAATCGAATTGCATATCAGTGTGTTGTTTCTAGCAGCGCAAAATGTCGTTGAATGCAGAGATACGAAAAGAAATTTTGTAGGTTAGTTTAAATTACAATAGATTAAAATCAAGCTTTTTATTAGAGGCGTGCTTGCAGAATGGCTAGGAAGTTCATTCAACGCTGGCTAAACTTGATGCAAATTCAGACGCCAACGTAATGAAACAAGGATACGATCTTCTAATCGATCCAATATTCCCAGAAACCGAGCTACATAAGCGGACTGCTATAATGGATGTATCAGATGATTCCTGCATTGCTTCTGGAAACGTCTTGAGGCTGAATATTCCCTAAGTCCAACCAATTCAAACATGCTGCAATAATTGATTTATTCAAGGCGTAAGGTTATAATAATTATCTATAATCGGCGTTAGTAGTACATCCATAACACACATATTTCCGTTTCTATAGTAATTTTTATTTCCCTCTAATATTCCTTAGACGTTTTGAAAGATTTGTGATAAAATTGTTTTCTTCCAAATAAGGACAAAGTAGAAAATGTGTTCTAAACGTCTGTTTAATAATTTTTCTCGGTATAAATATAATGCCGAGGACGACAGCACAACGGCTTACTAGGTTATCAACTCGTATGTGCAGAAAGTTACGAGAGCTATGGACAAGCCATCGTTCAACCTAGACAGTCCGTCGTACGGTTCCGTCAGTTCGTTTAAACTGTATATACCTAGAAAACCAATACTGATTTGTGAATCTCAGTGCTGGAGCACAGGTGTCATACGACATCACGGCGGATATCTGAGGGCTTGTTTGGCGGTGAATCGTAGTGTCCACAAAAGAGGGGACATTCAAGGGTCTGTTTCATTTTCGCCGAGTAGCGGGGTTTGATGTCGCCGGCAAGTTAATAGTTCATTTTAGATTGTACGGTCGAACAGTACGTTTACTGCGTCAGAGCATTAGTTTCTGCTTGTCTCATTTGAAGAGTTCGTATGAGAAGTGCACCATTGATTCCCCGCCGATTGGAAAATAGGCTATAAATCAGCTACTGGGGTACGTTTTGGCATGGCTTTGCCCATTCGCTTTATCTTGATCCAGCAAAATTAAGAAAAGACTAGATTTTACTGTTTCGATTACTAGTAACTATTTTCAATTCTCATTAGAGGAACAAATTCTGGTTAATCTTTACGTTAATGGCTCTAGTTCAGTTTTCAAACCGTATAATACCCTAGTGTATGATCAGTATCCTTCTAAGTAAGGCACATTTTCTAACAGGACTTTAATATAATAAGGAGGATTTTGTCGCTTCACTCATTTTCAGCCCCGCCTAACAACGTCATTAGTTATGGCGGTATCTTCAACGGCTATGGGTACAGCTTTCCCGAATGGCTACAATCTCGGTGTTACGAACCCGCCTGAACAGGTCGGGAGACTGTCGCTATACTACAAAAGATGGCTACCAAGAATAATATCTAAAAGTACATTATATCCCATTGCATAGCCGGATTTGTAATATGGGGGGTAAATCAAATAAATAACTATTAATCAAGCTATAAATAAATTCTCCGATTGGCCTTTTTACAGAATTAAGCCGTCTCGAATTAGTAATGCAAGAATTTGTAGTTTTCTGAACTTACCCATCAATATTGGGCAACCGAATGTATTGGTTTAACTACAGAACATAATGGCTTTATATTCTAAAATTGAATTATGCCGTTCGTAGGTCATCAAAGCATTTATCAACACAAGTATGACGGTCAATAGCGGCTCAGTGCCTAGTGACGTGGAAGTTACCGGTAACTTCGCTGTAATCGTTTCGGCCATTTGCGTGGGTGGCCTCGTTGGTGGTTTACTGGTCCTTCCAATCTCCAAGAAATGTGCGCGTCGAGCAAGTTTGATGTTCAACGCAATTTTCGCTATTTTGGGAGCGGCCTGTATGATGCTTTCAAGGCAAATAGGTCGTCATGAGTTATTGATCTTGGGCCGCATTTTCGTGGGAGTTCATGCAGGTGAAGGAAGTTTTTGATTTCATAAGAATTATAATGGCCGTCTGGTAACTTGTTGGGAACTAATGTGGCATCTGGCAATGGGAAATAGAAGTCATCCAAATCACAAAAAAACTAAGAAAAGACCTGGGGAAAACTGGCGAACAGATGCTTAGGCAAAGCTAACTGTGCGCGTGACGCCGAACTCGACAAATGCTGCATGGTTATTTTGCATAGAATGTCAAAATGTAAATGGGATGGCCCGCGGATGGCAAAATCGATTTGTTAAAGTCGAAAGCAGTGCTTGGAGGAGCTCCCCGCGGTTATTCTTTTGTGATAATAAAAAAAATGCACAATTGATACACTGCAGACTGAGTGTAATACTTTGTATGGGTATTCGAGTTTTGTCGTCTGGGCTCCATTGCCATATATGAAATTCTCGTAGTAACCATGAAGTTGGGGTCTGTGATAGGTATAAGTGGTGGTATCGCCCCACTCTACTTCAACGAATTATCTCCTGCGGTATGGCGAGGTGCCGTGGGAACAATCTATCAACTTGTCGTGGTCATTGCAATTCTCGTCTCGCAGATCCTTGGACAATATAACGTACTTGGAAATGAGGAAACGTGGCCAGTTTTATTTGGTGAGTGTTCCGTAAAATAATTGTTCGTTATCTCGGCTTTTGGCTGTGCTAACTATAATGAAACCAAATGTTTCTACTTTTAATGTACCTTTGTCATAACGTAGGACAGTTTTGCATTGTACACAACTTAGACACAACGGCAGGATCAGATCCAGATAAAAGTTCGTCTGTTCCCCGGTTTATTGGTAATTTATCCCTTCCTTCCTAATTAGATTGTTTGTCTTGGAGACCAAATTGTTCGAATAAATATCCGAATATTATTATTATTGGCATGTATTGTTATTCATATTTTATAAGTTTTAGATGCCGTTAGTCTGTTGTAGATTTTCCTTGCTTGCTTGTCCTTTTTGTTCTTATGTTTCACTACGGCCCTAGTGTTTATATCTCATAGGCGGTGGCGTGCTTCTTCCTGAACTGCTGATGCTGCTCGTATTGCCGTTTTGTCCGGAGTCGCCGAAGTATTTACTGCTTGAACGCAACGATGAGAGTGGCGCCGAAAAAGGTGTTCAGTAAAACTGCATGTGACTAATAAGATAATTTCCAGCCCGTAACAATATTTTTCGAAAAACTTGCTTGGTATAGGGCGAATCTTAGGGTAGGTGGGATGCAAACGTAGTAGGTATAATCTAGGCGGACGATGTTGAGTTCAAGCGTCCACTAACGCATTTCAGATCCCCCATCTATAAACAGAAATGTAAACATATAGTAGACCTCGAAAAATCTTAATGGAACGTTCCGCTTCATTTCGAATCTATAATTAATGTAACTTTGATCTAAAGGGACCTCATGTTTGCAGAGAGCATATATGTACAGTAATGAAAATGGTGCCAAGCAATTTCTGTCTGATGTTACTCACATATTTTAGCAACATAAGCGCCATAGAATAATTCGCAAAAAATATGTGCATATATACCCCAGGGATATATATGCCCATATTTTTTAGGGAAATAATCCCTATAAGAACTTAACTGGTGGTTTACAATTTTTTTTCCTTAGTTAACCCCATTATTATATTCAGATAGTGGAGTTCATACGGAAATAAAAAAAACGGAACGTTACAATCTAAATATGTGATAAGATGCTAAAAGGTGAAATTACTTGCACGGACGGTTACCTTCGAGACCGTTAAATCCTACATAGGTTTGTATTTTCTGCATATATATTTTTTCTACAATATCTGTAGTCCTACTAGGATAAACAATCCACTTAGATGCTGTCTAAATTGGTTCATTTCTTTTCATAGCTTTGAAGTCCCTGCGTGGGGTTTCTAACGTAAAGAAGGAGCTAAAGGTTTTCAAAGCAGAAGCTGAAAGAATTCGCAAAAACCCGCCTGTAAGTTGGTGATACAATTGAAGATCGACGCAAAACCCATCTAAAATGTGTAGCCAAATTACGAAACTATTGTGATATCGACCAGCAGGACCTTAGATGGGATTGGTTAAACGTCAATGAGCTTATTACAGTGAGAACAAACTTTTAATGAGACTGGTTTGTGACCCAAAGGCAAGGGAATGTTCCTTTGATTTCATCGAAGTGCTAGCGTGGTGAACCTGCAAATTGGAGTAATAATCATTAATATTTCTATTCAGTAAAATGCCTTTTTGTACAAGTGTATTATGTTTAACATCAATGAGTAAAAACATTAAATAGAGAATTAATGTAGAGAGAGCGACAGGTAGAAATCAAGATCCATGGCATTTGTAGGACGCCGCATTAAACACAGATATATTAGCACATATCCAATTGTCCTTTTAAGGTAAAACTTGCCAGTATTCTACAAGATAAGCTACTAAGAAAAGGCTTTACGATTGCTTGTGTAGTGATGCTGTCACAGCCCCTATCGGGAATTAACGCCGTAAGTGTTTTGCACGACGTTGACTTATTTCTATCTATGCAAATTTGGTGGGTACTTAAGTTTGATACAAGTAATTCTATCGTATAGTGACATGTTATTATATATAATACCCTGTACACTTCGATTTTATATATATATAAAATCGAAGTGTACAGGGCTTATCAGATAAGAACTCCTGCTCGTTGATTTCTTTAAGCAAAGCTAGGAAATGTTTTAGCTCTCTTGGGCTATCTGTAGACGTGGCCACGTTAAATAAACTACAGGTTAAGTAATGGCACTAAACGAGACACGCAATGTTTCCCTGCTACAGGTATTAGCGTTAGTTACCCAAACTTGCGTTGGGCGGTTTAGCCGCTGCCAACTTTGCGTGTCCTCTTAATTACTACTCGTTAATATTTTTTTAAGAATTGGGTTATGCTCTCGATATTTATAATCTCTAAATATTTATCTCTCCGCTTTGATGCGCAGGCAATATTCTTTTCAACGCAGATCTTCCGGACTGCCGGGCTAAGTGATAGCCACGCTGGTTTAGCAACTGTAGGCATGTCTGTCGTTAACCTTTTGACTACAATCGTTTCGTTTTCCATCGTAGAACGATCGGGAAGGCGTACATTGTTATTAATAGGCTATTGCGGTATGGGCCTAGTCTCCATCGTGCTGATGATTGCACTTGCTACCTATGTAAGTATATTGTCTATTATTTGCCTAAAGTGCAATAAAAAATTTTGCCTAATAGCGAAACTCACAATGACCCAGCTAGTGTATTTACGTGCACTATTACCGCTATCCCTGTACTTTATTGTTTAGGCCGCGCTTCCATGGATGAGTTGGGTGGCAGTAGTGGGTGTGCTGTTATTCATCATGATGTTTGCCCTCGGAACTGGCTCAATTCCGTGGTTTTTGCCCACCGAACTACTGCCCGCGCCAGCCCAACCTCTCACCACCGGAATCTGTGTCGCACTCAACTGGACTTTTAACATCTTTGTTGGAATGGTATTCCCTCTACTTATGGTACGTGGACACGGATTGTGCTCCGACAACTACCTGCTCTAAAGTGGGACTATTTTGTATGGTAGAAATGGTTAAATCAATTCAAAACCAGAAAACATTTTAAAAACATCCGAATTTTATAAACTTTAGATATGTATAGCATGCATAAAAATTAATCCATTGCGATATATTTAAACCGTGTGAACAAGATCGATGCCACGATCAACTGACGCAAGGATGAATGCCGTATAATAAACTAATATGCTGATATGAGATTATTGAATGTCTTTATGCGTCGTGTCGCATTTTCAGACTCTGATCGGTTACTATACCTTCAGCATATTTACAGTGTTCCTGATGGGTTTCTTTATTTACGTGTGGCGTAACCTACCGGAAACAAAAGGCCGCACTGTTGAAGAGATCCAGGCCATATTTCGGAAGGACTGAGAAATGACGAGAATCTTTTCTGAATAAAGCGATTCAAGCGCTCATTCATAGGTACTATATATATATATATATAATATATATATATATATATATATAAACATCCTTCAAATATTCTTTGAAAAAAAAGTCATGTAGACTCACTAAACCACGTTTCATCTAAGAAAAAAACTGAATTAAATTTTGGCCTTATAACAAGTTAAAAATTTCAAACATTCGAGGTTTTGAAACGGCTAAAAAATCCGACAGGTACAAAGAGGCGCAAGAGTCTCAGATGGGCTACCGTTTGGAGTTCATCTGAACAGTCCGATTGGCAAGAAATGTTCTTACCTCGAAAACAGCCGCTATCTGTGTCACAAATTTAGAATTACTAAAAATGTTTTTTACTTCCATTTAATGAAGTTTTGATACCGCTTTGCCTCATAGAAACAAGCAATAAATGTAATAAATAGAGAAAGCTGACGAAAATTATGCTGTGAATGATTGATGTTATGCAAATATAGTTTTTAATTTAAATTTCATAAAAAAATTACAAAAGACATGATGTGAAATCCATCAGGATTACTGGAATTTATTTTATTTGGATATTTTGATAAATTTAATAAATTTCTGAAACTCTATCGAAATATACTTTAATATTGATATTTGATCTGTATGGAAATTGAGTTTTCAAAGTTTCAATAAAAAATTAATCTTTTTAATTTCAGTCCAGTTCGCTTAGCGTGAAGACATTCGATAATAGTTGTTCTTAATTCACATTCCTCTTACCGTCACCATAACGGGTTTGTTACTTTGTTCTAGAAAGGACAGCCTTTCTTTTAGCGCAATAATAGCAGACGAAAAAGCACCCGTTACGACAAATAGATCGATAATGTCTATCCGGATTTAAGCAGACCACTGGTATAAAAACAACTAGCTCAACTAAAAATTTTCCTAAGTAATAATTATCTATATGATTTTGGGCAAAGAACTAGCTTAAAATTCTTCTAAGTAATAATTATCTATATGATTTCGGACAAACAACTAGCTCAACTGAACGTGTCCAATTTAAGGTTTATACTACAAAACGCGCAGATCAACGCGAAGTGCACTATCCTGATGACAAGAATAACTAATCGTTTTCCATATCATAGCCCGTGAAACGCAAAACACAAAAAGACTTCACGCGAGATTATCAATAGACATTATGCTGACTTCGCTCTTATGCTGAAAATGGTAGATTAAAAAAATAAAGGCAAACATCATTAACGATCTCGGAGCCTTTGAGTATTACTGTGAGTACGTTCTGGATTCCATAAAGAACTGAAGAAAAGCCATTGTCACTGGGCCCTAAATTTTGACTTGTGTACTCCTAGTACACTCTGCGCGCGTATATGTATATATATTGAAGCTGTATCTATACCCGGCAAGCAAACGACCTTCGACTTTGATATTGTTTACTTTATATTTTGATAAAACCATTCGTCATTCAGGCGTACAACTTATTAGCTTTAGAGCTTGTTCGTGACCGAAGTTACCCGTTATTCCCGAAGTAGGATACGTTTAGAGAAACTGCCGACCATACTGAAGTAACACAAAACTCTAATTTACTCCACTTGCCGCTTTATCCTCCTTCCGCCGTCCTTTATTGGCCATAGCCTCTTGTTGCATGTGCTGCTCAGTGGTGGACTCTTTGAACGCGTTGGCTAATATGTTTGGCGTTATCTTCGTAACGCTGCCCCTTTCCATAAGGTGAATATAGGTAATATTTAGCAACGTTTCCTAAAATCATCTGATGGGCCCTTCCACACTACAGATATTGTGACCTCCAGTGGGTCAATCGCGCACTCTTCGGCGGGTCCCATATCCCCGTCCTCAAAAATTTGTTTCCGAGTGCCTGTCGTGCAGTTAACAGTTATAAACAATGCTCCGTGATTGGATGTCTCAGACCTGACATCATTAACGCTGAGCGTATAGTGGTAGTTTTCGTTAGGGTCGTTCGGGTCAACTGTCACGTAGAGCGAGACCGGCATAACGTTTAGGTTAATGACGACCGTGGTAGCGTGAATATTCGACGCCATTGTTTGCATGTTATCCAAGAACTTCATGTGACACCATATGTCGGCTTTTGGCCAACCTCCTTGGCGGTATTTGTGAGAATGCACTTTAAGGTCGACCTTGTTAAAGAACCCATCGAAAAGCTCTTCGATGTCCTCGTCTGCATCGGGCACTCCATGTTGCTCTACCCACTGAGCAAGCTGAAGGTGGGCTTGAACATCACCGAGATTAAAACCAGCCAATTGTGAGACAGAGAATAGCTTGCTATAGAAGTACTTCACGTATTTTCCCTGTGGCGACGTCAATACACAACAACAGCGTTCGTCGAGGAAATCACAAAGCAATGAGTCAAAGAATCAAGATATTAATAATGATTAGTTTGCTATACAGTAGCACTACTACCTAGAACAATCGGGTTGGGATCAGTCAATATTACCAACTCTGCATGATCCCAATGCAGTGCGCAAATGAAGAAGAGCTCGAGGCGAAACACTTTGAGTATAGTTAGAAACCTTTCCGAAGAAGCCCCGCCTCGAAGGGCATTTCGTCGAACAGCTCTAGGCGGCTGTTCAGCTCTCGAATTGGCATGAATCCGCCGTCTAGATCCAGATCGATGGAACATGATAAGTACGGCTGTTGGATGGCTCTTCCTCTTTTTTTGTGATCTTGTTTTTCGATCGCTGTAACGAAGAATGTATCAAGGAACAATACTCACAAAAAACCACAGGAAGAAAGCAGTTTTTTTCACGTCTGTGTCGCGTCGATAGACCTACAAAATTCGACTGAATTCAGCATCAAACTCGGCACCGAAAGTGGCCAAAGCACTTTGAAATAATCTGTCATAACCTACATTTACCCTGTTTCTTTCAACAATGTATAATCCGGTGAAAGCAGTTGAAAAGACGAACTGTTTGTTACTGGTCTACTTAGTCGACAATACGAAGACCCAATTAGGGCATTCAAATGACGCTCTTTCTAATGTATGACTAGTTTTCTAAGTTATTCTCATTAACACCGGACGTGGAGGTAATCGATAGGTCGTCGTACGCAATAAACTTCTAGAAGGTAACATGAAACAGCACTCACCGTCCAATAGCAATCTAGTTAGACCGTCTCTAGCTATTTAAAGGTGCATAACTGGGTAATAATTGAGTAGCAACGAAGCGTCCAAAATGGGGGAGGGACAATTATGCCTGAAACTAGCACAGGCAAACAACCAAGGGATGATAAACTCGACAGTATCCATCTGCTAACAAAATTTACATAAGGTGTCCCAGTTGCAAAATGCTTGCTTAAATAGTTAAAGCATATTAAATCACTTTTGTAATGTTGTCTTTAATATTCGAGCTGGACATTGGTGATTTGTACGAACAGTTGCGGACGTCTATTTTTTATGCTACATGGGCTTTAAACTACGCCGGTTAAGACGTAAGCGCGTTTTCGCTTTAGGCATACATAAGGTTCCGAAAAACACACTCAGTTTTGAGAAAGTAGAACTCAGGTTTACTCTATGAATACATTTCACTCATTTGGTTCGAATTGAAAAGTGTTTAAAAACCGGCTTCTCAAAAGAAAAAAATAGTCGCATTTTCTTGTATTTAGGCAATGTAGGAGCTGCTGCTATGAGGTATGAGCTCTCTTAAAGTGAATCTCATAGTTCCAAAAAACAATCCAGAAATAGTTATTGCAAGAAGTCTGGGTTCTAAAACCGACTCATAGTAAAAAGTAAAACTTTTCTCTGTTTTAACCAAGCTAGGGAATTACACAACACACTATGGCGGGACGACTTTGTCCCCACCCCCACCCTTCCCGTCAATGGCTACCTATGAAGAAAAAAGGCTTTGCCAATTTTTCAAAGTTGTCCATAGCTTTTGTTCACTACCGCTAGAATATCTTTACGTATCTTATATAATGTCTATCTTCTGTATCTAGTTACGCGTCCGGTTGTAGACACACCTAGTTCACTGTGGGGTCGTCCATCAGATGGAACGCCTAATGGCGGTACAGAACGTAAAACTCGAAGCGCTTATTATTACAACTACGCACTGAAGGTGTCTGCAAGCAATGATCAGCTGTTCGTTCTCTCAACTTTTTCGTTCTTTCGTGTTCTCTCTAGCACTATGGCATAAGCTCAATAAACAGCTGGCAACATCTAACCAGATTGGCTGCCTGCCCGAGGCCGACCATCGCTTAGCTCATTGGCAGAAGCGGCGGCGGAGTGATACTGCCCGAGCGATAGACCTAACAGCGCAGCACACAACCGATTAGATGGTAAACACTGGGCTCTTCGTAGACACCGACGACGAGAGCCATCAGCAGCAACTCCTATCCGGAGCAGTTCAGTGCAGTATGTTCGTCTAGTTTGTGTTCGATACAACCAGCTGGCAGCCGGAGACGTTACCTATCGCCGTCAGCTAGTAGTGCATTCGCCACAGATTGGTAGACAGGCGCTAGGTGTTAGTGAAAGGAGATAGGGTGGTCTTGTTGTCAGAGCAGGCTTATTAACCCCTTGCCCCTTCCTTCCCCGCCATCGTCAGTAGAATCTCTGTGACGATAACAATGCGAACGTAACATTAACAGCTTAACATATTGTTAACGTTGCAAGGCGCAACGCCACATCACTACTTAGGTTTCCTGTTGTTGTTGTTGATGTTGTTGTCAAGGGAGGATTTTGCCCAGTTTGACTAAGAGGAGTAACCGATTACAGCCTACGGATATCTGTTGATCGCAGCTGCAACCGCACTCGCCGCTTACCCTGATATAGTGATATGATAGTTGCAGGTTTTGTACAAACATTAATCAGGCAGAAGAAGATATACATAGGCACCACCTAAGGTGTTTCAGTGGTGTGGTACAAGGAAGCTAGCCCGTAACCAAGACAATATTCCATTTGCCGTTGGTCGTACCTCCGCTGTACGTACACACAGGCTCTGGTTAGGTGTGACTCGTGTCTAGAGTGATCACAGCCACAGATTCCAATGGCTCGCTCGAATCGCCGTTAACAATCTACAACGCTGATTAGTGTATGGCTGATTCGACGGCAAATTGCGTATTAGGAAATTCGCTGTACATTGGCAGCACATTCCTGCGTGTCTGTAGTCTACGTGTACTTTTTGTGATCATCAGGCTTGTTTTTGTGCGTACTTGTTGTGCTGTGTGCTAAGTATAACCGCGTGAATTTGAACGGCTAAAATTCGACACCGAATCCATTTACGTTACGACCAAAAAGGCTGCCGAAACGGAAAGCTTGCTGTTTTCCTATAGGGACACGACGGCTTCGCTGCTCGAATAAGCAGAATAGTCTCCACAAGCTAAGAACAATATTCAAAAAGTTCATTATATCAACTGCTCCTGTTGGCAAGAGCGCTTCAGGGTCGCCAAATTATACTTTGTTCGGTGCCGTTACACGACATTCGTCGACTGGGCAGTTCCTAACTGAACAGATACTGGTAGCGCCGTCGGCTGCAGCAGCTGAGCTGACGGAGAAATGGCGCATCGTCGCTGCAGCTGCTTTCTGTTAAGTACTTGAAACGTTAAGAGCCAATTCCATTGGAAAGCGATATGGTGGCGTGTCATAACGACATTTTTAGAGATGTCATTGGAACTCGCTAAAAAAGAAAACGAAACTAATGGTCATACGTGTTTATGTAGCGGCACAGTGCGATCATTCGAAAATTGCAGCTAGAATTGTCCTTCTGCACACGTCACATTGCGCTCTTATGGTTTGCAAGGGGGCATACCTGTAATGAATGTGCTTAGATTAACAAAAAAGGGGTTGATTGGCCTAGATGCAAGCGGCGCAGCTATCCTCCGGTATAGTTCTACGTATAGTGACTTCGCATCTGTTCTTATTACGCTCAGCTGACTGCTCTCAGCGTGCTTACTAACCACTTGACTCAAACGAACGACCCTGGGGAAAATTACTGGCTCTACGAGGAAGTCTGTGGAATTCAGAAGTGCCGAATCGTGGGCTGTGGAGGACATCTTTCCTCAATTTCGCCTTATCATAGTGTCATAAACCAGTATTAATAAATTTCCAACGTAATTGCAAGAAATTCCGTAATACAAATTTTTCTAGAGGAACAGCTAAGGTGGTGACTTGTTATTGACTGAGCTTCGCTCTTGCAGACCGACTTGCTCACTCGACTTTATAGGAACAATAACACACTCGTGTGCCTGCGTGTGCGTGTGTGGTCACGCAGTATTTACGACAAAGGAAATTGTTGACGTGACAAGAACCTACAATTCATCGAAGGATAAAGAGTCCATATAGTGGAACGAAGCTACAGCAACAGTAGGATAATTTATCTGGAGAACCAATCGTTCCTATATGTGCAAAAAGTAACAACTGTATGTGGGTGAATAGAATTACTATTATAGTTTTTTACGCCCATTGCAAATACGATTGCGACGACTTGCCATAACATTATTGGAAAACTGGGACAAGGTGTCTTCCATCACGCCAACATACTTGAACTTAAAGACGCTTTCGCATACTATAGTGTAGCGTCTTTTACGTCTCTGTTTGGCTATCTGTCTGGCTGCTTGGAGCCAGCCCTATTCTACAGACGCCAGGAAGTGTTTAATGAACGTGACCATATATTTTTTGACCTCAATCATTTTCCGACGTGTTTCTTCGCTTTTCATTATGGCCAGAACCGCTGATGGGGGCACAGGGAGTAAAGCCGCCGGCGAAGAGTCATTCGATTGTAATATTTGTCTGGACACGGCGCGCGATGCTGTGATCAGTCTTTGCGGCCATCTATTCTGTTGGCCATGTCTTCATCAGTGGCTTGAAATACGGCCGCAGCGTCCGGTAATAATTTTATAACAATAGTATTGATAAATGATTATAATAGTATTGCACGTGGAGAATATAGTAATGTTCAGTGTGGAGTTGACCAGTAAATGTTGCATGACAAATTAAACTTTGGTAACTTTTTTTCCATAGCTAAGATCACAAAAGCTGTGTATTGCTAAGCATTTTATTATCACTCGCCTAAAAAACTGAGACCATCCGATAATATAGCGGAATAAACTAAACGTTGGCGGGAGTTTTGAAATCGGTGTAGCAACAAAATGGAGTCAATATTGATGTTTTAAATGAGTTCCGTTAGAAATTTTCGATCTTAGAGCACGGAGAGGATTGGCAGGGATTGGGAGGGCTAGGTTGCAATAAATCTGGCTGTTGTCTGTGCTAGAAGACAGCGGTTGGAGTGTTACTGAACTGCTTTGATATATAAAATGCGCAGTTTACTTGATGTGACTGCGATATATCTTAAGTAGTAAAACTATTTTTATTTGAACTAAGTAAAAGGTCTCCAATGAACTTTATCTATTTATGCTGTGTAAAATTTAAACAATGCTGCAGGCACACTATAATCGATCCAAAACAATGCAACGTTGTTGTTCTTGTTATTACATTACGGCTTAAATCTTCAACCTGGGCTCTTTATATCATATTAGCGATGCAATTGATTAATAATAATAAATTAAATAATAGAGGTCGGCACTCTTCTAGGATATGTTAGTACATCGTAAGTAAGGTTTCGGTCCGACTACCGAAACCAAAAAATGTATATTTCGGTACAACTAAGAGTATTAGTCGTACCGATAAAATGTTTTAAACTGGAATTAAAAAATACGATACTTCGGAATTTCTACATTTCACCAAACTCATAAACCGGACGGCTTTCACGGGGATGACGCAATATTGATGTATGTGTCTTTATCATGCCGTAATGAATGTCGAGCTTCAAATTTACGTGTAAGCCACGTTTTGTGCTTATCAACAAAGTGAATCATTAGCCAGGGCCCGCTAGAGATGGAAAGTTGAAGCCGATTTGGAAACCTTCTTATAGCTAACTTGCCTATTTTATTATGCTTATTCGTTACCATTGAGTTCGAAGGTCTGTAGTGCTCCGACGAAATGGGCAATGGTATTAAAGTATTATCTTAGTGTTCACGTGAGCCGATTATCAAATGTCGGGTCCTATGTGACGAGAAACAGATGTTAGTTTTCAGGTCCTACAAAATTTACCCCAAAGATTAATTTCGCATGCCTTTTCGAATAATAGCATCGTATTCTAATATTTCTTTCATAATTATTAATTTGCCAGCTGCTTAAGTAATCAGTTACTTATGGCATCGGTTTTTCGTCCCATTTGCTCCTGTTAATTAATTTTGGGACAGGTGTGTCCTGTCTGTAAAGCCGGCATTGGTCGTGACAAGGTAATTCCTATCTATGGGCGTGGCGGATCGAAGGAGGACCCTCGGGATAGGATGCCTCCCCGACCACCCGGACAGCGAACTGAACCGGAAGCTACGTCGCGCGCTGAAGCACACCACTTTGGATTTGGAGATACATCGAACTTGCAAATGAACTTCGGAATTGGTAACCAGTTTTACTAATTCGTAATGTTTTCGTGTTTGATATTTTTGATTATATCTCGATCATCTTTGACGTTTTACCAAATCATTAAAATTGAGCTCTTGTACGACCTTTCTGCAGCTATATATTATTTTAGTTAGTCCCTTACATATGAAGCATAATTAGATCCTTATACGAAGCTAAGCCTAGGTAATAACTTAGTTATTAACTAAGTTATTATGCTCCTGTTTTATTTACCGGTTTTAGGTGGATTTCCCTTTACACTGTTTGCCTCCACGTTCAACTTTAGTGTACCAATGACGGGCGAACGGCAGGCAGGTCCTGTTGGACCTGATTTCCACTCGGCTGAGACGGTAATGATGGTAGGTATGCGAATCTGCTGTATCGTAGGCTAATCTATTCGCTGGTAGTAAAACGACTACGTTAATGAAAATAATTCGAAACAACGCTGCTGGCTTTACAGTAACAAACTGACATGAAATCAAAGCAATTTTGCTTACACTGATTTACATGAGTAAAACGAACGTTATGCTACAAGCATTCTGGCGTTTAAAGCATTTGCCAATTGAGACAAAGTTGTTTCAAATTATTTAAAGCTCTTCTGCTTATGCTAGGAGCTAGATAACGTCAGCGTTATGATATAAACAGAAAGATTTCATCAGCAATCTCGAGAGTATCGAGCGATAATTTCCTGCCCAGTTTATACCGCAACATTTACGATAGGTTCACTTTTCGGTTCGGTATAACTCTCTATAAAAATTTGGAATGTTTTTTGGAACCTTATTTTTTTGGAAATTTGGAACCTATCAAAAGTGTTTTTTTAGGTATGACAGGAATATTTTGATTCCAAATTATTTTTACATTCGTTATATTTCTTGCCATCGATACGCTATGATATTATTGGGTGTGCAAAGAGTTAGGCGATCCGTTGCAGATTGGACTACGTTTGGCGGTTTACAAAATAATCTTTCATGCATTATTTCGCAAATTGAAATTCAGACAACGATATTGCATTGGTTATTCAGAATATTGAGCAACGTTTGAGGTCGTGTCTTTTTTGCTCACATAGACGCCACTATAGTTTATCTGAACTTGAATCAAAATCAGATTGCATAGAAGGCTACTATTGGGACCATCAAAGTGAATCTTGCTCAGAATGGCGTAATTTTTTGAACGTCCTGTATGTGTATGATAAAAAAGAAAGAAGGCATTTTCGTGTATTTTCGCTTAGAAGTATATCGAAGTTAGACCCTTGAACGCTGCTTTTTATACTCATTTTGCTGATATCGTTATTGCTGCATCAATCTGTCATCATCTCTTACTGTTTTCGTCTTGAACTTGTGTTGTCTTGTTTGTTGTTACGTACTTTTGTAATTTGTTTGCTATTCTTATTGTTGTTGTCATCGCAATAAAATCGTAGACTGCCATGGGTCTTTGTTATTTGTGAAAATTGGCAAGAATTACAGTGACTTAATGCTGCCGTCGCTGACGGCTCCTGATGCTGGGAAGTTCCTCGTGTATCATGTCGTTTGCTTTGTTTCGTTGATTTAATATGCAGGACCAGCTCGTGTCGAAGTTGTTCATCTGGCTAGCCTGTATATTCCTGCTGTGGTTGATAGTCGTGTAGCGATTGCAGCGACAGGAAGCATAATTGACTCGAGAAAGCGACGGGCGCTCTGATGAGCATCCGCGGCCGTGACCGGCTGAACATCACGCTGGATTACAGGGATTTACCTAAAGATTTCCGAGTGTCAAGTCACCCAAATTATTACAATTATATGTGGTGTTATTCACGTGTAGTCAAAATCATCAGTGGAAAGGAAGGGTCCTGACTACTTTACCTATTCCTGAAAATGGTGATGATTTTCAGTAGCGTATAGCAGCGAAACGCCCACATACGTAAGATTTGACAACTGCGGAACACGCGTGGACACGTTTTAGTATGTTCTTACTCCCGTTTCCTCTTCCACGCCCTGTGAAGTTAAGTCTCGGGTGGTGTTTTAATAGACTAATTGCGGCCAACGATCAGTCGACGGTAACGAAAAGTCATCGAAGCAGATCTCTCTCATGGCCGATGCCAGTTTCTAGGTCAGCACCAAGCGTAATTATGCCTGCCTTATCATGTTTCAAGATCTGGGAATCAGTAGTGAAAAAAAAACTTCCAAAGCCATTTGATGATGATAATAATAAATGCCTACTCGTTCCTGTGTCAACATCATGATCAACTGCGGTAGCAAAAAGGCTGAGACGCTACCTAAAAAACAGACCTAAATAAATGATTGATTTTAATCTACACAACACAAACCGTTATACACCTAGTTTATACTTCAAGTGGCTATGACGGGAATCGGAGTACGTGATACACCGTTGAACTCATGGAAGTCAAGCCGCGCCAGTAAGACGACACGTGTAGTATCTAAACAGTGTTCTCGTCCGCTTAATCGGTCAGGTAGATATATGGAGTATATTGATGACATAGAAATGTGCAAATAGGATTACCTACAACCAACTGTTGCTTAAAGGAAATGTCTGGTCATAGGGTTACCCATTGTTGTGTGACTATATCACCAGTTTTGATTTTTTCTTTGTAGATATTTGTATTATGGGTAATGTGATATTGCCATATGACATTGTCATTACTGTGAGACTGTGTAGAGATTAGAAATTATGGAAAGATGCCAGTATATTGTGGCAACTGCAGTCGCGCCAGCGAAGTAACGCATTTATAACGACGCATCGCGGTGCTGCTTTCATCTGTGATTTGATCGGCCAATCGGATCATCGATACCCTCCGACACTTGTGTGTATGTTCTATGCGGTGATAATTGCTGAAGACTTGTCATACTAATGGACTGGTGACAGTGATGACATCAAGATTCGAGAAACATTTTGTCGGACGTCTTTAGTCTGGGCGTTGGTGGTGAATCGCATTGGCAAAGTTCGTAATTTTTAGGTCTTTGTTAAGATCAAGCTAGGTTAAGGGCGCTGGTTAATTGATTTCGCCATAGTATGCGACTGAAGAAGAACTCGTTTAAATTCGCGAGCTTGCTTTACTATCAGAAGGGAGAGATCTATATATAAATGTAATTAGAAGCCCACAGGTTAATATATTACGACTGAGTGTAAGGAAAGTGGTAGAGAAATCACGTATGTCTATAATAAATAGGTAGATATAGATAGATAGATGGATGTAGGTAGGCATATATAGATGGCTAGATATAGGTAGATGGATATAGGTAGATATATATAGATAGGTAGATATAGGTAGATATAGATAGATGGATATAGGTAAATATATACAGATAGCTAGATGGGCGGTAGATAGGATCTGATGGTGACCTTGTTATAAGAAGCGAGAAGGGGTATGAAAACTTTTTAAAGGTCGGTGAAGTCTCTTTTTCTGAATTGTATGTCTAGGTACAAATACAAAGCCCGAAACATATCGTTGAATTAATCTATTCTTAAATAACGAGCACACAGCTGTGCAGAACGATGTTGAAATATGCAAAAGCATGAGCTCTTAAAATACATATAAGTAAATAAAAATCTATATTACAAATATTACGTGTGTGTATGTATTGTATATAAACTTGATGGGCGTTCCGGTGATTACAAATGTAAGATATGCATAAAGATGTGAGTAATTCACGGGGGCATAAAAAAACGCATGTAAATTCATTCATTTTATTGAATACGCCGCTGCGTGCAGCATCGATAAACGGAAAATTATCGGGGTGTTGGCTCAATTTATCTTAGATAAAAGTATATACTGGAAAACATGCTTGGAATACTGAACAATCCAATTATAAATGAATGCTCGTTCGTAGAGTCTAGTATAGTACAGAGCTCATTCCATCGGCCACTGTTTGCTAAGGCACTGTTCAAGGAGGGTCGCTTTTCTGTGGTGGAAGTTCAAAATAGACAGTTTAGGAATAGACGTGCAATAATGAAACATGCGGTACGTGAAATAGTGCGAGCCTGGTATTTTCTTAAAGAAATACGCAACTTTCCTTACGAACAAATATATATATATATACATATATATAACTTGTTCACTGGCAATTTGCGTCGAGCAGTTTCACATGAGAAAGATAGTTTCTAGTAATATTAAAGTTCAGACGTATTATTTGTTCCTACGCGGAAAGTAATAGCCCTGCATACTCTTTATCACTATCAAATTTTCGATTATTTGACGACTGATTAAGTGGCAGCGGATTTATGCGACGCCTCGAAAGTTAACTGGTTCATTGGACCGTACGCGCAAATGTGATGTGATCGCGTACGGTACGATTTCTGAATATTGCACAGATTATTGTCAAGAACAAAACTGTAATGACCACATTGGGCTTTTGACACGTACTGAAGTTACAAAACGAAAATATCGAAAAGCACCTTTTTGGATGAAAGATGAGAAATAAAATACGTAAAAAGGTCTAAAAATCGCTACTAAGCATCTTAATTTTGCGTTAAAATAGTAGGGTGCTCTTTTTCCTATAAGCATAAGACGCCCCATAACAGCAGACAAGCAACAGCGATTGATAGCGACTCGTAGAGTCAATTATTAAACAAATAAGGTACCACAAATGAGCTTCTATATTGTCTTCGCAGCATAATAATAAGTCGGTGCCCATTAAGAAAAAAACAGGTCACCAATTTCATTAGGTCAGTCACTAATTTGCATAAAAATAATAATAATCTTCAAGTTCTCACGCTCACTTTCAAGTAATGGTCCGATACGCAACCTACAGGTCAGGTACGTGCTAACCGCAATCTAATATCGAAATTTGTCTTCCAATTTCTACATAGTTTGTATTCAGGATCTTTTACGCATCAGTTTACGAATCAAAAACTGATCCGTAAGATCCAAGTCAATGCCTTTGTTCGAAGTAGCAGCAGTCCAACAATGAATCCAGGCCGGTGAAGTAAGTATAGGATTATTGATGGATCAACAGCTACAGCCTGTGCATAATGCGAAGGTTAAAATTCCCGCTCCATTCAATGTTGGCGGGGTTTGAGAAATAGAGTTTCCGAATCTATGATTATTTTCAACACAGTACTTCAGATTAAAGTGTTCTATTAGATGGAGACATCCTCGATCGGGGGATTGGCAACTACACTTATATGTATATGAAGCTTATATGTATATATATCTACTTAATAAATTCAACCACCCACCCGAATGAATAAATATTAGGACCTGCTACAGGTTTAGTCGGGAAGTTCTATTCAACACCGCAAAACCTGAACAGAATTAGTATAGAAATACTGGATGCTGACTTATCAGTTGTAAGGGATCAGAAACAAGCAAACTGTAGGGATATTATTTGATTCAACAGGAGTGGATTTATTATAGGGAGGACACTCATTATCTTCGCTCACAAAGAGCGACTTCATATCGATTTTACACTACTCTTCACTCTATCGGTTATTTGTCATAGCAGACGCCAACCGAATTGCAAGATGTTGCTGAGCAATTATAATGGCTACCTGCTAAATGCTATTACACTTGGAAGCTTTCAATTTATACATTTCGATTAGTATTTTATGTAGCAAAATACTAGTGCCAGTCGTTATTCAACTCTCTTTCGCCTATCTTTAGTGAAATATGCCAGCAGAACTGTTCCCAGCAAGCTAAGCTTCGGTATGTCCGTGAGTCTTCTATCTGTAGCCGTTGTATTGTAATTGTTAGTATATGCAGCGGGTATTAGCTTGGAAACCTAAACTTTTTCTAGACTTGCGATGCTGCTAATCGTGGTTAGTGTAGCCAGTCGTCGTCAGAACTTAACACTCAGACTATCGGGATCAGATAATGTCGTATGTGGCACACTTCGGGAAGTATCCTGAATGGAGCCCGCTGTCAGCTAGTGGGAAAATTATAGTAGATTGGAGAGATCTCAGACGACAAACGTGCTCGACTAAAGGTTCGAGATGACTTGAGGTTTGCCGAAAGTAAGTAGCGGTTTTTGCAACGATAATCGCGGTGACCTCTTTTGGAGCACTACTGGGAAATTCAATTTATAGGTAACTGTGCATAAAATGATCGTCTTTCTCTATGAGTACGCTAGCTACCAAGGCGTTGTATGTGTGTGATTGCTGCTATTTGTTGATTACTGATTTTGGTAGAACTCTACGAATAATTGTACATGGTGTTGGGAACAAAGTTTTTTTCCTGATTACGAGTAGTTACAATGGATTATCTAGCAAATTGTCTGGCAAATTGATGTCATGGTAGATTTAAAAGCGGAGAAACAGCTGCGAAAACAGCTTCCGTATATTTCGGAAAGGTATTATCTATTTTCTTTGTTCAGGCGATTGGCACTGTATGTTTACTAATGTGGGTGTGTAAACTGCCGCGGTCTGCGACTGACGCACGCTACAGACATTTTCTAATAATGCATAACGACAGGTGTAGTTGCCAGCTTGTACGTTTGCTGGGCGATATTATAAGTTTTTAATCTTGTTACGCTAAACAGTATACTTATACTGTTTTTTTTTTATGATGATTTTTATGATTTTTAGAAATACTTAGCTTACCATAGTTTTAAGAATAAACAACTAAGGAAGATGAAGATCAGTTTGCCATAAGTTAACAGCCTTGTTTTTCCTTGAAACTGCTCTATCTCCACCCTAGGGCAGTCTGTTCCCATATAGGGAAAGAAACCACTTGTTTTTCGCTCAATTATCGCCCTCAAGTTGAGTGATGAAACCGTATCTGCGTGGGTACAGCAAAATATGATGACTACAAAGTTAAACACTCTTAACTTACAGAATACCCGAAAATGCTTCAGTTGTTTCTTTCACGTTAATACAGGCATCATTCATATACGGCATTTCATAATTACCTCAACAAATTCACCCGCTCTGAGGTCGTCGAAAAATCGGTCGGAAAAAAAGTCGTCAACCCGAAATTACTTGTCTATCTCAAAAATGAGTCCCATCAGAGAGCTGAAACTTCTTGCACTTCACGCATCGATGTAATCAACGGGACCCTGCTAACCTGAAACAGCAGTGAAAGATGGAGTTGCAATGATAGCCCTGTAATGAGGATAACACGCAAAGCAACACTGAGCCTACTAGCCTAGAGTCACTTAGGCGAATAATATATTTTACAAGCCTGTAAACATTTTAGGAATAGGTTGCGGTTGCGAAATCAAGCTTAGCATCTACTTCGAACGCCGAAAGTAGATACCACTTTCCATAGTTTTTGTATATTTTTATGGATCTAAAGGGTGGTTACTTGTGCCAATTTAGACCATATCGTGTCGGCTATATGCGAGACCCTGATAGGTCGCATCTGAGCATGTTAACATACTGTGATAAATACTGCCACAATGTTTGCTTACTGGAAAGAAGCCTTCAGACGTTTATCGAGCTCCCAAGAATCGAGCTCAATCATTCTTTTCTCACATACAAACCAGAAGCGAATATAAATGAGCTTAAACTGCTTTAGACTTTCTTTGCATCCATCATTAGGAGAATATATCAGATTTGGGATAAAGAAAGTGAAGAAAATCAAACTACTTGCCCATCCGTGAACTTTTCGCGCGATTTTTTAAGAGGAAATTGCAACATTTGCACTTTCTATTCGGATTTCGAGTGGACGGAAAACCTGCTCACAAACTCGCAGGAAACGCATCCGCACATTCATTCGAGTTCTTACAGCGGATGGTGCTGGATATATTCCTAAGTCATGCGAGTGCCAAATTAGCATGTCAGTCACTAGCGCATATCTAGGCTCTACAATGGTTTTTTTTTCTTTGTCAGCTCTATGCTGTACGAAAACTTCGTTTTTACTTGCACATCTATACATGTATATGACTGGCACACATGTACATATTGCCTGCTGTACATACGAGCCTGTCAGATGACGAATGGGGGTTCCGTAACTTCCGTTTGGTCTAACTAGAAGAGAGGCCCTTGTGACTTGATTGATCGAGGTAGTGGTTGAAAAGGTTGAGCTGACAAGCTGGGTCAACGTGGGTCAATGAGCTGAAAGAGTAAGACGAAAAGACAATCTGCTTCTCTGTACTTTCAAATCTAAGTAAACTGCTGTAAAATAGATATTGATAGACTCGGTTGTATAGTGAGTCGGCGTGCATCAACAAATTAGCCCATCGAACGACTAACATGTCATCGCAATCGCCATTTTCTGTCAAGTAATCGTCCTCGCTTGGGCGAAATGTAACTAGCCAGTCATATACTTCAGGATACGTATAAAAGTTATTGAACATCTTTGTTGCGATTGTCCAGTTTGTTGTCATCGTCGGACACGCAGGTATGCTGAGTCGAAGAATTAGGATCGGTGGAATATAACAGCTTTCATTAAACTGGCAATTTTGAGACTTGTATTTTGTCGCTCATATGATGCTATTACCAATACATCGGAGATCATGTTCTACACAGACGGATATCAACAAAACATAGATATGTGCTAAATGACAATTTTATCTGCTTTTCTTCTGCCTTCTATGAAATTCGTTGTTCTTTCTATAATTTGCATATTCCGTAGCATGCGACTTTAATTACATCGACAGATCCATTGGTCCATAGTCGCTTACCATAGTAGACAGTGTTTTGCGGAAGGGTAAACGCGGCAACATTTGAAATTGTTTGTTCCTATTGGCATTTTCAAGCTTCAACTATATGCTAAATTGTAGTCAGTAGGTACATACGCATCATTTCAATTTAGCGACAGACAGTATCAGTCATCGAAAGAGATAAATATCGAAATGGTGTGTAAAGTTGAGAAATTGAGGAACACCTCTATTTTATAGCGACGATACTTGTGCACCAATAGTGCGTCATAGCGTTGCTACATAGGCCCCCCAAAAGGAAATATATATATATATATATATATATATATCTGTAATTCCTTCGTAATCTAATGAAAATTGCCATACTTATATGTATTAATATTATGTGTATGTATACATGTATGTATACTCACACTTATATGTAGAATGGTATAAATTCATCATTAAGCAATAAAATAATAAAAAGCAAACCTAATATGCTAAAGCATTGGCTCGGCGAGATATAAAACTAAAAATTCGGCTTCACACTTCCCATACAGTTCCACAAATTTGTCAGTCTTTCGGCCTAAGCTCGCTAAGGATGTTGGCCATGTTTTGTGATTAACATTAGGAAGTAACGAGTAATCGAATGGTTACTAACGGGGTACATATCTTAGTTAGCGATGATATCAGTTAGTAAAATTAGAACAAGTTCTCTTTCTGAAACTTACGTAATGCTCTTCAATACACACTTCGGTGCAGAGCCATGTGTGCATCAATAGCGCACGCAGAGTACCATAGAGAAGCGTTAAATTTCTGCTATCATTGATACTACTAATATGAGAACAAGTTTATACTCGTCTAAAAAGTACTTAAATGAAATATGGGGTTCGTGCTTCGAGGTTAGCTTTAGTTTATCGCCGTCACTAATTTTAACCGTTCAACCGCTCAACAAAAAAATAATTAACGAAATGTTTTTCCATCCTTCGCCTGTTAAACAGAGAAAATCGCATAAACATTTGTCAATCTATCAAGTTTCTTAGACCCCGTTCTTGAATCCTGCCTGGATATAGTGTACCCGTGAGAAAGAAGGGAATTTAAGCAAATATCGGACAAACAATTACCTCATGTTTCTATATGAAAATCTACAGTCGCCTCTTCAAGTGTTAATGCCGAGAACAAGTAATATGGTTGCTTATCATTTCCACGTTGGGAAGATTAGTTGCGTGTTTGTTATGCTTATTATACGGTAGCAGCTGGATTCAGGGAACCCTTGCCGCCATCAGTGTTTCTAACCTTGAAAAGCTAACAAACTTCCTCAATATGCTCCGAAATCATATAATTCTACCGAGATGCTTCTACTTGTCTATACCTATTTCATAGAAAAAGTACATCATCCAGTACCAGGAAACTGTAATGGGTACGAACGGGTTCCGGCCCACGAATGGCAATAACAAGTTGCCGAATCAATATGCGAGACCGTGATTTACAAGTAAAAATATGTACGCGTATGTTAAATGTTGGCATCTTTGGGGAAAAACGCGCATGTTCTTATCCGATATTTCAATATATTTTTTAACGGGTTCTAACTCACATTACTTAAAGCCCACAAGTTAATTTATGACTTTAACTGGATGAAGCATAAAACATATTTAACACGGGACCGTAGAAAACGTGCCAGAAAAACGCGGCGACCTGTAGTCTGCGGGCTGGGACGCCATTAAAATCACTGATGCAATGGCGAAACTACCCAGTTGTGTACCTATGCATCAAAACACCTGTATACTTTATGCCCGTCATGCCGAGCCTCACTGGGACAAAAGAATTCACATATTCAAAGAAGCGATTGCCTCGTTTGGAGGCAGCCAGAAACATCTTGAGGAACAACGAAGAGCATAAAAGGCATAAGGGAAATGACGAGTTGCGGAAGCTGAGGGCACGTATGTCACGTGCGGGTAAAATATGCTGGGTCATAAGTTTCGAACGATGTAACAAAACAGACGACTTCGACTACTGATCGCAGGTTCCTCGCCATGTCGGTGTTACTACTTCCGGAAAAATATCCAGATTCATATTTCTAGTTAAGATGTGATAAATTTAGAATAGGTCAGCCCTGCCGAACGTGTCAGAACTTATAGACATGACCAAATGTACGAAGGGATCGAAAATAACGAATGGTAAAGGGGGTTGCAATATGCACCGAGGGGAGCTTAGATATGCTGAACAATTGGAACATGACGAATGCATTTATGCTGTCTATAAACAATGTCAAAAAGGCCTTTTTCGAAACGATACTACATTGTGGAGCATACTACGCGGTGGCATGCAGCGAAAATTCACCTAGAAAAAGAAAAGTGTAGTGATATTTTATTCAACTCTGCATCTGACCAACGAAAACACTACAGAACCGTACCGTCGCTGGATGGTTGTACGACCATGTTGAAAAAGCAAGGAGAATGAAAATATAAACGTCAATATTAAATATCTTATTCCAGCACTGGCGACAATAACAACATATGATTTTTCTTGCGTCAATAGTGAAATGCATAACTCGGCTAGTATCCGATGTATGCTACAATGCACAGGTTGCACTTGTTATGCATAGTCGCACCCGTGACCTATCGGTAAGTTATGACGATGAGGCCGACTACGACATAGGTGACCTCCAGGATGGTCCTGGAGTTGTACGTCACGCGCAACGGCGACGTTCGTGCAAAAGTTGTACCGGCTGCTAGTGTCTTTTGTCCTCAGTGCTTATGTCGTGCGGTTCAATATCATCAAGGATGTATATTTATATATCCATACAGATGAACGCCGATTAGGCTACGATATGTAATAGTCAGGAACTAAAGAAAAAGGAAGCTCTTTGAGAGACGTAACAACCTACGTTCAGTTCATCTCCGACCAACGATGTGTGTGCATGTGAGCACATGAATTCCCATATTTATGGCAGGCGCCGTGAATCACAACTAACGAGTGCTCCTTCAGTCGCTTGTTTATGTGCGCGCTCACGTAAGTGACACTTTGAACAAAATACGTTGGAAGTGAGATACGACCAAATATTGCTCACACTATGGGTGGTCTTCGGGAGTTTTGGACAAAATGGAAACTACCGTGGTGTAGTCCACGCCGGCCACAAACCCGATTTCCTAAACTCAGTTCTGTAGATAAAGTCGCATTCAGAAAAGCTTTCGACGCTTCTCGATCGGATATCTGCTATCTATTTGCTAACCACTGGAAACATCCTAACTTGGTAGGTAATCTTCATGTATATATAATAGGAGAAAGGAAAAATAATCGATCCTTCTAATCTTTAATTGGTAGAAGATAACATTTCGCACAATGTACACTCCGCTGTTCGCCCGTCATGCTCTGTGCTTCGACATGATGATAAAGCCTCAATTAATATACAAATAATTTTCTTTGATGTTATATTCACCGGTATTATAGAAAAACTACTTATCTATTGTATTGGAAGCACTAATTATTTCTATATTCGTTAAATCACTTTCGGTAAGATAATGTAGGTGTTACGTGTCGATGAGCGGAAAGTTTGGGTAGGTGTGTCTTACTAAATGCTTTATTATAAGGACCTGGTATATATTAGTAAGAACGGCCAGGTTTCGTTATTATTATCAAGATTAGATGATCTGTATGCAATATTAACAGATATGTTTGGACAGTTGCTCGTGGGAGATGCCATTAAGATTCGAATATAGGACACAGTAGCCCATATGTCTTAATTGTCCAGAGTGGTCAAGACAAACTGTCTTCAGCTACCAAACATTTGTGAGTTTGAATGGCTCATTCGATTTCTTCGGCACTCTGCGGGTGCCTAGATATATCTGAGTCTAACCTGTAACTGTAGCCGTACCTTTTTTCAGGCGTTTACTTACTACATTCTAATTGAGCCTACATACGCGTATGTATGTTTGCAGAAGAAGTATATCATGTGGTTCTACAACTCGATAATGGGCGATCGCGGCTTCGGAATTGGGTGTAAGGTTCCCGACCAATGTGAAAGTCGTGTGAAACTAGTGGAACTATTCAGCCAGATGTGGCAAGTCGTCGATATTCCTGAAACGGTCATTTACGCTTTTGACCTATTCTTTAATAAAATTGAGTATTGCTTGGCAAATGGTTGGTACCAGGGCCTTTCATGGAGGACGGATGAAATCGTCGTCATTTTAACCAAAAACAATGTTCGATACGTATTAGAATTAAACACTGCCATTGACATTCCAGTGAGCTGGAGAGATTCTCCATCAGCGATGACAGTATGTATTGATAATGGTCGGTACTATGATACAATTCCCGTCGAAGTGCAGGAACACATACATTTTGTCAACGGGACGTTTGCGTTGAGACTTAATGGCAGACGCGGGCTAAGGAAAGAAATCACCTCAACTAACTACTGGAACTCAGAATCACCGCGCGAACCTATTGAAGTTCACGGGTTAGATGTTACTCTCAGCATGAGATGGAAAGGACCACACGTAGATATCGAGACTTTTGTTGACGATGTCCGTCTCCATAATCTACCATATGGAACCCTTCCATTCCAATGATTTCGGAATGTTGAAACGGTCGCAGTAGACGATTTTTGCGATATAAAGCTTCAGATAACCGCAATCGAGAGTAGCTGTTGTTGAAACAATACAGCGACATGTTTTTCTAGTCGCACCAAATCTTCTAGATAAAAACGACGACAAAGGGGTGCAAGGAAACATAGTCCGGCGCATACAGTTGTAATTATCGCCATTTATTTTTACTACATACTTCACGTACAGGTACATATAACTCTGTAGGGCGCCAAATAGAATAATAGAGTAATGGCAGAAACAGACAATCGCGGTAAATACCATGTAATAATGCAATATATATATGTTAGAGGACAACTTTTGGAGTAAACTTAATAAATTCATAGGTAGAATCTTTATTTTTGATGGCTGCGCGATTCGTGCAAGGCGCATCTGTTTTAAAATTATTAAAAAAAAAAAAAGATTAAATCGGGTCTGACTTAATCTTTCCTAGTCAACATGATTGTATTGTGAAGAACGACCGCATCGAAAGAAATTTATCTTTCGCCTTTTTTTACATAGGTAGTTTGTCTTGTTGTTTATTGTTCAATAAAGAGTTTTTCTAGTGTGCAACAACAGAAGAGCAGACAACTGTTGAATAATAATTATTCTAAACGAAAGCTTTTTAGACCTGGATTATTGCTGAATATTGAATAAAGAAATAATATTTGTACTTCTCAATGGATCATTCAAAATTAGCGGCAGGTCTGTGGATTGTCGCAAGTACGCCCATTTCGCTACCCCGGTCAGGAATATTATCTCTAATTTTCTAGCTCAGGTTGAAAAGCGTAGCCGTATTATCTAATTAGCTTATTGTATTTACGATAATTTCGAGTGCCGCGGCCGCGTCTGCGTTTCCGACTATAGTCCTTTCTATTATGTTTTTAATTCAGCTGTCTGCACGGTCAATTCAATAGAACAGTCTCCAGCTATAAGAAGCCGAGGTTGAGCGTTCCAACCCGCCATCAGCATAACGGGTTTAAATTTAATTACCCCTTTATAATTATTTCGCTACAGTTATGTCGTCACGTGTTTCCTTATCGTGCCAATAACAAACGAGCCATTTCATGGCCAGACTACAGATGACGACAACTGTCTGATAAGTGGATGCATGATTTCTTCTCAATTCATCATAGCAAATGACTTGAAAACTCTAGTACATCTTATAGATGTTCTTGTCGTATAGTGAGATCCGTGCTCGCACGTTCGTAAACGTCACTTGCATTGTCCTTTCCGTATGTTTACAACTCGAAACAAAATCAAGAATCCTAACGATAGCCTTTTCAAAGAATCGGCAATGAATGACAACGGCTTGAAAGAGAGGAGGGAAATAAGGAGTCTGTGAATTTAATTTTTTCTGACACTGTAGCCTCTTGTTTTTCATCCATTTTAATGTTCTCTGTGAGGAGCTTTCCTGTTTCACTACTCATTATGATATTTTCATTGAGAAACAACACTTCTGTTGAGCAGCCTGACGCTCTAGTGGGGCTCATCAGCCAGATCTGGTTAACTTGAGGGATCGGCTTACGTCTTGTTGTTCAAAGCCACTTAGCAAATGGCTATTGCCAAGGACGGTCCGTGAGAGACGGGAGAAATCTGATACGTTTCAATTAGAAAAAACGCCAGATATTTATTTCACAAAGCCCGAAACAGACGTTGACCTTACAGTTTATCTATATCTGTTTATTACGAGCGAGTCAATTGAAGGATCATTCTTGAAACTGTCTAGCTAACCTTGGTAACGACGCCTTGGCTTTGAAGCCTTGCACTGCATTGTCGACTAACTATTACTTATGGAGATGGTAGCGGAACTGCAAAGCCTATCAGGGTTGTAAATTTATCATTTGGACCTTTGTGTGTATCTCTCGCGCATGTTAATTTTCACGCTTAACGACAACTAGCGTGACAAAGACCAAAGTCAAATGCCTACGACATTATTTACTACGTTGTTATGTAGGCTTCTTCAAAAGTTAAATACACTTATGCAGCCTACCCGCCTCGTGTTACACTCTGCAATCTACAAGACAGGTTTTGTTAACTGAAAAAAAATCTACGCTTTGCATCATCAAGATCAATCCTATCTAATAGCTTTTCTCTGCCTTTCCATCGAGCGTTCCGATGGAAAAAACAGCCCATGCTTAACTATTACCTAAGTATTGATTGAATGGTCAATCGCAAGGAACCTCATCACAAGCAAACTTCATGGATCGACAAGATTACAAAGAGTATAGTATTCAGAACAAAAAGATAACACGCAAATATTCTGTGCCGGACGTACGTACGTAGCACTTGAAACGAAGAGGATATATTAGCTTATCGGATAGGCTTTATAGATTATATTCGCTTGCCAGTGATCATCTACTGCTAAATTAGTAGAGACTGATTCAAAAACAGTGTTCGTTATTTTTCCTTAGAAGTTTTTTTTTTTCTGTTCTCTGAAGCTTTCAAGCATTCTTCTAAAATCGATTAAGGTTTTATTCGGTTTTCATGCGATTTTTTCAATATGAGTTTTCATATCATTTATATATGTAAAAGGCTTTCAGGTTGTCTTGTGTACAATTAATGTCTTTTTTAATTTTGCATCCGAATTGGTATATGTGTTTTGGGGCCTGGAACAGACCAGGAATTTTTGTATTAGAGCAAGGCGATGGAGAAAAAAAATGTTTTAGATTGCTGAGTAACGTTTGGATAAGCAACAGATTATTATGTTGCAGTTATGTTATTAAGGTAAGAAGTTGAATTTATTCGTCTTAAAGGCTCACCTAGAGAACGATTGTGTGCACTTAATTAGATTGAAGCCCAGCGAGATTTTTATCTATACTATTTATTTATATTTTGTTTCATTTATCACTAAAACGTAATTAATACTAGTAGAGATGATGTCCTATACGCAGATAGGGTGTTGTAGAAACGGATTACTGCCTGCAACAAATTTCCATTGATTCCTTTACATGGACGGCCTCAGACAACTGAGCCGAACGTGATGTTCCAGGAAAGCAGCCCACAACAGTGTATCCAGCGCATTATTACGCTAAACACCGGGCTACAATTGCATTCATTGTATTTCTGCTCGATCGGCGTACCATTGCAACAGTGATTCAATACGGTCCTACACACCACTGAATCATACAGGCATGTGACATACGCAGCTAGACGTTCGATGGTACGCTTTATCGCGTTTCATTAACGAAGACTCAATGGTGAGCTTCAAAACGAAGCTAGAAACATTACTTATATATGTACATAATAATAATCCAGTATTCAAATAATCTACAAATCAATGAGACAATCAATAATTACAATAGCAAATAATGGCATCCGACATCCGAATCGCCATACGGGGGGCTATGCATTTTGGTTAGTCTTATCAACCGAAGCTCATACGCCATTGCTATCCCGTATAGCGAACAGTAAAGCAAACATTGTCGTAATGAAGTTAAGACTCAATCATCAATAAGTTTCGAGCGGTTGAAAAGTTATCGTTCGAGATTTCACCCCGTCAGCATATTATATAATAGTATACCCACACTGCGGTAATTTTCACCTTAGAACTGACGCTGTCGACCTCTAAGGCCAAAACTGCCCTTCATAAACGTCTGCCTTTTAGACGTGAACGCTCATCTATATTATTATTTTCGTTTACGCTAGTAGTGAATAGCCTCAAATTTTCAAAATTGTCCAATGTGTTCGATGTAAGAGCTAGTCCCGCTGAAACCGATTTTCTGAAACTTCATTCGATGATTGGCTTGCTAGCTGCTGCCATTTTGTATTGTGTATACTGCGTAGGACACTGGTCCTTTTCAGATTTCTATCCAACTGTATTTATGGCCAAGGCATAAATCGAAGGTCTGCTAGGCTAGCGATCTGGAAACGCAACGCTTCGCAATAATGTTTTGACAATTGTGATTATTAGCATTGAACTTTCGTCTAGATTGCGGTAGTGGTGGTAGCAGTCGCGGCGCCGGCAGGAGGAACGGAGGCTCTGCCCGACGCATCTCGTCCTTTACTGCTAAAATCCCGCAAGGCCTTTTCAAAGACGTCCCCGCCTGGAATCAATTACCGAACGATCACAAAACGTTGAATAAAAGTAAGTTTTTGTTCTTGTAAACATGCATCCGGTATTACACCCCATATGGTAAATTGCTTCGAAAATCGGTTATGTAGGAAGAAGGTAATTCTCTCGATTACCTGTATGAAAGGATATTAAGCACCGTGACATTTGTCGACGCCAATCGATTTTATTAGGAGCGTCTTGATTCTGCGAAGTGTTCTCGGTTAATTAGTTAGTCGTAGCAGAGTAATACGAACTGTATTATTGCAGTAAATTTGAAGCCGTTTCTCGCCATAGGAAGTAGGCCAGCTTACAATGGCGATACGGGTTAAGCGATTCTCGAACTTAAATAGTTGCTTCCGAATGTCGACTGTAAAGCTCTACCTGTCATATCCTAAAATCCTGTCATCGCCGCCGATAAATGTGAAAGCAGTGCCTTTTTGGCCTTTTAAACCTGGTACTTTGCTGTACTAGAAAGATAACAACAGACTTTTTTTAACGTATATATAGGAGTAAAATTTGAGGCGGAAGAGGAGATCAGCCAAACGCAGAATTTCTGTCTTGGTGAAAGAACAAAAAAAGGATTGTGGCAATTTATTTTCTGCAAAAAAGACACTTGTTGCTAAGGCAGAAGATGCCCTCTTTCAAATAGGATATTGCGTGACCGATATTTTCAAGGATCTTTTGACAGGCCTTGTAAACGATCCATTGGCAGAGATTTCTAGTTGCTTTCTGGACAGTCTAAAAGTCACATAACATGAAAATGTAGGCCATTTTAGATTTAAAAGAACACAGACTGTTAGCACGAAGAAATCAAATTTTAATTAGAAATTTGAAATTATTTGAGGTGCCCTGAATGCCTTTTTCAAACCGGTCAGGAACGGGACTGGGCGGAGCACTTGATTCGCCGGACGGAACATCACACTATAATATAGAATATAGCCACTTTACCGTTCAAGGCGTCACGATCATATCGCATAACTCGCTATTAGACAAAATTATTATCGCTATTATTAACTTGCTGGTAAGTGCGCTACGGTGTGGCCAACACCGGTACCATCAATCGAATCAGCTACGATACATGCAAGGGCAACTGGGAGGTGCATGGTCTTCCGTTCTCGTTTTCTATTAAAAAGAAATGTCAGAGAAGGTCCCAAAATTTCATTAACGGCATCCTATTAGGCATTCGTCTCTAATTAAAACCCACTACTAGATAACTGCTTGAGTCTTGCAAAGGCCCAACGCAACAGCAGTCATAGGTGATTAGACGGACTAGGCAAAACAGGCTTCATGTCTCGGTGCTCGTATCGGGGCAAACAAAAGTGAATAGGAATACGACACATAAGGCACGGGGCAGTTGTTCAAGGCGTGTGTTTTATTAGAGCCACTAATAGTATAAACCACTTTAATATAATTTTCCCTGTTCACAGTAGTTGCAAAACAATATTACAGTCTTAAAACGAGCCGTTCTATAGCATTTGCTGTCTTTTCAAGGACGGACTTCAAAACCGGTTCGCTTCAGTTTCATGAGGCCGTACTGCCACCAAGCAAACTTCGAAAGCGGAAGAGCTGTGCATCGGGTTCCGGTTTTTCCTTCTGAACGCACCAATCGAAGCGTAACTTTTTCATTCGATGAAATCGACTTGAATAATACGCTGTTTTCCCTTTCGTAAGCAATGATCGATGATATTGAAGACTTATTTGTGGCTCCTACAACCTAGCACTTCCTAAACATCAATGGTACACGTCATTCCTTTATTCATACAGGTAGAAAACAACAGTTGAGGCCTACTCGTTTTCAAGTGTACTATACTCACAGGCCGTTGTAGTACAGACCGTGGTTATCGCCAGGTTATCAAAATAAGGACGTCAACTGATTAGAAACAATTGAGTTTGCTATACAGTTGACGAGCTTTGTGGTAGGAACGAATATTGCTTTTCTTTCAGAGACCTCAGCAAATTAACCTTTGCTGATCGACGGTAGTCAGGCGTCAGTCTTGCCTATTGGATGACTTACTCGGTAGAATTATACATAGATATGAAACGTTATTAGGTTACGAACATTTTAGCTCTCGCAGCTTAATGGCAAAATTAGTGGCGAATCATAGTCGCGGGTTATTTTAAGTTAGAGTTCGATACGTAATAGTTTTAAAAACTTTTACGTTCGTTACGGAGGTTGTTTTCTAGTTGTTGGTACAACAGTTCTGGCAAGTAAATTTGGGAATGAATGCATCGCAGTCGGTCATCAATAGTAAATAGCGATCAGGGGCTATCGGCGAGAGGATCGAGAATTCCGCACGTCTGGCGGTATAAAAGTACAAGCTATATTTCGGTACGTCCACCAGTTGTTAGGCTCATTGATGGTACTACTGTCAAGAGGCGACCACACATACACATTCAGTACCCAGCACTATTACGAAAAATCGCTGTCTGATCTCTAAAAGATGGCAGCTGTCCAAATAATAAGACAGCATAAAATATTTGTCATATTTTTTACAAAATTGATAAAAAAAAAACAGCAGTAACGTTGTCGGTGGAAAAAAAAGCTGCCGACGTTTTTTGAAAGCCTTCTCGAGGTAACTTACTTGAGTGTACTAGTCAAGATATGAGGTAATTTTTTTTTATGAATTCTATGAAGAATAAATAGATTATTCTGAATGTAGGAGCCCTTCGCAACAAATGTCTAATCTTAGATTCGTAATATCTGTACGACACGAGCGGAAATTATTTGGTCACATAGTGTTTAGTTGAAGAAAAAAACATGAGTCATATTTCATGCGCGTTTTTTGCGGCTTCATATACTTAAGTATAATCTTTTACTCGAAAACCTTACGTATTGCGATGAAATCCATATAAATGATTGAATGAAGCTCACATGAATGAGGACTAGCCTAAAAATATTCGATCAAATTCATTCTCACCAGTGCTGAAGTCTGAGTCTTCTAGTTTGAGGTCATCTCGGAACTGGTCCAGCCTTATAAGTGTGACTACTTCCGCGTTTCCGTTAGCAACCGCAAGGGCTAACGCAGAATTTCCTTCACGATCAAGCGCGTCGCGGTCGGCCCCCTGAAATCGTCCATCCGCTTACGTCAACTCACAATTAAAACGGTTCCGCTTGTAACGGTAGCTCGATTAAAAAATCATATTCTAAACGAACACGCAGGATATATGCCAGATATGATGTCAAGCTAACTTAACTAAAGCACATGTTTTTTGTATTCTTAACTAATCGTTTTCAGTGTTTGAGTTATAGATATTGATAGATCGCACGATTGCACATCATTAGTAACTTTGAATTTTGTTGATTTTAAGTTATTTTTCTTTATTTCATGCCCATCAGCAATTTAGAAACGTATTAAGAGGCTGAAGTTGGGTGGAAATCCTTATCAAAAACAAATACTAGAGATACTATTGAGCATGTCTATCATGATCATCATTGATAACGTCCTTGCTGTGCCGTGATGAGTGTTTGTACACAGTCTCTCATGAATCACGCGTTTTGCTTCGGTACAATTTTATTAAAGAGGTGATGATGAAGTCGACGCCATTCTGTTGCATTAATCTCATGACCGCAACATTTGACTATCTCGCTTTGCGCCTGTGAGTATACTCGGACAGTTGCTGTGATTGGCATCACCACAAATGCGACCATGTGACGCGAATAGATCCGACAGTCTCCTGTGAGCAGCTAAAAAGTTCTCAAGTGTTGACGGTGATGGCGGTAACAACGGTAGTTGGCTTTGTACCTTCGAAATGACTGCTTTGGATAACCATCCATAAAGATAGCGCAGCCGAAGTAAGGATCTATTCAAATGACGCGCATTTGAACAGCGATTCAATGGGCTGACGAAATAGAAAAGCCCAGGCGAAGAAAAGCATTTGGCTAGCGTGCACAGGATGAAGCAATTCTTGATCTAATTACGATTTTCGTATAAATGTTAGGCAGGTTGCTTTAATGACAAAGAAATTTTGCCAGTGCGCGCTCGCAGGAAAAATGCTGGCACTTTAGTCTGGTTGACAATACGAAAAACGAAGACAGGTGTAAGTTGCCTCTGATACAGGAACAATAAGCCAGAAGGATAGCAAAACTCCGAAGACGAATATATCTAATCTATTTTAGTAATTAGGGGCTTTGTGTTTCTTGTTACTGATCTTATGGGGGGGGGAGGGGGGAGGGGGGGGATTAAACCTTTTTTAAAAGAAGCCCAACGAGGGCTACAGACGACGCTCTGGAAGCGAGGTGCAGCGGCGTGAGTCCTTCTAGATCCACAGCTGTATGCTGCGCTCCATTCAGTAGCAAAAATTCTGCAGCTGCTACCCATGGGCCGTCGGCAATCGCCTGCAAATTGACGAATACCAAACAACGTTTAAACTTTAAGAAACTTGTGAGTGCATATAGAGATCAAATTTACATACGCAGTGGTATGGTCAGCAGTAGTAAGGGGCAATGCGTTTCATCTCTATGAATTGGTACACTCGAGTAATTAGGGACTGTCGCCGAGACGCATACAACGTATCTATTCGTCTCTAGCGAAATAAATGGCTATGGATAATTCAGATGTTGGTAACCTTGTGCAATGATGTACGCAGTCTATCCTCTTCGCATCGATAATTCGGTTCGGCTCCACAGGCTAGAGCATGTAGCATTGCATTAAGATTGTCCGCCCCCGCAGCTTCGTAGAGCAGGCGAGAAGGTGTGAAATCTGACATGGGGAATGTCTCTAACTCTACTTCATCCTGAAGTTCGGTCAATTCAAAACAAAATATATTCAAGTAGAAGCTAAAGTTTTGACTCATACTTCACTCTCGCATGGCGATTGTCAACTCGTGTCAACGATATATATCATCAAATGAGAACAGCTGGAAGAACCGTCAACACGGACGTAGAAAATACATGGAGAAAATAATTCCATCATTAATTTCGCAGGTTACGTGATATTCGAGTCAGTATTTTTTCAACATGTGTATTGTTTTTGATAAAAATTACCTCTTCAGAGGAGCCAGGGGGTGCTTGAGGGGCAGATGAAGTACAATTTCGATTTATGTCTTCCCCGAACACCAGCACACCTTTGCCAGGAATGCAGCGTCGTCTGTAACTCCACAAAATCAGCAAACAGGAAAGTAGGGAAAACTAACCGGAGTGTTACCTCAAACGACAACTAAATATTGAGATTTTCGCTAATTCGCATTAATAACTAGATTCTCCGAAAAGTTCACTAAACGCATTCTAACTTTCAAGTTGGGTTTCCTCTTAGGAACCTACTTTACATTGCTAAATTTTTACCATATATCCAATGTTTAACATCATCAATGTATTCACCCTTAGATAACTACACTAGATTCGTAAACAATAATAATATCATACCGTGCTGTATACAGAATTGTAGTATGTGTACATATATCTGGTTAATTTTATATACATTGGTTATATATACATATATAATATATGATATATATATTATATTATTATATATGGTTTTATATATACAATGGTTATATATATTGTATACAAAGTACGTATTTTTATGCGACGCAATGATTCTAAATGAAAAATCTTTTCTTTTGGAATCGTTAACCGCATCAGCAGAAAATCGTGCAGCGTGAATCGCTTCTTACCCAGATCTGGCAACGACCCAACGAGTGATGTTCTGCGTTTCGTTTTCCGGGATATCATTTGATATCAAAGGTCTAACAAACCGTCGTTCGAGATATTTAGCCCTAATCCACGCTTCTCGAAATTCGCGCTCGGAGTCGGGCTGGGCACGCATGCTCTCATCCACTTGATACGCGAACACCTAAAACAGAGAACCCCATGGGAAAGCGATGATAACAATTTACAGGGATAGCTTTTTCCTTGATGAAAACACCCGCTCATGATTTTGAATTATAATCAGGCGCTCTTCTGCGTCCTATAAAACGAGAGTATTTCTATTAAGAATATTAACAACGCCCAGCAAACACCTGTTTTCCCTCATCGCTGTCGCATGCAAAATTCTGGAAAGGATATAGTCAAAGCCTAATCTCTAAACGCGCAATCCATGTACAGACCGAAGCATTCTGTGGTCATACAACTGCTAGAGACAACAATTGACCAGGCTCCCATGTTGAACGGTAAACTTTCGAACGTATGGGAAACGGTCACCTACGAAAAACTCTACTGAAACATGGTGTAGCAAGTACGTAATTGAATTGTCTCATTCGTGAATAAAAATCTTTCCTTTTTATTCCCAGACTTCTTATGTCCATATTTTATACTGATTCCTTGATTAAACGTGTGTGCTGAAGTTTACGTTAACGACATAAAAGTGTACACAATCGGCAATGTGGAATAACAGACGATTGTTTCCCAAGAATCATTAGAGTGGTTCTGGCAATGAAGCTGATTTTAAGTTACCGGTGCCAAAATGCGCCGTATTGAATATCAAACATCAAATCGCGATTTCGACTATTGCTTATATATATATATATATAACAAAATTTGTTATAAAAGATCTTGGTGTGTTTATACTTAGTTAAAATACAGCGCCCATATGACCGAAATTATAGTCATTCCCAGTTGAAGATTCAACTGTACACACAATTGCATAAACAATATGTTCGTTTGTACATTCGACGTACACTTTACCAGTGTGGAGTACAGGCTTAATAGAAGCTTGGGCCATGGCTCTAAAAGCTGCTGAAGAAGTTCATATGCAAAATTCTTAACCAGAACGCGTAACGTAACATAATGGTATTACTTAAATTAACGGAAGAAAAAAATGTTTACACAGATATTCCTGGATGGCGACTGAGGATAGCGTTCTTTGACAGTCTTCAAACGTACACCCGCAGCGGTGGAAACGTTCAAGCGAATGCTGCGAGAGGGACGCAATAGTCGAAAATTTCTTTGCCTATTAACGAGCGAGTATTAACACTCGTCATGAACCCGTAATAAAGTGTGTTATTTTCATGGCTTCTTATGTTACTGAAGCCTGTAACACGACGGGAGAATATCTTACCTTGTTCACGGCATCATTTCCTAATCGCTCCATAATTCTCATGGTATCTTCTTCCCACGAATCGAGCTTCAACGACCGAACCTGTAGTTGATTTGGGTGTTTTTTTAGAAAATAACTAACGAAAATATCTTGAAAATTGTGACTGTGCAATAAGTATAATACATATTTCATATCATATGAGATATCTTATATAGTTGACGTGTGTTGATTTGTCAGGATTTCAGGAAAGAATTCATACCTCAAATCAGAAGATTTTCTGTACGATGAGAATGGCAGCGAGACAAACAAATTCGTTTAGGCTAAATAGAGCATTTCCGACTGCGATAATATTTGGGGTTGCACCTGTTGTCATCAACCGAATAGTAATCTCTTTAAAACTTACTTTAGAGATGTGCACCCCGAGTGAACGGTGGATACCCGAACATTGAATACAAAGAGTTGCGCCCAGATTTACACTAGCCCATTCCGGATTTTTAGCTCCACAGTCGACACACCTAAAGAACCAAATTTTTTTCATTCAATAAAACTCTTCTGCTATATATATATATATATATATATATATATATATATATATATATATATATATATATATATATGTAAAGCTATTCTATTTGCCGTCTAACTCCATTGAAGTACATCGAAGTTAATATCAGAGAAGTAGACTTTCTTACCTCTCATTACCAGGTGCAGCGAGAAACTCCGAGGATGACGCAAGCCGCTTAGCGTGCGCCTCATTCTGGTTGTGTGCGTTGTTAATACCTGAAAACATATAAACGGTTCCATCGGGCATAATCCCCACAGCAAAATTAGGTGTTTATATTATATTGTTTATAATATTAAGTTAGTCAAAGAGATACTCGTATCGCACACAAAGTACTGCAGCGTTCTTTCTAATATTATCTATAACTGTTCCATCGTCTTGCGAATTTGATCATCAGTGATCACAGACAGTTATACAGCTACTTTCAATCGTATTCTGTGGTCATTGCCAGTCGTCGACTGTTGACGGCTGACGTTTGGAAGGTTACGCGAGGAAATAATATTCATTCATTAATAACAAACCCACGAACAACTCTATTTAGAGAAACTACGGCACATGTCCTGGCGCAGCACCTGGCCGACTGTCCCCGACACCCCACCCGAAAGCATAGGTCACAGTTATTTTAGGTTTCTCATAACAACTTGCATGCAACTATTATAGCAACAGCTACAATAGTAGACATCTAGAGTAACTTTTAGAATCTAGATACGTACCTTGCTTCAGTGCTTCAACCCACATCTTTTGTGCTTTTTCCGAGTCGGCTTGCAATGCGTGGGTTTTGTGCGGAGACAGTACCTAATCAAGATCGTAGAACGGCACATGGAAACGCATAGAATTAAAATACACAGGATGTATTTAGAGCATAGTATACGTACGAAATATTGCCTCTATATAGAAAGTTTGCATGGAAGTGCAATTCGTCACTTGCAAATATTGCATCCATACCTGTCGGTAGTACGGACTCACTTTAATCGGCAAAATCGCTAAAATAAAAACCACTTTTGATTTATCTATTACACTAGTAAAATAGCCTTATGGTAATGTTGGTAATTAGCAGACGTACCTCGAAACAGAAGCGTCGCTCGCCATCTAAAATCTCCTTAACTGTACATAATCTCAAATCGTGCTCCATGACTGTCACATCCCTTGGGTCTCCATCACGTTTTCTGCAATAGATGATATGATGGCTTGCAGATTAAGAAAGCTAGTAAATGAACAGTTACTATATCCTTAGCTCATCATACAACTGCAAGGCATCATGTTCATCCAAGAGCGTGTGCTGCCTAGGCTAGCAATACTTTTTAATGTTTACAGTGAGTTCTCCATTTTTATTGCAATTCCAGCAACGACAACTGGCTCATCCGAACCCGTCAACAACAATTCCTTGATCGTACTAAAATTCGATAGATTTTCTTTGGCCGAATGACCGTCTTGCCAATAATTACACTAGAGGCTGACTTACACATACGATAAAGACCCATTATCAAGAACGAACCACCGCCTGTTCCACGTTTTGAACGCATTCGTTGTCCGTTTGAACAGATACCCCTCAAGCTGATGTCCTGTGGGACCTCCGCTTGCCGGACAGTGTGGCTCTCCGGTAACCTGCCGAAGGTACGTTTCAACTTCCTGAAGCAGGCAAGCAACAGCGAATGCACAATTTTTGACGAGGCTTTAAAATTCAAAGAGACTGAATTTAGCCGGAAAAAAACGACAGTAAAATAAGCGTAAAACTTTTCAAAGTAAATTAGATCTAGGCTATAGCCTGCAACCCGCGCAAATGGCTAGAAGCACAAAGCATAGTGATTTACAGACACTGACACGTAGGATTATATCGGTATATTAGTATCGAAAGCAAGTGATTTACTCGCGGTATGAAGGGGATGTCGAATTTATTCTACACGAAAAGCGACGCAGTTTAGAAAAAAAAATTATTATTTCTACGCATCCAGCAAGAAAACTCCGATGGCACAGGTTATTTCATCTCATGTCAGTGAACGATGACATATGAGAGAAACAAACTTAGCAGTCCTCTCCGGTTTATGCCAAGGTCCTCGAAGTCAACTTGTGGACTGTGTTTAAGTTATGAGGAATACTGTTACACATGACGGAACATTTATTTTTAAATGGTTCCATTTAAAAAACAAAAAAGTTCGCTGTGGATGCGGGCGTAATAGAACAGCGTATATACAGTGTGGTTCTTTATGGAGATATACTACCTAGGGGAATTTCGAGCATATGCTAAACAAAAATATAGAATGTCATTTTTTGAGACGTTACATTATATGACAACTATTGTCGAAATTTTGTTGTAAACATCAGGTATTTAAAAAGGTAAACCCTTTAACGTATACACAGTGATTTAATGGGAAACACAGAAATATACGATACACGCTTATTAGCTTTGATTCTCCAAATGGCGAAATATTCGTTGGCAATTCAGCGAAGGAAGCGAGGCGTCCTGCACATTTAAAGCCCGTTGGCCGCCCTTGTTCACCATGACAGGAAAAATAAACGAACGTCTTCACGTCAAAATCAAAAAACCCCGCGCAACCGACGATGAAGACAGGAAATAAAAAGCTTGACTGCAACCAACGTAGCAAATTTGAATTTACTTAAGCTAAAAAGTTACTGACCAAAGAACGGTAGAGAAACAGCGCAGAAATGCTGTGCAGACAATAAATTGGCACGTTTAAATTCGGGACAAGTAATGCGACCGGCTGAAAGCACTACGAATATGCTCAATAGACCTTCGATGTTTCGTTAATACTCACAGGACAGAGCTGTTGAGGCGGGCCACGCCGAGTATCTTGTGCACACTGTAAACAATAGTCGATTACGCGGTAATAGGCAAGGCTGCCTTAAGACAGTCGGAGTCACAGATTTATTATTACTAATTTTCTTATCCATATTATGCACTAGTTAAGTCAACACTCACCTCATTCATGAGTCAACATCATTGTATAATTAAAGAGTATGCTAAGTTTTTACATAGGAAATTTTTGCTAAGAGAATTAGAGTAGCGCATCTAGTATGTAGTAGACACCTCGAATAAGAAACATTCTATAATATATTTCTTCTAATAACGACGGGTATATGGTACTCTCTATGTAAGCGTAAAGACCAGCATTTTTACCTTGGGCTATATTACTGTCAGTAGTAATTGGCTAGCTGCATAAAATATTATGGTAAATAGACTTCTTTTCGACTGTTTCTTACCTTTGAAAGGGTCATACATTCCCGTTCATAGCTCATTCGCATATCAGCAAAGTGCTTCGACGCACCCTCGAGCGGTGCTTCGTATTCAGCGAATGTTTTTAATGCCTGCGAATGAAATGTACGTATGGCGTGCATTTGGCCAAGCAACGCTTCCATCATCTACAGTCAACGTAAAGATCACTTAGTATGGGTACATATTCGTTTTAAGAGCCCAGGACCCGCTCTTCGTGAAAACGATCATGATGCCATGTTGTAACTAACACGATAATCATGTTGAAAATACTTTTATTAGTAGGCTAATGACAGGGGCGCATCGCATCCAACGTACCTTGTGTCGTTTGGCAGCCTGCACGCGACTGAGCATTCCGACGTATTCGAGAGCTGTGTGCTGAAAGCAAGTTCTATTCGCCGTGAGCAACTTCCCCGTCTCCTCGAGCTCGACGCTCTTGTTTCTGCGAACAATATTCATAAAAAGAACATAAATTGTTTATTTAAAGTAAAACAAAAGCCTTCAAGTTGTCAACTTTTAAATTATAAATTATGCTACATATATCCATTGGACACGGAGAAATAAGCTATGGAACAAACACGGTCCGTGTTTGAATTTGGCCTCAATTCTGGACCGGCTAATTGGATCGAAGATAAGTAGCGTAGAGATTGAAATGGCAGTAATACAATTGTGTTTCACATGGTAAGCATCAATGGCCTGTGTATGTCTACCCTCGTTCCAACTCCGACGAATAACACAATCGACATCTATCCCTGTCAGATTGAAACAAATCTCATCGTCCTTCTTCACTGGTTGGAGTGTAATACCAATATATTATTACTAAAAACAAATAAACAATAAATTAATAAAGTTGGACTCAATAGTCGAATTCAAAATAAGTTACTTGGGAAGCTGCGCATGGCGTTGCAGGGAGCCATCCAGTTCCGACGAGATCTTTGTAAATGCTCCGTGTACTTCCCTGAGTTTTTTAACATCACTGAAACAACAATCAGAAAAAAAATAGCTTTTCTTACTAATAATAATGAAAACAAAAATCAGCTACTTTTTTTTTTTACTAACTGCAAGGATAGTACGCAGTAATCAAGACGATAAAGTAAAAATAAGCCGCTAAGCCATAAATAGCTCTCTCAGCCAAGACCAGTTGTACTCACTCTTTGATAAAATTCGTTAAGGTTTTTGCGAAGCTTCGTTCACTGTGGTCGACAAGTATCATGAAGAAATCGATGAGATCTCTTCCAACTTTTACTATATCCCCAATCCAGCCCTGCAAATACTCAATCCAACCAAAAATAAAACATTATATTATTCATAAAAATGAATACATGGAGTAAAATCACTTGTAATATATATATATATATATATATATATATATACATATAAAGACAGTAATGATTATTATTACTGGATTATACACTCACCATATGCCTGTAAACGCAAAAAAATTATATTATTTAGTTGGATTTAATTACATGGAAAAACAAATATATCGTTTTGTTATTAAAACAAACGATTCTTTGATATTTGCTTATTTCAACCATCCTGCAGAGCATGACATTTTCTTTTACCGCTCTAGCTGTATACTGGTACAACTAGTTAATTATATAAACCATATAATATTATATGGACCATAAAAAACATTGAAACTACTTTTATATTAAGATTCAACATTCTATGCTGTAAACGTGAAATAATGAATCCGGGTTATGGTAAAATTACTGTTTACAATATAACTCATTCATATGTATATATATATATATATATATATATATATATATATATAACTTCTCCTTTAGTGATAAACTTCTATGAAACAACATCAAAAAATCATTTGAATCCAAGAAATAAATATGTAGTGATGATACTAAAAGAAGACTGACAGACTTTCTACCCAAAGTAAAATTTATATTTGCAACTCGATAACTATTCATAGTGTCCACAGTTCTTCCAGGAAACGCAACGGATTACCAACGGATCAGTGCTTAGCATTATAGCATTGCCATCACTGAGCGAAAGGCGTTTAACTACCTTGATCTGTACGTCATCTTTGAAGTGCTTGCCCATTTCGGCGACTGAGTCGAAAAATAGACGCATGGCATTATTGTACACCCGTCCCTGCTCCACCATTGCCATACAGGTCTGCAAAGGAAATCAGCGGTAGAACGAAAATAGTCGACATTTGGTGACAGCGATTAACGACGTCCACTAATATCTGAGCTAGTTAGGAATTAGAAATAAGAGAGGCTGTGTGTTTACGCAGCTCTGCGTTTAATATCCTATCACAGATTGAGTCGTAAGACCAATATACTTTATAATACTGAAAACTCATTCGAAAACGAAGCAGTGGTCGAGAACTTTAATATACAATAGTATTCACATAGGAATTTATAAATACTCCGTAAACGGCGATGTCTTTATTCCTTTTAACAATGACAATAATAATATAGATGTATGCTTTTTGTAACAAGAAAGTTAGGTACTGGGTAGGTAAAAATGAACCAAATATATTCGCTACTCTGCTGTCATAATGTTACTTGTTTCTTGCTTAGTTGGTATCACAATGATAGATTTAAGAAGCCTATCGAACAATGGAATAACCCTAAATGAATACTGTGAAAACTATCATCGACTGTTTGAGTTCACATTTCATTGACTTAAATTGAAGTCGTTTCTCCAACGACTTCAATTTATTAATTAATTCGAATCTTCTCCTGCTTTTGCCCATAATAGCGGAATCACATTTTTTAAATGCGTTTTTTGGGCATTCCAAATTTGCGAATGATGAGTAATACCTCTTTGAATCATGTAACGCATAGCATATAAACGAAACTTCTACGTAAACTATAGGAGTCATCGACACACAGCGGCTTTTCAACGAATCTATATGTGGCTACGACGCGTTATAACACAGAACTAACGAATGTTTTGATCGTGATGGCGGATACGGCTCATAATGACCGAGTCATTACAGGCTAAGTACATTGGCTCTATTTAAAAACCGGTCATTGTCGAAATGTAGCAGATTTAATTTAAATTTTAATAATGAGGTCTTTCGTTGACTCGTATTAGTCAGAACCATGCGGTCGACGTACGGCCACGTCGGTCTTGTACGTGAACGATCAATATTACACGTGTTCTAGACTGGCGCTATTAATCGATCAGTACACCCACACATATACAATATGCTAGCGTTCGACTACAAATTGCAGTGACACGTAACGTGGTCCAATAAACTACAATAATTTGTGTAGCGCTTTTTGCAGGTAGAGCTGTTCCCAATGACGATGGTCGGTTAAGGATGTATAGCCAAAACTCGAAATAAAGAAACATGTGCGGATTAGATAAATGAGAATAACACATTTCTTTACGCCAATCCATCAGGTGTTGAATGAAGTAGAGAGGGTTTTGTTGCTATCTCGCAGGTACGTACACTGTTTCCGTGAAAACTTCGGCTAGGTAACGTATTCGCTAACTAATCTTAGGGCATGTGATGGTCTGGGTTCGAATCCGCGCATAGGAACACTCTTTTCGTGCTGGGAGCCAGCCGTCTGATGGAACGCCCAATAGCGACGCAGAACGTAGAAGTCAAAACAAGGATACAGGTATTTGGGACAAGCCAATTATTACACCACTAAGACTCTCATAAACCGAACAGCAAGATTTCTATCTAAAATTGTTAGACAACAAGCAGCATTGTTTACGACGAACTGAAAGTGTTAATCATGAGCATTATGTTGTTTGTAGTGCTCTATTTCTTGTTGACTTGTTATCGAAACGAAAAGCTAACCACACGTTTAAAGATTGAAACAGAGTCTACTGTATTTCTTTTAAGCATTTTTTTGAAATCTCACACGAACGGTTGCTAATGATTATGGCGCATGCAACCCTTCTTGGCAAGTTGATCTTCTTTTATTGTTGCATGCTTCGCTACTCTAAATATACATATTTATATAACCCTTACACAACCAATGGGGATAATAGCAATATTAAACGCCATAACCGTTTGCTCGCCTAACCTTCTATCGGGCGAAATGTGACGGCCTAGCACATTCTTTCGTCAAGTTCTTTCATATGTATATAATATTATTATTATACATGTGGGCAACTAAGCATTTGTTATGTGAGCATTTGCTATTGTAGTGCTAACTTCGTATTCAATATCCAAAACTTCAACATAAAATACATATTCTCTGCCCTTAAATATGCATAAAAATCTACTGTTCAGTCTTCATAGTCACCGAATACAAAATCAGCTATCGTTTCAAATGTTTATAAACACTAGGTAATTTGCAAATCAGTTACGATTCAGGTCTGTACCGAGAGCCTTAATACGCACCGTCGCATATAGATTCTCAAAATTCACTCTTCAGATAAAAGCCTAAAATGCCTGTTAACGTATCAAATCCAACAAGTAGTGGTCTTTACAAAGCAAAATAATAATATAGATATTTGGCAGTTACCTAAAGCAAGCACTGCCTTTACCTAACAGCAACAACATATGTAATAAGAGTTCCAATACACGTCAATGATTAACACACGGGCAAGGACGTTGGTGTTAAAAAAGGTGTTTAAAAAAGTGTGTTAAAAAAGTAATTTATTTTTGTATTCAACCCACCTTAACGACTCGTTCGATTTTCGTCTCGAAGTCCTCGATGTTATGCTCATTTTTAAGCAGACTATCCCTGGAAAAACCGAAAATTAGAAAAAAAAAGTATAAGTTGGGCCCTGTGTGGTTATTATATTCACTTATTATGAGCTCAATGCATTACCAGTTATTGCACCGCATCTTGTGTATCTAACGACCCGGCAACGTCAACAGGGTGACTCCAGGATATCGTATTTGCGTATCTCATTTTTCATTTATCCACAGATTTGTTCATCATGTTTGACTGTAGTCTTCCAAATTCAATACCTACTTTGCCCTGCAAATGTTATAATGCAACTATGTCTTATGAGCAAATCTTCAGATACGTTAGGCCAATGAGTCCGTTTCAGCACGCAGCGACAGTAGGAACAAAAAAACTGCGTCGTGGGGACTTGAATCCGCAATTAGAAAAACATAACAGCACCAACTAATTAAAGAATACCACACAACAGTAATGACAAACGTTTGCTAACGAAAAAAATTCATATGAAATGTTAAGCTTAAACATTGTTAAAACCGTTATACCAAAAATGCCGTGACTAATGGCCCCAATTAGCCGAACTGGTGGCGCTAGTGCTATGTGATGGAGTCGTGTAACAGAGACCAGATCTACCGCCAGTAGATTATCAAAAGCCCCTTCCCTATCACTGTCTCGAAATAATGTCAAGTTTTGTGAAACCGTCAACGCGAAGTGTGCACAAACAAAAAACACGAGTCGCTACAGTAAACATCTAATAAAGAAAAAAGTAACACAAATAGAGGTAACAAGACAATAGTCTGTAAATAATGATATTTCCCTGAAGGGAAAGTAGTAAAGAATCAAAACATCCAACCGTCGAACATCCTAGAACCGATAACCTTTTTGATAGCGGTAAGATCGTCTTTAATAGAGAAAAACGAAGATTCTATAATCATCTTCGACATGCTTTTTTCTGAGTGGGCCTTACGAAGCGCAGCAAAAATTGCTCTTTGAATATAATGTACGATTCGTTGGTTAGTCCTCGGAAAGTGGTGATTAAATGACTGAATCAAGCAAAAAAAATATTCTAAAACGACCCCGCCCTAATAGCTTAGTATGAGCTAGAAAACGGATAAATCATACTTGTGCAGCATACTTGTGTGTTTGGCAGCGGTGGTTACACCTAGAGCTACCCAGGTCAATGTGTGTTGGTTATTCCGTATTATCCAAGCTATCAACAGAGAACAGACAGTTTACATTTGGATGTCACAATTATTGCCGCATGATGCCGAAGGAACGCTATTTTACCAGGATCAACATTCCTCTGTTTGGTTTACGCAACAGTCATTTTTGCTGGGTAGAGGATGACAAAGGATTTCATTCGATATGAACTAATTTGTAGCAAATGACTTGTGACATATGTATAGGTTAGGATCCTCCAGGCGTGAACATATGCTAATTAAACCCAGATTCCAATATATCAGAGTTTGGCTACCATAACAGTATCATAGAAACGGAAAACGTTTAGCCAGCCTTGTACATTACGCCATGTCACACCGATATCTGTATGCAAGCAATTATAGCCCAGGCTATGTACGAATGGAAGCTAACGAAAATATTGTTTTCGTTTAAAGCTATTTTGCAGTTTCAAATCATTATTTCGGATGAGAACAGCTTATTATAGTTATTAACTAAATCATATATTTCAATCTGCCGTTAAACAAGTGATCCTGCGACAAATTCAATAATCATATTCACTACCACATATCCCTTGATATACTGCAGCCACTATTGGAGTTAGATAAAAAAAAAAAAAAAATCCGTTATGACTCGTCTTAACTGCTGCGGCTAGTTAGCTAGCTACGATATGTATTCAAAAGCCTCAAGGAATCCGCTCAGTTGGGGAGAACTTAAATTCTGAGATTACCGTATTGCGTGGTAGTAGTAAATGACGCACTAGCTTTTTATTCATGTTCTTCTAGAAGCTGTCTACGGATCACTTTTAAAACTACCAGCATTATACCGTACCATCGATAGACGCATCTTGTTTAGCATAAGTCGAGCTTCACAGCTCCGCGAAATGCCTCACCTGACTTAGTCGATAGGATCAATTAAAACGAAGAGTTCATGTCTAAGTATATCTATATATTGTACTATCAGATTATCGGAAACGTCTTCACGTTTTTTGAGCCGCAATTGGAGCATTTTTTATATTATATTTGTAAATAATATTACGAAACTGAATATGCCCTGTATTCGATAGATAAACTTCTCCCATTTTTCTGATAACACCATAACCCTATCATTGCAGAACCTTTGCTTTCTGGGCAAGTGATTTTTGCATCCCTGTATCGTTACTGAATTAACACTGTCAAGCGAGCTTTGCAGAGACCGTAACAGATGATTATAGAAAATCCAGCCTATACGGCGATTGCGTTGAAATTTCCTATCTAAGCTCTCTTAATTTTTGCTGGGTAGCTAAAGATGTATGTGGTCTGGCATTGTCATGGGTTGAGTCATTATGACGCCTAGTCGATTTTTTTAGCAGTTTGTTATCATCTCGTTTGTCGTTTTCTAATATACGATTCCTTTTTGGCCCCACCAAATACAGCACCACCTTCTTTAGCGTCGATCTGGGTTTTATCACAGATTGTGGAGCACGTTTTTATGTTCATTCGCACATTATTGTCGTATATCAGCTTTTTTTCGTTGAATATGATAAACAGCGTTGGAAAATGGCCAGGTTTCGTTGCGTCTCTGTAGAATAAAGCAGACGGAAATAAAATTAGGTAGACACGTTTGCGCCGATTTGTTTTTTTCCGTAACTAGCGGTTTTCAAGTGCCGCAAAATTGTCTAGTGGTCGATAATTACTTGCTCATTTAGTTCAGATGTCATTGCCACTTATGTGTAGGTTTTGCTCCGTAATTGGTAGACCACCCCAAAGGGCAACTTTCATATAAAAATTTCCTAAACAGAATCCTGTTTTGAATTATTTCTTCCGATTATGCATCTTAACCACAAAAAGTGCAAATTTTTCTTTTACCTCTAGCCGACATTTGTCCTTTTATCGTAATGAAATTGTAAAATATAACATTTTTTACAGAAATTCCACCAATTTTTATTCAAAGCCGAAATAAAATATCTCAAATCATTAAATCCCAGCTTTCAAATGGAACCAACTTTTAGGATACTAATCGATTTTTAGGATATCCCATCGTAACGTGACAACAAATTTCAGACAAATCAAATTTCAGTCACGATAGCAAGCCAAATTGTTGATACGGTAGGCCTATCTGTGGGACTAAAATTGATTATGTTACTCTAGTGGCTAACGCTGCTGACTAAATCATCTTAACTTTAGCTAACGTTATGAGCCAACTGAGAGTCCGATTAGGCAGTAAATACCAAATAAGAGAATTAAACGAACGCTGCTGATTTTTTTTAAGTTTTACTCGCAAACGCATCATATCCAGACGCTTTCGCTTTCAGAGTTTACGCTAGATGGCGCTTGTTTGTAGATTAATACATTAGTATGATTATGTGAATTCCGAAATTATTCAAATAAGTATTATAGAGCCCTGTTTGAAGCAGCCACTCGTAGTAAAATTCAACGGAAGAGAATAGTTGCAAGTAGGATTTTTGTGAAAATTAATTAGCCGAAAAGCGAAATTGATCTAAAGATTGCAATTGCAATCTTTTTCTAGTTTACTACTAGTTAATAATAATTTACAAGAGTAGTTATTAAGAGAGTTAATAATAGTAACAAGAATAAACTGTGTGTTTAACGAACACTTTCTTAAACGTTTATATATATATACATATAAGCAATATATTCTTACCTTCCGTATCACTCGTACTAAAAAGAATCGTATGCCAACATGGCAAAATTATAATTTTTATTTTTTTTCAGCATCTGCGGGAGAAAAAACGATAGGCATGCACGCCAATCGAAACATTGGTAAATAGATGATTGTTAGTATCCTTAAACGATGACGCCACGACGAGTAGTGACTAAGACATACTGTGCGTTGCTATCCCGATGTTCCAGTATTCTACAAATCTTTTGATTTAATACACAAATTTTTCGCAATACTTGTACAATTGTGAAATAGAATCTATTTACTTTAGGCTGAAAGTTAGTAAAAATGGTCTATTTCTCTAATATAAGTTTGATTAACACTTCGTTTCCGTATGAAGTTTTTGCAATATTCCCAATCTTGCTTCGAACTGTAGCTTTGACAACCGCATACGTGCTAGGCCTGGTTGAACAAAATAATTCATTACGCAAAATTGCTAGTTACACAAAAGTATTAGTAAATAATACTTTTATGTAATTAGCAATGAACACTTCGTACTTAATAGTACGCAGCTCAAATACCGTAAATGATAAACAGACATAAGGATTATTAGCGTGCAGGGGCCGATACTAATCGACACCTTGCGTTTTGGAGAGGCACCATAACTAAGATATATTACATTTGGTTGCCGAATACACCAGCACTGGCTCTGACCTCTAGCCATATAATAAATTTAATGGATTTCAGGCAGCACTCGTTTAGCACATAGACAACTGAGACGGTTAAGTGTCGTCTAGCTCTTACTAGCTAACCGATAAGTAAACTCTACATACATATTCTGGAGGAAACACAACAAATTAACTCGGTCGATCACTATTTCATCGACACGATTGTTAGAAGACGATTAAAGCATTTTTCAGGATCAAGTGGACCACGAAATCTTCGGGATTACCCGTCACCAGTTACCATATTAAAAATCAATTTAAGCATAAAATCTGTGAGTATCGCTCTTACGTAATTTTCAATCAAATATAAATAAAACCTGTTGATGAGAGTAAAATATGCAGTTCATTCAAGTGAGGATACAAAATGTGAAGCGATGTCGAATAAAAAACTTAACCTTGTATTTCCAAAAAGAGTAACACGTACAATCTAAAATCAAAGGAAAGCAATATCTGTTAAGGGTTAAAACATTTACAATTTAAATCCAGATCTACGCTACAAAAAACGGAAAAATTCCGTTTTGTTTACTAACTATTATACGCTCTTGTTTCGTGTGGCCTACGTGGTCTATTCTGCATGTTCGACCATGCTCCCTAAGGAAATTACTGAACCAATATCTTCAGCACAACACCGATAGATAGCAACGCCTCATTGAATATATGCATATAGGGCTGCATACTATTTATGGCTAGCTATGAATAGGAACAATGGTTATATCTTGGTAAAAACTTCGAATCACAGATAATTTAACATATGAAGAGCACTTTCTTTTCGCAGGTTGCAATTACCAAATTGTTTGTCTAGACGACAGTCTGCTATGGTTCCAGATTTGTACGCTCTAAGCTCAAACGTTATGTTAAAAAGTTTACAAAGAACATGTTCAGATTCCCTCTACTAGCATTCTTTTTTGCTGATTGGCGTGTTGTGTCCGTGTAAACGTTTGACATTTGTAAGATTAAAACTTTTTAAATAGTTATAATTTTATGCGCGTCGGGCAGTGCCTTGGGCTAAAATTGAATATCCTAAATATTTTACTCTTTTTGTAAGGTACGCTTTTCTAGTCTTCACCTAAATGAGTTCATTTAAATAGGCTATCACTGTCTTTCCATTAAACTCATTACAGTGATATTATATAGTCTTACATATATGCGTATATATTACTTATACACAATACACACCTTAACGGGAAATAGTACACACTTTACACGTAAAGGTCAACCATGACAACAAAATAGAATTTCTAGTGTATTTACTATTAATACTTAGTACCAAACACTATCTGCAGAAAGGTTTCCGCAAGTATAGAATGTTTCTATCAGTTTAACTTTGCAAATACATCATTAAGTATTGGAGGTTGATAATAATATTTTATAACTATATTTAAACCAGTCTTATAATTTGCGCTTCGTTTAAAACCTTCAGATTTCCTTAAAATCGCTACTACAAACTGCAAATAATTTATGCACACCATAGGGCCTCCACTTTTGAGTGGAGGCCTAATCCTGATGAAAAGACTTTTCTAAATTTTGTTGGTAGATTGTGTTAACGATGTCGATTTACGTGAACTCAAACAAGTTCTTACTATATTTGTTTCTTATTTGAACGCATCTATGAATTCACCTCATAGCCGTTTCATGCTCTTCATCCAATCTGAACCCGACTGAGCAACGAATGCCTAGGTGTTGTCCATTGCATAGCTCAAATGTACAACGAAAAAATTCGGGCGGCCTAACGTCTGTATTCAGTTCGTCTTTGAGCTAAACGAGGCTGGATAGAACTAATCTCTTAACCTTTTTTTTTTTACTGACGATGGCCATACCAGACCTAGTATGTCGACCCCACTCTCAGTCGGTCGCTACTATGCCGGACTATTTATCAGCGTTAAGGTGTCATTGTTATATATCTACTTAGGTAGAATCATTCGTACATTGATCCGTGGCGGTCTTATTGGATACCGACCCATACAATTTCAATGCACAGAAATTGATATTTTTGCCTTAGAGCTTCAAGAAAAGTCATTTTTTCACTAATTTCTCTAAACCGGTCTCTAAACAAATATTGGCTCTTCAAGTTCACAAAGTTCTATCCATAGTTGTGCGTTTTAATATTGCTGGCTAGATAGGTCGGCAACAGAAACGATTAGCCTAAAATCGCGCTTAATCTATTTCATTTTCAAATTACTATAATTATGAAATATCCATTTAAGTGACCTCGTTATGGCTGCGAATTTGACAAAAGTAATGAAATATAGTGGGAAACAAGCGCAACTAAATACTTTAAGAGGCCTACATCCAAATTTAATATTTTACCAATATTGAAGAGAAAAAACATTTTTCAAATCATGTCATTATGAGAAATATGGGCAATGTAATAATGTGGTGATACTATCGTATCTTTGAGCGAAATAACCCACACATATTGCACATCTGGAAATTAAATAAATAAATAAAAATAAAAAAAAATAAAATAAAGACCCTTTTTCTGTAATAAAATTGACGTCCGTTGCAATAGACGCTAGTACCAGGAAAACTTAGTGTGCCCGGGTTTGTCAAACTCTGCAAAAGGGCTCAGCATAACTCCGCAGATAGCCCTAAATTTTTTAAGGCTTTTTTAAGATCATTCAGAATTGTTAATATTATAATGATTTTATCTACTGTAGAACAATAAACGTGACTTGCTAGGAGATACGTATATACGAATATCAAACTACTTTTTAGTAACATTAACCAAATATAGAACAACCAACTTATCGATAAAAGGGATACAGTCGTTCATATCTGAGGCAAAGTAGGCGGTGAATCGCTGCGGAAGAGTATAATATGTCCAGTTACAAAAATAGAACTGAGCATTTTATGTTACAACCTTTTTATGTATGTTTTACAACCTTTTATGTAGGATTTCTATACGACGTTATCGGACGGCATTAACAAAGCGTAAATTTCAATGAGTAACTGTATATATTTTTGAATGCATGCCTAGTAAAAGAAATCTCCAGTAGAAAAAAATGCCTATAATAGACAACTTTTTTCAACACGTAAAAAATAAAATATTCCTTACAGTAACCTAAAACCCGATAGGACACGGACAACCGGTTTGTCCAAGTAAATTTACATTTGCTAACAGATAGTACAGCAAACGACGGACCTAGGAGCCATACTCTTAGTTGGACACTTATCGTTTCATAAAATTGAAATCATGATAGGATTTGTTTGTTTACAAAATACTTTTTAGTTTACTTAATACAATTAACACTTTCCTACTCATGCCAGAACTAAACCCTTATCCCTCTTGCAATGTTTTCTCCATTCACGTTGAATGGAACGCACATATTAGTTTAAATGCGGTATGTTGGACTAAACATCTAGCCGCCTAAGCTTCTGTGGCAAGACGTATCCAACAGCTGCAGAAACTGCGTCCTAACAACGAGTGTTTTCAAAAAGTTGGAGCGTAAGCTGTACCAACAAATGCCAAAATAAAACATCCGTAGATACGTGCTTCGATGTGTCTCGAAATTGGGAATTTCCAACCTAAATGACACAAAAGGAACATCTGTTTTTACTCAATACACATAAGCGCGTAAGCAGTCTTTGAAGTCAACCAGATTCCCCTGCTGACAACAGGCATTGACCTTGACATAAACATATTGTTGGGATATTCAACTTTTTCCCACCATCTTTAGGATCACAATAGAGAAAACGATTAATTAACGTAACTGATCAACGTCAAAAACAGATAACTTATAGCGTGAAGTTGAGCACAAATGAGGCTACATTGGCGGACGCCAGGCATACATCATTTAGATCCAAGTTCATGTGATTATTTTGACTTTTGGCTTGATGCCATGGAGACCTGTTGTGTAGGAATTGAATGCGCTGTTAATAAGCTGTTTTACAAGATTAGTGTCGCGGTCAGCTGCTTTGATAATTACTTGGGACGGATTACTTTGAGGGCTACGACCAAGGCTGATTAAAGGCAACAAAGTTACCTTGCGGTGACTAGCGTTTTTCCAGAATGACTACTGCAACATGACGCAGTAAAAACCTACTATAAATTTCTTACTTGACTCACAAGTGTATCATGAATATGTCTGTAGTCTGCTCTACTATATTCCATTTTAGTGTTAGCAACTATACATCAACTGCAGCTTATGAAGTGAAAAAGTCCACAAAGAAATAGCCATATTACGCGCTTTTGTCACTTTTAATGTTACACATTGAAATTATTAAACTCAGCTATACTACTATATATCGACCGCTATAATCTATTCATTTCGCACAGTGCATACTGCCGAAACACCTGTTTTGCGCAATTAGTTTGTACCCTAGCCTTGCAGTGATACTCGAGGTTACTTTAACTATTCCTACGGGCAGCTTCCATACCTCTTAACAACAGAACAGCCATAACACAGCTTCTGGCAAGGCCTCGTTACTGTTTCAGCTTACCATCAATATCATTATCATGACTATTATCATTATTTTCCGGAAAAAAATCGATTAGCTCTGTCGCCATTAACACACACGCACAGACACGAAGGTACTAACTTATCGACAGCAGAATAGATCAAATTATCTCCCAGTAGTCCCTCACACGCAAGATGAAATGCACGAAAAATCTAGAGGGCACAACAAGAAGCAACTATAGAAAATCACAGCTCGTAAGCTGGAACTGAAAAAGCGCCCAAATGCTAAAAGACAGACGTAAGAAATAACTATAGCCGTCAATCTGCTAGTAGGTCAAACTGTACTACGAAATAGACGTATACAGCAATGAAATGGAAGAATCAGCCTTCCCACATTTGCCATCCCTTACATCCCATTCTATATAAATGTATATATGTATACGCATTAAAGCGTTTAACGCTATGCTGGAAGCATGATGATCGCCATATTGCGTCACATAAATAGACATAAAAGCTCAACTCACCTGAAGCGCGGAGAATCGCGGAGGACCTCGTCAAAACCGATGAACGGCTTGACCATCACGAAGCCGTTTCTAGGTGCTCAACCGGAAAACGATCGTTGCTATAATGGTGGCTGTCAATTGCTACCTGCCTCAGCAGTCCAGCGAATCAATCACTGCTGGAAAAGGCCGTTTGCAATAAACGCAACTGGAACACCGAATATCGACTGTGGTGTCTAGACCCGCATCGGAAAACGGTCGGCGCGGACCGTGTCAGGGGGAGATGGGGCTAGGTGAGGGGATACGAGTTGTACTGGACAGGGAAACTCGGAAAGAAGAAAACAAGTGTTCAAGACGATGTTAACTACATTGGTCGAAAATGTACCTAATAATGTAACGACACTTGCACACACGCACACGGACACGACTCACATGATGACACAACCTTTACATAGGTATAGGACTCCAGCGTAAGCGAGTCCTTTTAGTTACACTCGATGTTAATGGACCGCATAATATCACTTCCATTGAGGTATTTAACAGAGGTGAAAATGACATTCGTTTCTTGAGCAAGAATTCTGTGGAGGATCTATTAAACCATAGCTCTCTCACTACTTCACTGGGTTAAATATAGTCCGATACACATGCGAATAGATTTGGAATGGCACTAATAATCATTACTGCAGTTTCTAGTTTTTCGTCGATGTAATCACTTCCTAAATACTGGCCATTTTTTATGATGGACGCCTGCTGCGATTTGTTTAGATTTCGTACTTTGATTTTCTCCGGGAAGACAAAATAAAACCGCTCGTATTCTGCAAAACCCCATTGAATGGTGGCACCTTCATTGAAAAAATGTTTGAACGAACGACACTTAAACCAGATCACCAGTAAACTCGAAGGGGAACAAAACCTAACTTGTCCCTTCAATGCTCGCTAGTCAAATTTGGTCGAAAGCTCATCTCAATCAAGAGGACGAGAGGATGTAGAGCACACTATTCATTTGATCGTGGTTTGTTCTTTTATCAGGTCACAGCACCAAGAGCCTGCCATGAGTCGCTGTTACCTGCATAGACAGTTCCGAGCACTTAGTGTAACAGCTAAGGCGAACACCGCTGCTGCTGATGTCAACGCTATTGTTTGTGCTGAAGGACTTGCGCCGTTCCATTTAATGCTGTTACAGGTCTTTGTCGTTGTTTCATTGATAGCGACACCCGTAGCAGTTTATGCCACCCAAATGTTTGGCATACACTGTAGCTCCGAACGAGCTAGCACTTTTTGCCGAAGCTTAGAGCTCCCTAAACGACCAGTGTGGAGCAACAGTCGGCCACTCGATAACGCATGTTCTAACACCCATTCAGTTCTCTGCACGTCTTCTATGCTGTTGAAGACGACCGTCAGTCGGAGTTATCGACAACAGTTGACACTTGTTCTTGTTCAGCTGATCGCAGTCTATCGTACCCCTCCTCTAGAATAAATAGAAGGAACTAAGCGTTCTTCGAGAAGGTAAGCAGACGATGCCCTTGTCGTAGCTGATGCAGACGCCCGCTGCATGGCTCATTAGCATCGCTTGCGAGGTGACTCGGTCGTATAGTCTGAGATAAGCGAATGGGAGTATCTAAATATGTGGCGCGTTCCCCAAGTCGATAGTAGAGCAAACCTGGTTGTTAGGTATTCATCTTCCTGCTTAGGAAATTTAAGCTATATGGACGATTAATCGCAGTACTAGGATGTAATATTTACATATCAGGAACGCCATGTTAACAATGATAAAAGAAGTAACCGAAGAGAACGACAAGTGTATAAACTTCCTATAGGCATATAGTTTACATATAACGGTTTTATTAATAGAACGATTTGGGTCCGCACATAAATGTCGTTTTCATCTCAACTGCGCAAAAACAAAATGATAATTTCGCTGTGTCCTTTTTTGTCGTCTAGCTCAAATGGTTGAAGCCACAAATACTTACAAGCTGAAGTCGAATCAACGTTCTTCGAGGGCTAATAGCATTCGTTCCAAGGAAATTATCATGATTAATTAGAAATCTCCTCTTAGAGGCGTGCATGCCTTCTTTAGAACCTATAAACGGCTTCAGAGGATTTAAAAATGTTTACATGCATAGTTACAGCCATCTTCAACAAATCCGTATAACAAATAGCGTCTTCAAAATGTATCGTTCTTATCTTCATTATGAAGGTAGTGAAAGAAGTTTGTTTTTATTTTACTATTAAAAAAGATTTAGAATTATAATTAAAATAACGTCAAAATTAGTCTATTTTAGCTTAGTGGTTTAAATATTTAAAAACGAACTAGAATAGTTTCTGCAAGGTAAAGAAAACCCGTAACTCAATACGCCACCTAAACGGAGTGGTCTTTTCCAGTATCTCCTTATTAACAAACTCTTCGTTTTTTTCCTGTTCTTGCTCTTTATTTTTTTTTTATAGTTTTCATAAAAGCTACCCGCGAATTTTTTTCCAGTTTTTACATGATGCCTCTACCTTAGTCTAGATCTAGAAACACTGCTCGAATAGCTCAACCGCGGGCACTTCAACTAAATAGCGGTTCGATCGCAGCGCTCGTTCACACAGTTTCTTACGACCGTAGTCTTGGGGAGCCTTGAGCAAAAATCGCAACCTAACTACAATTCTGTAAGTACTCCCAATTTTCTCTAGGATCATCGTTGTTTCATAGGTGTTGGGTCTCACTGTGTATGAAAGACGTTAAACAAAAAACCATTTGGAACAAAAATGCTATCTGATTTTTTAACCCCACCCTTGGTTGCCGGCATTCAAGGGCAGATCAATAGTAAAGAGGCTTTCGGGCAATAATTTTGTATTTCAAGAGAACCTTATTTGCGAACTGTTCTGCGAAGTTCTGAACTTGGAAATGAAGATAGCGTACTGTTAGATCAGATCGAGCCACATTGCTTGTATAACTATGAAATTTGCGTTAGGAGTTTGAGTCGAATATAGAGCACGTATTTCTCGTCTGCTGCAGTGCCTTGGAAAATAGTCTCGAGCGTGCAGTGACCTTCAGATGCTTCTCTGAGAACCCACACACGTAGGCACCTTTCTCTGACCTCAGAGCAAAACTGGTAAATTTGTTACTTTATTCATTTTTTCTTAAAGAAAAACAATTAACATAGTTATAAATTCTAAAGACTGCATAATGTTATGTTATATAATGTTAAGTACTGCACAATCACCGGACCCATACAGAAATCTAGTCCTGAAGATGGTGCGCCTTTGGATTACCAGGTCGAAACGACCTCTGCGCGGTGTGCAGGCATAATCGCTTATTTCTTATCAACGTGAACACTATATATACAAGAAGTTGTGGAAGTTCTAGACAATGCGGATGAACCATCGATTACGCCTATCAACACCAGTAACTATTTCCGATCTTGTTAATGCACAGAACTTACCTCATACAAAAGCGACATGTAACAATCATAGGAAAGTGACGGACATCAGCAATTCTTGCTTCACCAGTTTGTAACCACGCCATACTGACATTTGGTTTCGTAATTATTATTGAAAACTAAGAACGTGTCGCCTTTTCCACCCCGCAATGTCGATCCGTTAGTAGATTATCTCATAGCAAGAGTTGTGTGGTGACCTAACACGACAGCATACGAGATAAGTGATAATTGAAAAGCAAAAAGAGTATCGCCTCGTGCCCGTTCCCTTGTTGCGCACTGCTGGCGCTGTTTCTACTTTTATTCAATTACTCATTAGAATTATATGCACTTCATCGACACTAGTCGCACCACAGCACGCCATTGGAGGGCATCTGCAGTAGCTGTCTTCATTTTCTGTCCAAAAGTCTGGCGGCAGCAAATGTGCATGTAGAAAAGAGTAGTACCGTGTGATACACCCTATGGCTAGGGCTTGAACTGAAATCATAGTTGCTGTCAACTGACATAAATTTTAGTTAAAATTGAACTAACAGCGGAATACGCAGACTAAGTAAATATCGATACATCCATGAAAAGTAAACTATAATCGGTAAAGTAAGCTTTTATTTCGACTATAGACTACGTTACACATTAACTTGTTTGAATCAATTTCGTTCCAGTCAATATACTTTATAAAAATTAGAAAAGTTTACTATCTCTGTCTGCTTATTCAAACTAAAGCTAAATAAAAACTAAATAAAAAGTATAAGTTTTTGTAAAGTTTAAAGATATTCTCTAATCAGCCTCATTTACCGCATTATTTTATCTTGTCTGCGTATGGCCTTCTGCAAAGAAAAACTCAAAAAAAAACCCGCAAAAAAATGTTGTTTGAGTCTCTTCGACTTTGAGTTTGAGAAATGATGCCGAATTAACACTTGTAATTAACGAAAAAATCTCAATAACCAGAAACTCGGCAATTGCAGTTATGGACACATTTTATAACAAGGCTCATATGATATAAATAATTTTACTAATGTGGCTTATTTTCTATCAGTCAACGTGTCAGAAAGAGCTTTAAGTGATTCTGCCATTGTATTTATATCAGACCTCGTAAATTGTGTTCGTTTTAGTTAGTGTGTGTTTGCCGCAAACCAGTTTCCAGTAAAAAAATCTCAGTGCTGTAAAACGAATGGCATATGTACCATGTCAACATTCGAGTGTCAATGCATCTGCAAGGTTAAGTCGGCCCAAGATGCCCGTCTACTTGTTAGGAATACATTTCGGTTAAAGCTGCATATGCCAGGTCTCATGTCGACTTCTGCTATTGAAAACGTTCCTTTAGTACTGGAGAAAATAGCGTCCTACTAAACGCCAATTCTACAAATAGAAGTGTCACAGAATTTAATTCTGTTCCAGTTTGTTATAGCTATTGAGTTGACTGTTATAAGAGACTGACTCACAAAATAGAGTAACGAAGTATGAGAGCTGAGCGCAGGATCTTCTTTTTAGCGAGAAGTTGGTTTAACCACTGGCTGACTAGCCACGTCAGTTCTTGGTATTTCTTCAGGTTGGCTATGCGGATCCGTTATTTTTTTGTAATAGTATAACTAGAGAATATTACCGCGACGTGATCGATTTCTATCAAGAGAGCCAGAAAAATCTGTTGACTTCAGACAACTATTGACAAATGATCTAGATAATTTACTATTCGCCGACCCGAACGAAAATATTTGTCTCAATCCATTAAAAAAATAGAGAGGTTCAGACTCGTCTGAGACAAAAGTAATGTTTATCACACATAAATAAAATTATACTAATAGATTACAAAATGGTGTATTATCGATTCAATCAAATAGTTGCTCGTATTAGTCTACAACCATGTATCCAATATACACACTGCATCCGCGGGTGAGCCCAATGCTGAAGTTTACTGAATTTTGATACTAAGGATTGTTTTTACCGTTATCCGTTTCTATCGTTCATAGGGTATGTTTACCCCGTTAAAATTTGTTGTTTCTACCTAATTCCTTTTACGTGTCGTCTTTCCTGCTGTTGCACATGACTGAATCAAGATAGCCGTGCCGGCAAGTCTCGCTATTTTTACGCTATCTTCAGGTTATCAGGCCGGGTACTCAAACCAAACTGATTCAGGATAATGCTTGTAGTGTAATAAAATCCACAAATATTGATCCTAGTTGTTAATCGGGCAGTGGACTTGACGAAGCGAACTGAGGTAACAGACACAAATATTTTTAGTGCTTCTAGACGTTTTGCGTAAGAATTATTAAGCAGGCCTTTTGTCTCACCCGCAGATCATCATTTCAAGTGACCAATTAGAACTCGTTTATCTCCTGAAGTTGGTGTTTAATTAGGCTGCAGGGCAAATAATCACTTAAACATTATTCTCTTACTATCAAAATAGAACAATGGATTATTCTGCTTTTTTTTTTTATCAGAGCGACGATATTAGCGCTAAGCTATGCCAACTTTTCATTAAGCTGTGGTTAAACTTGCATTGTACAGCGTTTAACATACGGCGCATTACACTGTAATCGTTAGTGCACAATCATCGGACACTGTCCTTAACCCGGTCGAATTTTTCACGTCGAAGATTGAATTGCTTCAGGTAGAAGTGTAATCATTTATTATTATCTTTGTGTTCTTGATTTTTTCATAGAAGAGTGATCAGGATGTCCATCAAGAAAATATTCGCCCGTCAGATCTATGACTCTCGGGGCAACCCGACTGTCGAGGTAGATCTGACCACTGCCAAGGGAGTCTTCCGTGCTGCCGTTCCTTCCGGCGCGTCTACCGGAATTTATGAGGCACTTGAGATGCGAGATGGTGACAAGGCTGTTCATCACGGTAAAGGCGTTCTGAAGGCTGTCAACAACGTGAACAATGTCATTGCACCCGCGTTGCTTAAGGAATCGTTTGACGTCAAGGATCAACAAAAGATCGATGAATTCATGCTCAAACTAGACGGCACTGACAACAAGGACAAACTTGGTGCCAACGCTATTCTTGGAGTGTCGATGGCTGTGTGCAAGGCTGGAGCTGCTGAGAAAGGCGTGCCCTTGTACCGTCATATTGCCGATCTTGCTGGTAACTCAAAAATCGTCCTCCCAGTACCAGCCTTCAACGTAATTAACGGCGGTTGCCACGCTGGAAACAAGCTGGCCATGCAAGAGTTCATGATTCTGCCGACAGGCGCAGCATCATTCACGGAAGCTATGCGCATGGGCAGTGAGACCTACCATCATCTCAAGGCCGTGATCAAGAAGAAGTTCGGGCTGGCTGCCACCGCAGTCGGTGATGAGGGTGGCTTTGCTCCAGACTTCCAGGACAACAAAGAGGCACTCGAGCTGATTAAAGAAGCTATTGCCATCTCTGGATATACGGGCAAGATTGAGATTGGCATGGATGTTGCTGCCTCGGAGTTCTGTCAAAACAAGAAATACAACCTTGGTTTCAAGAACCAGCCACCGGTACCAGAATCAGAGCACCTGACGTCGGCTCAGCTCCAGGCAGTGTACCAGGGTTTCATCAAGGACTACCCTATTGTGTCCATTGAGGATCCGTTCGATCAGGATGACTGGGAGGGCTGGAGTTCAATTACCGCCAACACCACTATCCAGATCGTTGGTGACGATCTCACTGTCACTAACCCTAAACGCATCCAGATGGCCTGCGATAAGAAGGCCTGCAACTGTCTGCTGCTCAAGGTAGACCTTCCCAACTAAATTTTCGGCTTTTTAATATTGCGCTTTGACTAAATGAGCATGATATGTTGTGTATTTTATTTTATATTCAAGCTTATTTAATGTTAAAAGGTATATCAGTTGCTATGCTAACAGAGACGCTGCATGTTTCTTCCTCATAGGTAAACCAAATCGGTTCAATCTCCGAGGCCATTCAGGCCCACTTGCTGGCTAAAAAGAACGGCTGGGGAACAATGGTGTCCCACCGCTCGGGTGAGACAGAAGACTGTACCATTGCCGATATCGTTGTTGGTCTTAGCACCGGCCAAATCAAAACCGGTGCGCCCTGTAGATCGGAACGTCTTGCCAAATACAACCAGATCCTGCGCATTGAGGAAGAATTGGGCACCGCTGCCGTGTATGCCGGGAAGAGCTTCAGGAAACCTCAATAAATTAACAAAGAGAATGGGCTATTATGGGCTGCGCTGAAGTGGAACCAATATGGCGTTACGTTCTCTTAGTATCCAGCCATGACGTACAGCACACAACCAGTTAGTCTACTACTACCAAAAAACGATTATTATATGCATCTGTGCACAAAAATGTATATCTTCGTATTGAGGAAGACAACAGGAGACTGCTTCTTTTAAAAAATAAATTCTTGCCTCTCTGATCTGAACGGGGTATCGCTAGGCTCCTATCTCTGACTAAAAATAGTGAAAATTATGCTATCACAATACCTATAATAAAACCATCTCATGCCGTATATCATGCTGTATTGATCTTCTATGTTTCCCAGATGTCCATGACCTGTCTGGGATCCAATCAACGTAACCTGTTCCCCCGACCATAGGCTGTACTTGGAGCTTTAGTTATTCGCCGGTGTTAAGTGAACCTCTATCCAAAACTTAAAATTGCTAATGCAGCTATTAATAGCATAACGTTTGCTAGGAACTTGTTGTAGTTACCTGATCTGAATGGGATATCTTTTCATCTCTACAAGTGTCTAACACTCTACGGCGCCACCGGATTTAGGGTGTGCAGTCAGATGGTCCAGCCAGCAACAGATCGATGCCCGTTGTCGAGAGTGGAAACACCTGATCATCACCCAAAGAAGACAGTAACATCTGCAGAAAACACCGATTTAACTATAAGAATAACTATCAAAGCAGGAACTTCACAAACAGAATATTTTACATTAGAGGTAACAACAGCACTTCTAATATATATATATATATATATATATATATATAATATATATATATATATATATATATATGCTGCCTCGAAGGTAACCCTAAAAAATGTTCAAGCTGTTACTTCATTCAATCGAGGAAGTCAAAATGAGCGAGTTGAAAGCCTGCTTTTGTGGCATGACATAAAAATCGATTTAATTAATATCATGTATGTATTTGACGGAGGTAGACTGTTCGCATTCTTTCAATCCGTTGAAACGATTTTCGGTACTCGAAACCACGTAGTATGAGGATTAGCTATTGTGTCATTGTATTCGACAGTTCCTATAACGAATTTACACCGGTGATAATCACGAATGCATTACCATGCAATCATTTGCAATGTTGTCGTCGAAGTGGCAGACCTGGTTGGACAGTACCTAGTGGAAATTCCATTATGAAGACAATAACAATAAAAATAATCCTGTAACATGTTTGGTTGATGCTGCGTTTTTTACTGAAATATAGCATTTCTCTTTCTATTAATATATTACTAATTTAATCTTTCTATATTCATTTTTTGTTGCAGTTTTTACGGGAATATCAGATTTAAAAAAGAACATTTAGCTTTTAATACACAGCACGGAGCGCAACAATTGCGCTATCCGTTTTTGTACTAAGCTCTTCAGAAAGAGTCTTCTGCGATTTATTTGCACTGCATCTTTCTGCCATTTTTCTTGTTTAATAATCGTTATTTCTGCTATTTTGACTGATTTTAATTATAAAGTTATCGCAGACGTTCATTTGGGTTAGTTACTTATTGCTATACCATTGTTCAGTTTTTTCGTTTCCCATTTATGTAATCGGCGTATATTAGTACGGGTTCTAGCAAAATTCTCCACATATTTGTCACTTAAATTGAAGCCCTTTGTGAAGACTTATTGCTTCACGTTGTTGTCTGTTGGTTTTTAATTTACCTCTTGTACACCTACAAAATTATTTAAATTCTTACAAATTAAAAATACTGACATATTTGCTTACTGATTTGCGAACGCAACGAGTACAGAAAAATCCTAGAGAAGCCTGACAGCTGATAACCCAAAGTAGATTGACAACACTTTGACACGTAACTGAGATTAAATCTGGTTACAACAACAACGGTGTTACGATGCATATATCGATATTCTGTTTATGTAAACATAAGTACGCTTAGTTTATCTCGACGTAATCAATAACTAGGAAGCACGTTAGTGCCGTCAGAAAAATCGGATAAACCCATTAAACTAACTATAATATCGCTTCCGCAAGTCGATTTTAACTGCTCTTAAGACAGTGTCAGTGCAGTAAGCGATAACAACTGAAACACTTCGGACTTAAATGTGAGAACCAAACAGCTTCTTTCCGCCGGTTTAAAGCCTTCATTCTTTCAATAAATTTTCGAGCACTTTCAATCCCGGTACTTTGATAGCAATATATTTTTATTCTACATGTAAAGCATGATATAAAAAAAGAATATATGCTTCAGTTTTCCTATACTATATCATGACAAAACAAGGGTTCCTTAATAAGATTCATAAAAATTTATTACTACTATAATTAAATCATCGCGAACGCGTTACAATTTCACCAATTTTTTTCTAGAGTACTTTTTTGGGCATAAACATGACAAAACTTACAAATTACGGCTGTATAGGCAAGTGTTATTAATAGGCAACTTTTGTCACACGCGGGACCAATAGTACCTGTCACCATCAGGGTCGTCTATATTTTTGCATATATATGATCCTTCGTTTGCATTTCAGACGTTTTTAAATGAGAATTTCGTAATGGACAAAACAATTATATACTATATTATCGATATGGCTTATGTTTTTTGTTTGTATGTGTGCTGTGTTCACATGCAGTATGCGTTTATTTTTTATTTCCACTATATCGTTCGTCTCGTTTATTTCGTAGCCTCCTTCAAATAAGCGATTAGATCAGCACGATCTTGGGGCTTCTTCAGACCCGCAAATACCATTTTTGTGCCTGGAATGTACTTTTTGGGATCAAGCAAGTACTCAAAGAGGGTGTCCTCCCCCCAGGTAATGCCCTTCGACCTGTTAGCGTCGGTATACGAAAAGCCAGCAGCTTGACCGGTTTTGCGGCCGAATAATCCATTAAGATTTGGACCAGTCTTATGGGGTCCACCTTTTTCCGTTGTGTGACACTGTGAACATCTGTAATAGATTCAAAGGAAAAATTGTCGAGGTTAAAAAAATTATTGGGCAGAAGAAAATTTGAACTAAGAATCTCTTTGAAAACATACACATGATGTAGTACCAATTAATAACTAATTTTATACATTTTACTGTGCTGTATTTTAATCACGTTATAAAAAAAAATCGGAAGCTTTAAGGTTTATCTTTCAAAAAGTGCCCGTCATTTAAACGTCATTTAAAGCAAAAAAAGCGATCGACGCTTGTCGTCATATAAAAAAGCTAGCTTTAATTATTCAGATGGTGCACATGATTGATTGACGAACAGGCTACTATCGAGCTAATAACTATCTACTGTATAGGATGACTTGTGCACTGATGAATATCACAAATCAAGATAGCATTTTTATAAACAAACTTCATTAAAAGAGGACTCCACCTCAACGGGTAACAGTTCGAATCGTTTTTGTATTTATTTGCAGCGCACTTTACTCTTTATTATAAACTAAATATCACTAATTAGGATCAAACGGATAATTTGTGACTATGCCATACCACATTCGATCTGATGAAAAACGCGCACGGTCATCTTCTATCACAACTTGCTATTATACAATATACATAATATATGTCTAATAAGGGAACAAAATTTGTTGCTTTTCATCCTTTTACGCGGGCACTTTCTATGCGAATATTCTTACACGTTTTTTTAGTATGCAACCTTTGTAGTTGCCAGCAGTATTATTGACACCGCTAAGTCAAGAAATCCAATTAAAAGCTACTTAAGTTTAAGTATTTACAGCAAATAATCTCTACAAGAATCTAACCATAATTAGTTATAAAGAGCTCGAGTCGTTCAAGTTGTTCGGTAGGGTCCGTGCGTAGAACACAAAGGAAACACCGCACGGGTGCCGGTCTTTTTACAAAATTGTACACAAAAGCGATTTTCAAGCAGAATCTTTCGGCAAGACCTACCTCTGTATGAACAACTTCTTTCCCTTTTCGACGTCTCCCGCAGGTACCGACATGCTGGCTTAATTAACAGGGCAGGTCTAAGTTAAGGTTGAATAGAATCGTTGTCCCCACGCACACGTCCGCATACGGAATGATTGCCGAAGCTAAATGGAAGGTCACCGCGGAGCCGAAATGGAGCCATAGAAGGTTTATGTGCCGAAACTAATCTATTATACAATTTTTTGATTCGATTATCTGCAGGTACATAAAATATATAAAGGATATGCTTTATATGTCTGAACATGTTGAATGGCCTAAATTATTATCAGAGTTCAAAACAAATGCATTTTAGGGTCACCTCTATTAGCTTCTAGCTAAAGCTTATGCCATATAACGTGAATATATTGCTACGGAGCAGCGAAATCCAAACCCCTTCGCAATCCAACACTATTATCTCCACCAAAGTAATATGAAAAGAATATGAAGCTCACGAAAGAACAGCGTTAATTCGAATGAAAGATTCCGGAAGCCGGCGCACCAGAAAAGGTGCGCAAGTACTGACAGTATCTTGAAGAACGTTTTGCATAAATAAGCTGAAAAGTTAGTGCATAGAATCCAATCTTTGTTTTCGAATTGTGTAGGGTAATTAGGCTGTACATTTCTTTTAATTATCGTTCATCGTATTGACAAAGGTCTTTACCGGCAATTTTTTAAGGGCTCCTATCAGAGCTTATTGAGCCGTTTTTTCTGGCTTCCGTAATATGAATGTAAGAATAAATTAATATAAGCATTTAAGAGTTAGTACAGCGTCATTTCCGATTTGTCAGTTTGTGTTACGAAAAATAAAGCTAGTACGCAATTATCCGAAAAAAAAAAATTGAAGGAGACTAATGAAAATTCAAATTTCGAACCAAAGATTTTCTGAGGAGACGGAACTTCGAAAATCCTTATGAAGAGCCTGCCCATTCACAGTTCTACCGCTCCCAACCAAAATCACGATTCTCTTGAAATTGTTAACGTTTATATAAACCGAAACTCACTAACGTTATTTAGGGTCCCAATACTCAGTAAAGTACAATTTTGCAAAATCGATATGATTTGCATGTGCATGGAAGTAAAACTACCTGCATTCCGGAATGTGATTGCAGAGAATGCCATTAAAAACGGATACAGCCAATCCACCTTTAAGCAGTAAAATAGTAGTAAATTACAAATGGTTCACCTTGCAGTCCTTTTGTAGTTCCCAATATAATTCGTATGTTCATTTGGGCAACGTAGTTACATACAAATTGCGGAGAGACGGTATATTTAACAACATATGTAAGAAATAAACTATAAGGTTGCATATTTACTTTATTTTGTCATTATGTTTGCCCTCTTGTATTGAATTTTCTTGTGCAAACAGAAACAATTTTTTGTTTTCATAGAGGCTCTAATTAAGCGCTGAATTAAAGGTATTTAATCATAGTCTCTATACGACTAATCAAAGCGCTGCGGAGAACTAAAAACAAACTATGCACTTCTCAAGATCTTCTCTCAGTTTTTAACCCCACATGGTTTTTAAAGATCAAAATATTTTCATAAAAAATACGGACTACGCTACGACCAAATCAACAAAAAATAACGATAAAGTACATTTGTATACACAGTTTGATAAAATGGTATTTATTTAAAAATAAACTGAACGGCACATGCCTTGTTACCAAAACGGTCCTTGGCTCGTTCGCCTCTTCTCCTTTACTATGCCATTATTCCATAGCGACTTTCATCAACGGACAGCTTACCTGCTGTTGCTTCTATTCACGTGTGTCTCATTTAACCTCAAACACATTGTAGTATTTATATTTATATTTTCGGCTGTCAGTAGGGGAACAAAAGATCATTGGCTACAGAAAACCCTTCAGAGCACAGTTGCACCCTTTATTACCACCGCCTCGAGCTGGTTCGGTCGTGGTCGCCAACTTATATTGATATCCATACGTCACTTAGCTATATTTATATACCACGCATGCTGCTGAAGAACGCTTCAGCCTCACACACCAGTTCCTAGTTTTCCCACTGCAACTGTCAACTCGACTGATTGTTCGGCCTTTGGAAATAAAAAACACGCTGTTCTTCTTCAACCGGCCTCGTCCTCTATATCACCAAGCAAAAATGTTCGTACGCAAATTTGAAGAACATTATCCGTTTTTATAATAATATGACTATTATAATAATATTGTATAAGCCGAGGAATAATACAAAGGTCGATTTGCTTATAGTAATATTGATGCGCAGAAATCATATGTAACTCCTGATGTAAAAGGCAACCGCGTGTGTTAGTCAACAGTACAAATCAACCACAAGGAAGTTTAGTGTCAATGCTTCTGTTCTGCATTGTCTCAGGCTTCACCGATCGTCCCCTAAATTTCTGATTAGACATTGAATCTACTTGTTCTGTCATTCCAATATGTTTATATTGTTGTTGCTAAACTAGTCCTTCCAACACCTAGGGTTTTCTAGGGCTACCACGGCTGGTTGGTCTATTAGTATTGAAACAATCAAGCACACGTAATAAATATATCAACAATGTAGCCTGCAAATGTAAAGTCCAATTTGTACGAGTATCTTCCCGTTATTACCATCGCCTGACGACTAATTCATACTATTTCTGCCGTCGCTGTCAGAGACTGCGTTGGTTCTTCATTGTATTCTTGCTGGATTTTACGCAGAAGCCTGTACCATAGGAGGCATTTGTTGTAATTGTGCGTTGGGGGCTTGGTGTTGTTGCGCCGTGGGCTGCATAACCACTGGTATAGCTTGACGTTGGACTTGGTTCATCTTGTCGCCAATGCAGATCGCCATACCTTGACTCTTTGCACGAATGCGAATGTGTCCGGTGATGTGCGAGTACCGATTTTGCGATTGTGGCGAGCTGGAGTGACGTTCGATTGACACGTTAGCTACGGCATGCTCGCCAAAAATACTTTTCGCGTACAGGTTGGCTGCTAAAAAGCCGCAGTCACCCTGTAGTGCCCGTTCGGGTGTGAGACACGCCATATTTGTGGCGCTGATCAGCGACTGCAAATATTCGTTAAGGTCCGAGAGAGTAGTGTTTACCGAAACCTGCTCAGATTGACAAAACCGTACGAGATAATGAGATTTTGGTATAAGACCTCACGCTTTGATTACTTTAAAGACGGGTAAATATAACATATGCTCAGCTATTCGAACTACGCAGAGTATTTCTATATCTTTTGGCAGGTTTTTGTGGGAGTCAGTAAAAAAAACAGCTCAGCTAGTCGAAAGGAGGTGGATCTTAGCAATGACATGATTTTATTTAAAAAAAGTGGTTAAAAACACAGAACAAATGAACATTCTTTTCACCTTGTTCTCCCACTCGAATTCTGCCCACATTTTGCGGAAGTCCTCATCAGAACAGACAGATGGCACGATGTAATCAATAATATCGATCTTAATGTCGTTAAGAACGACCACATTTGTTGTTCCTTTAACATCGTAAACGATATTGCCGAATATTGTACCGTTATCGGCAGCTGCTACCTAGAACAACCAGAAAAATATTTGTTAATACTTGATTAGTGCTAACAAAACCTTCTGACACTTTAATAGACACGGGTGTTTTGGTGTGTGAAAGAAAAGAAATTAGCATGAACAGAATTTCTTACGCTTATAAGCTAGCTTAGTCGACTTGAGCTATGCTGGTTCACGATTGAACTTTATTTGTAGATTTGTTACAGTTTTACACTGACAATACTGTACCTTGATCGTAGCTTTCATATTGCAGAAATCGAAAGGAGCCAGTGTCACAGAGGTTGGCTTCTGGAGAAGCTTCAGGTCGTCACCTAGAGTTGCGAGTTCAAGCAAACAGTTTTGCAACATATCACTTGTTTGATTCACGACAACTACATCTAAACTGATATCAAATTCTGTAGCCTGCACGTAGGCTTCCGCATAAACCGGATCGCATAAACCGGTCAGCTGTGTCATTTTTGACAGCTTCGAGTTCTTGAGCAAATCGCCTGTGTTGATTTCTCGGCTTCCCTGAACGGCCTGCGCAAGTGACGTCTCAAAAATGTTTTCTTTTTGAGTGCTCGCGCCTCCTTTCGGCGTCAATAAGCCAAATAATATACCGTCATCTACCCCTGTACTCGTCTCTTTTTTGTTGGCCTGCGTTTCTCGAGAACCAGCCGATGCCTTCTCCTCTAATCGAGATTCCTGATCACTTTTGATAGCAAGCATATGGTCAAGCGCCTCACGGGTCTGGCCGACTAAGTCTAGTTGGTCGTTATACAAGTTCTCCATGAGCACCTTGAGGCACATCGATATCTTCTTGACATCATCTTCACTAATCGGCTTCTTCGGAATATCGGATTGACCGTAACGCAAAATTGACGTCAATATCAGCATCGAGCAAGCAATGAATTCATTCACCGCTTTCTGATCCTGTTCGAGCTGGACATACCGCAGAGAAGCCTTGACTAGGTCGGACGCGAGGGCGGCACCGATAAAGAAGTCACCATCGTGCAGGTACTGCCGTAGAGCTGGCTGCCTCTTGTCTTTGTCGACTTTGGTCTCTACTGTAAGCGCCGTCTGTGTGGCGTACGTTCCATCGGCGGTTACTCGGGTCACCGTGACAGGAACGTCAGCTGAACCATTTACTTTACTGTCCTTGTCTTTATCGTGCTGATCATCGTCATCCTCTATTCCTCCTTCCTTTTCATTCTCGATTAACGGCAGGCCACCAAGACCATCGCGAACGCAGTCGATGAATGCCAGGATCTGTGTGGGTGTCGAACAGTACTCGCCAAGGAGCCAAAGCGCACTACGGTGAGTCGTCGCATCGTCATTAATTAGTGAAAACACTTCGATAAGTTTACCAATGATAAGGCTTCGTGCATGTTCGAACTTGTGGAGAACTTCGCGTGCAAAAGTGAGAACTGCTTCAGCGACGGTTTCGTTAGAGTCTGACAGAAGATCCAGAACCTACAGTTAAAAAAAAAGAAGTGAATATTCAATATGAAAAAGAAAAACAGCAAAAGAGAGTGGCTACTACACAGAACAGTGTTTATAACGTCTTATTATCAACACAGTGCTTATTATTATTTATAATTACGCTTTTATAATGTATTTCGTTTTATAAACAGGTTGGATGGGTTTGTTGCCATTCACAGCATGGCTAGAGCATTGCTATATCTATCACGTAAATACATCATCTGCTTGTATGGATGGGGATGAGGCAATAAACAAAAAGCTTACCACAGGAACGACCTCTTGCATTAGATCAGGGTATTTGACGGCCAAACGATGAAGTGTCTTCACAAGCAGCTCTCGATAACGTTGATCTGTGTTGTCAGCCGTGGCCCCTTCGCTTTTGGCTATTTCCTTTCCCAATGCACCGACCATTTCAGGTGCATACTTTACGCTGACTAGGTCAAGAGCAAGGCGCAGAGCTTTGCGGCGCACCTCAAGGTCGGAAGCTCCCAACACGCGGAACAAATCCATAACAATGTCCTGAAGCAGTTTTCCATGCTCATCCTATTCATTTCGGTAATAGCGCAAACGGAAATAACTATTGTCATTATTGAACATTTAATGCCAATGCTTCCTAATAGCTATCATTAATTAATTACTATAATCTACCCAAAAAAGCTTTGCGAAACATCCATTTTACCTTCAGTGAGATGAGCTTATCAAGCACAATGAGCTTTACATTATTGTCGCCACTGCGGACGACGAGGTCGATATAAGCGCCGGCCGCTGCACGTACAGCGGCGGGAGCCTGACTCAAAGTGACCAGAACGCCAGCCGCTTCAAACTTCACAGAAGGCGATGTCGAGTTTAAGAGCGAGTACACCATTTTGATAAATTTGCCCCGCTCCGAAGGCTGGGCGTGGCAGACCTCATAAATGAACTTGATGATTATTAGCTGTAGGGGCTCGTTTAGCCGCTCAACTTGATCAGCGATCTCCGCGAGATAACTGTAGACAGTTGAAATCATGTACAGAAATAGCAAGCGGATCATTCGGAAGTCAACATCTCACTATAGAGCCTTATGTAACTATATTGTATTCATTATTTACGGTGAATTTATTCGGATTCTGTTAATATATATTTTACTGAACCCATACTTAAGCGCCCGGTCAGGATCAAGCATCTGCAGCGCCAGGAATGCGTTTCGCCGACACGATTGATCGTGTTCGATGTCCAAGGACTCGGCAATGAGCTCAGGAGCATCAGGGATTAACTGGCTGAAGTTGCGATACACTTGAAGAATCGCCAGGACAGCGTTTTTGCGCACATAGCTATGGCGATGCTGGAGACAAGCCGTCATAGCAGGTATGAGAGGTTCTAGAAGCTCTGGCTCTTGAAGCTTGCACAAGAAACGTAGCGTAGATCCGCGAATAAACTCATTAGGGTGCTGCAGATCTTTCCGGTAAGCATCGCAGACAAGAATCATCTCCTGTAGTAACTTACCTGTGAATAATTTATCAAGATGAACGCACCGAATATTGTATATCTATTGAATGTACAAATTCGGTAAACGGAGTGAAATCATTACCTCGATATAACATCTCAATTTACGACTGGCAAAAAAAGGTATTCTTTCTCTGATTTTGCGTATCTTTCATCGACCAACACAGATCCGCCTAGAGCTATTGCTGACATGCTGTCAAAGGTAATAAAAAGCAGAAAAAATGTGCCTTATTGTCGGTGTTGTATCCGCTCGGCTAAATAACAGCAATCCCATTAGAAGAATTATCCCATTAGAAAATAACGTACTACTTTGTCATGCTCGCATGTTTTGCTTCATTTTGTACAAATGAAACGTACCATTGGCATCGCGCTTAGGAACAATCTCCCAATAAATCAACAGCAGCTTCTTGATAGTATGATCGCTTGTTGGCAGAAGAAATCGTATAACTGACATCAACATTGCAGATGAAAATTTCTCTCCTGTAATGTAAAAAAAAATAAACATCTCTCAAGACCTCAGCGTTAACATCTACAAAAAAAAATTTCAAAAATTTGCTAACATAATTGCCACCGATCGAAGCTTTTGACAGACGCGGAGTCTACTAACGAACTAATGCTGTCATACAAGAAATCCTCTGTCCACTACAATTATCTACAGAATATAATCGCAACATGATTTCCATACAAATCCAATAAGTAATAGTAACATGCATGATAGACCGACTATGATTAAAATCAACACAATGAAATTATCCAGTACATTTGTACAAGTGAGGCTCGAACAGAATTGTCGATGTGGGGTAACAAATTCCGGAACCATCGTAGCAAATATAGGCGACTTCGCTTGAAAATAAGGTAAGCTTTCATTGTGCACGAATACTTTACAAAAGATGTTACCAAGATTTTTACACGTGGAATGTTTTTCCATTAACACTGGAATTGGCTTTTCGATCCTTTTTGCTATATACCATCCTTTATCCGACGGAGATCACATCGTAAACCAAAAAAGCAAACAAAGAACTCATGACGTGTTCAAAGCGGTCTTAATTTTCTTCTGGAAATTACGTCAGCCATGTTCACCATATTTTTGAACAATAAGCAGCAGTTTTTTAGACTCGTTTGAGTCTTTCGGCCATTAATACCCAAAGAGTGAACGCACTTGAACCCATACTAGTAGAGTACATACAAATTCATGCCATTCACCACTACCCATGTTCTCTAAAATTCTCTAAAGTTCTCGATAGATATTACCTCGCACAAAAGCTTACAACGATGGCTTAAAACCGGTGGAGGTAAACATCTGCAATTTTGAAGTACGTGCCAGCGTCTGCCGCTCGAGCCTTTAATAAATTTTTTGAAATGTATTTAATTTTTTCTGCTCCATTCAGGTTTCATTAATGCCAGTTATTGCTAAAATTAAACCTTAAACCGCATAAACCAAACGCGTATTCCTCGATCCTTTCGAATTATACAGTTCACTGACTTATATCGGTGATGGTATGCGTATATATGACCATTATCATCCTATGTTTTACAACATTGTCTTACACGTACCACCGCCGGTATCTGGTAGGTGGAATCTATTTACTGTTGAGGTAAACTTGATTCCCCACTAGCTGCTGTATGTATTGATATGAACATCTCACCATGCATCATCTTGTTGATAAGCTGCTCGAGAGCTTTTGTCTGACGTTTCAAATCACACTTTTCGAAATCCGACCGAATAGACATTTCCTGAACGTCACCATCCTCGAGAGGGGCAGCTAGCGTGAAGCAGCCGTCCTCCATTGGTAAGAGACCCTGAGTCCAGTCCGCCAGAAGATCACTACACAAAGATTTTTGATTTGTATGAACGAAATAGATGTTTGGCTGCTTCGTAGCCGCTTTTAAGCTAAGTTTATTCGTTCATGCACTGCTTTCACAGCAGCAATTGTTTGCAGCAGATCCCGTTGACCACGTCAGTGAGTCGATCTGGCCGTCTTCGCGTACAGCAGCCGATCGGCCGGTGGAATATTTACACCCGATGAATGCATGGCGCTCAGGGTGGTTCGATAAGAGACTGTAAGCATTACTTTATAAGCAGCGCGAAAATTTGAATGAGATTGCAACTGAGTCAGTGCTGGGGCCATTACGTAGCACGGCTTCGATGTCTCAGTCCTTAAAAAATTACGCAGGTAAGCATGCTTAATAAGTTTGCATAAATCGCCATTGAAACGGTATGAGGTGCTGAGAACACAACGTATCTCCACATGATTTCGTTTTTTCAGCGCCTCTAAAATGTCGCCCAACTCTACAGTAAAGTATGCGCACATTATTTCGTTAATGGCCTATTGATTTTAAATCTATAGCGAAGTATGAAATGACTTTATTGCAATGCGTAGTTGGCATCTTTCGTTACCCGGTCCACTACTGCCACGAATTTTGTCGCCAAACTGATTTAGTGTGAGATAACTGGCGCCTATTGGGACGTGTAGTCATCAACGTTTTTGCCGCCAGCTGAAGATTTGTTCGACCATATAGTAAATAGTATACCAATGATTATATAAGCTTCGACCTTATTACCGTATAATAGCGCGGTCATCGTATACTAGATTAAACAATCCACGTGTAAGTTAGATTTCCCCAAATAGATAAACAACTCATGCCATTTACGGATTTATCTTTCACGCGTATACTTTGTCAAATCATCCATTGTGATATGGCGAGAAAATCAATATATGCATTAGTCATATAGAAACTATTACTGGGCGTTCACAAGTTCATTCAAAAACTAACCTGGAGAATATAGGTGACACGACGAATGCTTAGTTTCATTGGCTGCAATATTAATATTTTCGGGTTGTTTAAATGTCGCCCCTAGGGGATCCTCTTTTCTTGGTAACGCCCCATGTCACACTAACCCCTATGCAACACATCGATTTTTATTGCCTACTGTCCTGAAAGTACGCATCCAAAATTTACTGATCCATCGGGGATCGTTTCGTTATCGGCCACATCTGATACGCGTTTTGTGAACTGAGACATTTCCTGATACGTTTGCCGTGTCAGTAACTGTCCCTGGCTCACCTTAGACGGGTACATTTTGCTTGGAAAAGTACTGCATAGAATAAAAGCGTTAACAGTTTTTTGCGATCTTAAAAATATTCGTTTTCATGTCAAGGTTGCGCGCAAAAATTGATTTTATTAATTTTGTCACACATGATTGTTAGTTAAGTACTTTTTGAAAATACTTAACGTCAGTGGTTTAAATCTTACTGTGGATGAATTTTAAAAGCCGGTAACATCTAAGCTGTCAGTCGTTACGTTTCGTCCCGCCTACTGTTTCATAAACGTATCGTACACAAAATCTTTTTAGTATGAACAGCTTAGCGGCTCAGAGTAATAATTAGGTAAGATGAGTATCAGATCAGGAACAACGGTATAGTTTTCTTATTTTTTTTAATTTTTCTTTTTCTTTATTGTTGTAATTATTATCATACATGTACTTTTGTTACACGTAAGTACAGTGAAGTACGAAAATACACTGGCTTTTTTATTAACTATTTGAACTTATCTCTTTCGCATCTCACAGAGTGAAGTTCTTTATATGTGTCCTTCATAAGTTGTTCCGTTTTTACTGAAAATATTATTGTTATGATTATGTGGGCGTCACATTGTATGTATATATATATATATATATATACATATATGTATATATATATACATATATGTATATATATATACACATATATATATATACATACACATATATATATATACACATATATGTATATATATGCAAGCGGACGGCGCCGATTTGCGGATAAGTTTATGGATACGGTTCCTCACTTTTGATCGTCGAACAAATCGTCTTCATTTGTTTTGTAAAATACGTCTACACTAACCATGTAATTAACCATTTAGTGTATATCATCGTAAAACAAACTTTTTTATCGTTGTTACACGCCGACTGCTCGCTTGTCCCTCTATTCTTGGAAAAATTTTTTGCTCTGCAATAATATAATTTGTTTAATGTATTTCTTACGCTAACGGCGTCGAATGTTCTTCTTCTGCCTGAATAAAAACCGCTCATAATTGCGACACGTCAATCTGTCTCTCTGTCGCTGCCACCATCCTATGAAAACCATTGTTTTGATTGTTTACTTTAACAATAGTGCATTATAAAGATTTCCAGCACGGCCAATAACCGTCATCATTAACCACACAACAGCTACGCTCTAGGACGCATTTAGGGTCAACTGTTTACTGCTAATTACGGTGAGCCTATTTATTGATCTTTATTAGCACACGGGCTTACTTTACACGAAAAACAAATGCATCGATCCACCAACTATACGACCCCACAGATGAACTCTCCCATTCTGGGGGTGTTAGTATCAGTGTTCGGTTGGGGGAGAAACAGCGGTTAACTTCGCTGCGACTGCTACCTCTTTTTGTCCTTACAGGCATATTTCTCTAACATTTACACAGTATTTTACCTTCATTTATCATCATCTAAGGCACCTTTTAAAACATGCTACTTGTATCGCTTTCTCGCCGTAGTTCAACATTGAATTCGTTCTACGTGGCGCAACAATTCAAATATGCTGTATACCATATTGCATATAGAAAATCTATGTAAGAATTGAAAACAGTATTTGTTCTCATCGACTTTTCATGGACAGAAAAAGCGGTGTTGTTCGTCTAGCATTAAGCGTAGCTGACAAAAATCTGTTGAACACAATTTTTGTGTTACCTGAAGATATCTCCGTAGCGTTTTAGTATCAGCCTTCAATAGTAAATCATACTGCTTGAGATGTATCGTCTCAACCGATAAATACGTTACGTTGTATGCAGCTAGCTACCCAGAGAATCGTTAAATCATGTTAAATCGAGTTCGAAAAACGTGGAAGTGTGCGTCTGCAGACAAAATCGAATTATTATTATTATTATTGAATATATGCAAAAAAAAAAATGAAACGCTACATAATAACAGAGCTGCTTTAGGGTACAGTGCTGCCCCTGTCCGGGCATTCCGGAGCTGCGTTTGTTCGTATTATGTCTTAATCAAATCATAATAATTAACTAGGTTAGTTATATCTTTACATGTAACAATACAGGTTATACCATAGCTATTTATCCACTTCTGAAGATACACGGCCTCTAGCAATTGTGATCACGTCTTTTATAAGTGCTAAACCCTTTACATTAAACAATGATAATCATTAATAATCATATAGCGTTTCTCTTCATTGTCATCACACATTTTTACAGCGATCTGCCATAAATCTCGGAAGAGTTTGCGATTGCTCCTCTGTGTGTACCTTCAGTGATGCTAATCAAGTTTTTAACTTATTTCTGTCTTCTGCATTCTACTTACTTCACGCACCCATTCGCATAGTATTCCAGATTTGTGTTAAAACGTAAACTCCAGTGATCGTACTAGCGTGAAGTTACTGTGCATGAAAGCCTAGCCAAGCTGCCAATTTCGGATTTACGCTATATCGCATATGTACTCATAGACAAATCGTTCGTATCGATTTTCTCTTTCTATCCGTCTCGCTATCTCTTGGACATTTCGTTAGCTACTACGAGAAATAGGACGGGACCACTTGCTTGATGTCACACTGTTTAATACGTTCCTTTGTCGGTGTATTGAATGATCAACAGGTGGACAGACTGATCCTCTATTGCTGTTGAGGAAAATCTGAATGTTAACCGACTACATACGATCTGATCTTTTGTACTGCTTTTGTTCTTTGCTTAGGCACAATTTTTTTTTCTATTATTTTTGTGTGTGTACACTAAATACAAATTGGTGGCCTGTTGCTTGTTTCGCAGGGACTTCCTGCCTCTGAAAACGTTTTTCAAAATCTTTTTGCGTTCGACAGTCAGTATTATATACTAAATGTAACGACAATCTTTTCATGTGCAAGAAAGATTAAAAAAAACAGGTGGGACAGTATTCCTTTACAGTTATATTCAATGTTAGTGTGAACAAAACAGGCATATCATTCGTATCAGGCGCACTTTGAATATGTCGTGCCATCTATCCCCTTTTTCTGCACTAAAACCCTATTCACATTAATAATATCGTAAACGAGAAAATTGAGAATATCTAATATGTTCCTTTTTTTTTTTTTGTTTGTTAAATAAGGCAGCATTGCAATTCTTGTTTTTTGTCCAAAGCCCAACTGTATTCAATAAAGCTAATTTTCTAGAGAAACATCCTCTACCAGCTTCACAGTCAAACGGATGAAACCCAAAAGACTATTTCGGCCACTTGATCGCGCATAACGTAATCGCACCGTACAACGTAGCCTGATCCGGCCGGGCCTTGGCGACGTTCATCCTCTCTTCGAGATTCATTCGTGACGATATGTCTCAATAAGTTGCTTTTGGTCTTGTCCTGTAAACTTTATTAAATAACAAAAACGATCTCAAGGCTAAAACATACGAAAAATACGGGCCGCTTACGATAAACAATAATGATATATATATCATCGAAATTGTTTAATTCTTTAGTAAGTAGACTTTGCCGATGTTATCAACAGAGTTAGTGCCTAAGTTAGCCAAGTTAAGAAAGGAATGTATCCTGTTCCCCGCATACGTGCAGTTATTATAATACAAGTTGTTAATAATCGTGTGGGTGTTTGTTGATATTTTGTTATTTTTACACGATGGGTAAATCTCCAAAACATATTGGTACCTCATAATTTTCCTTTTCAGTCATTTTATCGCGGAAAACTTGGCACACTTAATCAAAATATGAAATAATCTATTGCTAATAGGCAGGTGTCTTTTATCCAATAAAAAAGACATCCTAACTGTTTCGCGTAACATGTACTCATTTATCGGTCAGCACTTCCTACACGAGTTACAGCGGTGGGGCATTTGTTAACGATGATTAGTCACGTGTATAAGTTTTCTGTACATACATTAATAAAACGTTGTGTATAGGCACTTCATTCGATCCTAGCTTACCTGGAGAAGCGAAACATCAAACTAACGGTTTCTCTTTAACGTCCGGTTATATCCTGCTAAGCAGTCCCCGTTTCTCGTTCCTCTGTTACTTGCCATAAAAACTGTTTAGCATTTTTGGGGGTTGGTACCCGAAAAGTCGGTAAAAATTTCACTGTACAGTCCCTATTCACAAATCACATGTAGTAAATGTACCCTCTATGTAGCAATGACCAAGTATATGTCTTTATGGCGGGAGCCTAATGTAGTTCTAATGAAACTGTAGAATCTAATAAACTGGAGATGAGAGCTACTTCCTACTTTAGGATGATGAATTCTACCAGTACTATACCCCCTAAACATCATTCGTGTTCCGCTTGTTTTGCCCCTGTCGTTTTTTCCCTTGCTCGCATTTAATGAGGCTCATACTTGACCATGTAGAACTCTAATCCCTGCGCTCTATTTCGCTGAGGCATAGATGCAACGAAAGCAGTCGATTTCACTTAGAAGGTCATCGTGATGATTGTTAGCCATTAGGTTGTCTCGAGCTTTCTTATAGGTTCACATGCGTAACGATAGGTTCTCACACGTTGTCTTCCATTGACATTAGCAGGGGGTTGACGTACTCGAAGCCGTCAAACTCCGTCTGGTCGATCTTACTTATAAGTTTCCTAGTTCATAGTCGCAAGTAAAAACAAGAAGGAAAAAGTAAAGTTAACAAAATAGCAGATTTCATACAGATGTGTTTTATAGAAAGCATGTACAAGTCGGCATTAATGCTTAAATCATTCTTCATCAGATTGGTATAAAATATAATGAACTATTAGCCGATTTTTCACAAAATGCAAATTGCATTTTTCTTAGCTAGTGGTTGATTGCTCTAAGGGGGCGCAATCAGACTTCAGAAAACTAAAAATTACCTCTTCGATAATAAGAAGTCGAAATGAAAATTCGTTAAAAAATGCTAGAAATTGTTTAGGTGTCAAGGTAAATTTCAAGAGACGAGAATAGTGTTATCTATGCAAAATATATGGAACTATCGTTTAACTATAACGATTTGATGGATACGCACGGGTCGTCAGGTGTGAGGCATACAGGCTCTGAGGTGAACTGCGGGTCAAAGTGTTCGAAATCTCGTTCTGTGTCCAATTTTGGCCGGTATGGTGGAGAAATCTGCTTGCTCTCCAATTGTTCCCAATTGATTGCTTTGAAAAACGGATGTGTACATATATCGGGGAAACCTGACGTCGGGTGACAGCCCAATCTGAATGGAAGCGAGGGTAACCGGCCAGTTATCAATTAAAGACAAGGAGGTTACTCCGCCACGATGCTTACATTGAACGTATCGAATTAATAATGCTATATCATCCTGTACGCCTAGTGAAAGCCATCATTACCGCCTGTATTGATCACTGTGTTTGATCAAGCTTCCCAGTTCATGCACATGCTATACATTGTGAAGGTTAGCTCTGGTAGTTCGCATAGCAGCACAAAATGTGACCAACCGCCCCTGATAGCAAAAGACTCACCGTTCCACAGGGTTCTTGTTCAGGAAGCCCTTAAGGACATTTTGAGCTCGTACGGAAATTGACCTTGGTATGCGTATCGTTTTTTCGAGGATGGCCTGGAAAAGGTAGTCCTCGCAGTTCTCGTCTGGATTGTCCGATTGACCTGAATTTTTCACATAACAATCAGACAACAAGAACTTCTTCGATAACTCGTGTAAAGCTTTCAAAAAAGACAGAGAAAATAAAGACTTCACTATTTCTAAACTATCACATTGTTTTTCGTCAGGATTTTCTTGCTACCTTTTTGGAATATCTAGACCGTAAAGCATCCAGCCACATAATCCCTAAATAGAATATACCTGCATAAAATTTTGCCACAGTCGAAATAAGTAATAGCGTATAGTTAATTAGAAGCGACATAGCTTCTAATGCAATTCGAGTGATAGCCAACGACGACGGAGGAATGTCTCAGTTCCCTTACCAATGATGTCAAATGGGGAATGACCAGCCAGCATTTCATAGAGTAGTACTCCCAGTGCCCACCAATCAACGCTAAAGCGGTAGTCTTCTCCGCGCAAGATTTCTGGAGCAATGTAGTTAGGTGTTCCGCAAAATGTCGACGCGAAGTCATTTTCTCTTCGAATGCCTTCTTTGCACATTCCATAATCAGTCAGCTTAATGTGACCCTCGTGATCGAGTAGTACGTTGTCCAATTTAAGATCTCTGCAGAAATATAAAACAACCAACCACTTTTAACAGCTGTTATTTAGCTAGTGAAGAACGTTTTCAGCAGTCCCGGCATACGGCAAATTTTACTTTTCACTCCTATAGAATCAAGCATTTAGAATTCACTCAAGCAGTTAATTAAGGAGAGGCGTTCGGGCGTTTCAACTATTAAAGGGTGATGAGCAAAGTGATACGTGACAGTAATGTAAAGTGCGTTAGTACGTTCGTGCGTAAGGTACGAAGTAAAGTTACTTCTATACCTGTAGATGATTCCACGTTCGTGCAAAAAATGAAGTGCCAGTGAGATTTCTGCGGCGTAGAAGCGTGCATGGTCTTCGGTGAGCTTCCGCATCCGCTGCATATGGAACATAAGGTCGCCTCCACGCACGAACTCGATGACGAAGAATAATCTTGACTCGCTCTGGAAGCATGAATGCAAGCCTACGAGAAATGGAAAGTTCGACGCCGTCTCAAAGACATGCTTCTCCGTTTGAATCCAGTCGATGTCTTCGTCATCGTTAACAAGCGATTTCTTTATGATTTTCATCGCGTAGATCCGTTTTGTTGACTTGAGTTCAACCATAAGCACCTTCGCGTACGATCCCCGGCCGATAACGCGGATTAGCTCAAAATCGTCTAGGCTGTATTGGCCAGGAGTTGTTCCCTGGCTAGCATGCCCAACGCCTGTCGGACTCGCAATCGGGTCTAAAACGTCAATATTTTGCCCATCGCCCTGAAGTCAAACAACAGTAAAATTAGTAAGGGAATTTCTGGTTCAACATGTGGTACGCGAAAGCGATTTAAAACATCCTATGAAGCTAGTCTTCGGTTTAAGAACACAGTGTTCACAGGCGCTATATCGCAGATACCCAGGCAGGCTAAACACTTGAAACTGCCAATTGCAATTATAGTGCCTGATAAACATACATGTAATTAGACTTTATAACAAGATACTGAACTTTTCTAACTAGCGATACTAAAGGCCGAAGTTAATATTAGTATCAGCTGATCATAATGCTAAACAGTCTAATCTTCTTATTCTAGTCTAATCTTTCTATACTATGGGTCAAGTAGTAATGTTTTTGTCTAGTTGTTAAAACATCTTTCCCGCCAAGAATTTTCGAATTAGGATTCAACGGACGTTCACGTTCTCTTCTGTCAAAGCGGGAAGTGTAGAGAGATCACAACAGTAATCAATATCGTGTCATATGAAAAGTTTTCGACGGAAGATGATACTTGCGCCTCCAAAGCAACGAATCGTGTATGCGAGTGCATTTACCTCTTGCAAGATTCTTCGCGGCCCTCGGGGTCCAGTTCCTGTTCGGGCAAGGTGAAGATTGAGTCGACTGTCTCCTCCTTCATCACTCTGTATAACACTATTTCCATTAAGTGCTGGATTGTCATACCCGCCGGTTTCGCCCTTGCGATCACATTGTAACTTTATTGCCTTATGACACTTCTTGTGTACCATAAGTTTGCAGTTGATACACTTGAACCCCTGTAAAAAAAAAACAGCAACAGCAGGTGTTTAGGGATCAGCGGGTGCGAAAAAAAGCGTCAAATCCACAGGCACGTATATTGCAGACGCATGACAAAGTACTTCTCGTTTGATATTGCAAATAATTATATCTTTGGCTGAAATTATGAACAAACTTAAATATTAATTAGCTTAGTTAAAATGACAAAAAAAAAAAAGAACAAAGCTATCCTCAACAGCACTGTCGCCGTACTGTGGATCTTCTTCAGTTGCTGTATTTTTTCATAGCAATTTTGATAACATTTTCGAGACTTTGAAGCAAAGACAAAAAAAGTTTTGCGTTTTACCGGTCGCAGCACTTAAGTCAGTCAAGGTCGGCTAGTTTCTTTTATTTCTTCTTTCGTAGTTCCGTTCACTGTGCGAATATAAAATTTTCTCTGAGGATCGTCTGCACAGATTTGTGCATTTAAATTCTTAACTCATAAGAGAACTTGAGCACCTGAAGTCCAGGCACCAGTTTGCTCACAGACGGACACGGTGGTTTACGATAGAGTCAACGTAGGCTAAGGATGCTAATTCTGGTAAATGATTCTGAAGTCTGCACAACAATAATAACGGTTCTAAAGCATGGCGGTGCCCCGCACATTTTGAAACAGGCAAAAAGTTTCGGCCTGGAGTTTGCAACACCTACAGAATAGTTAGGAAAAATAGTCCATCCCTAACAGACGCAGATGGATTCAATGCTTTATATGTTATGATTTTTGCTGATTTTTTAGATTAGTTATTGTGTTATATAATATACATTGGAAAGCTATACATTTAGACAATGAATCTATTTTTACACACGTACTTGCTTCTCTTACTCCAGACTACAAACCTGTAGAAGTACATTAAATAGAAGCCTGGCTAGCCAACTTCGGCTTTCGAATAAGCTGAGGAGCGGCATTCGAGCTTCACTCGTCGATGGAGCCTTATTTGAGCTGTTCGCTTTTGTAGCCATTGTTGCATGTATTATCTAAACGTATTAAATGTGTGCACCGCGGAAGACTCGCATATTCACCGGCTGACTATCGCCTGTCGAGTAAAACATTCGTTCAACGGAGCATCAACGAAGCAATTTATCACGCAGCGGTATTACTGTATCACAACGTTTCGAATTAGCAGTGACGCACCCCCTGTTTCAACGTGTCGTATTCTGGGAGTAAGCTTGTGGGTCGTTTGCCACAAAATGGAAATCCTCGACTCGAGAGGGAATTAGAGCAGCATGTTTACCAGCCGACCTAAGTCTATTTCCAATTTCTCAAAAAAATGACACCGCCACATGAGACGCTTTGATAAGTTCTATTTCAAGAAAATCAATGAAAACCAATCATAGATATCCGAGCCAGCTTGCCTTTAGGATGACGTCAAGTTCTGTCACAACGGCTCAACGACAGTAATATTTATCACAATATGATATTTGACGAGATGCTCTCAGGAAGACCTTCTCTGTTATCCCATGCGTCCGTGTGTTAGACTGCTAACACAGTTATCCGGGACGCATAACGCGATGTGCGCTATACACATACATCAAAAGTGAACATCCGTCGTAGACACTCACTATGCAGCATTGAAACCGCTTGATTCAATCGAAGTAGATCTTTTTCCGGAAGCCGCTGAGTCGCGTTCCCTTCACTGTAACAGTGCCGAAGGTGCACAACAGAAATAAAACGAGAATATTTTTCCAACACCCCCAAAAATTGCTAACTCCTTCAGGCAATTCCTTGATTCCCTCAAATAGTAGCTTTAAAAAAGATAAGGAAATCAGTCACGCTCTGTTCAACCCTTCGGGGAAATACAGATACGCTCACTTACTCATAGTACAATGCCAAAAAACAATAAAAACACGATCAATTTCTATTCCTAAGGATACAAAGATGAATTACTGCAACGATGGCGCTTTAGTAATAGCAATATAGTATAGCTAAGATGCGGTAAAGACCTTTTTTTCACATAAATTTCGCTTTTTTTACAGTTGACCTATCGAAAAATAGTAAATGTAACTATCATGTTATTCTTCCAGCAAGCACTGGGTGGCCAGGTGGTTACAGAATCGAGCTGCTCGTTGTAATCAAAATCGGGTGCATCAACGGTAAGGTGCAGAAAGCGACGCGTATAGAAACAAACGGATGTAACGATTTCGTAGTATCTTAGTCGATGCCCCATGCTTCTGGAGATCGATTTGATCTCCGACAGCTCACTAACACGGTAGATGTGACTAGCCCGGTTCAATCCGGTTCATTAACAGGGGGACCAATCTCATCACGATTGATTGGTCTCGAGTGGCGAGAATGCAGACGATGCCGTGGCATAACTCGACTTAGAAGAACCGCTTAACAACGATATATACACAAGCAGTGTAAAATTTCAGGGATCATAATATTCAAGTAACATACATTAGTAGGCCCACGACTATTCAGTAACTCTGACATACAAATCTGTGCAAACGTGCAGTTATGATAATGTGCATTTTACTTTGCATTTATGGAGACGGAACGAATCGTTAATAGCAAAGGTAAAAAGGTGTCTCGAGTGAGCTTATCTTCGAAACTTCGAGATTTAGGGGAGCCAACTGAAAGCTAAGCTGTTGATGCACAATTATTTATGAAGCTCACTAGAAAATCCAGATTAAATGAGCAGTTGTCATCTATTGTAGTCCCACATAGGATTCACATCGACATGTGAACTGCAGAGACTTCCTTGATATCACAACGTTACCTTTTTTGAAATCTGAATTGTTGATTGGAATTCGGCGATGGACCGCAGTTTCACCGATCGCGGTTTGAGAGGACAGGTATGAAGAGTGACGATAAAGCATATTTATGATAAGAAGAACGTGACACAAAGACATGGGGCTGCGTAGATACAAGGCCAATTGCGAGTACTTCATATCTTAGTGGTAGTGTATTAAGACACTTTACAATCGGCAATTACGAGGTACTCCAGAACGAGAATCGATTACTCCAACGCAAGACAACACCGAGCCGGAATTTTTTCACACATGTGGGAAGCAGCCACGATCCGCGTTATTAGCAAAGTCTTTCTTCTAAGCTGAAGCTATGTGCCTCAAAAGCGTTCATTCAGTCAAGAGCAGGACAACAAAATTTAGTGTATCATGTGTAGTTTATCTTTAAACTCAATATCCTGTATCTGTGCTTCTGATCACAATGAATAAAAGATGCTCAAAGATTGCTAACCTAAGTTCAATCTCGATGCAATCTTGTTCGTAAAATGAGTAAACTGCAAACTGACGGCTGGTATCTCTGAGAGACGATCGCTCACCTGTCGCCCTAGTCCCCATATGCGATCCATACAATACGTGCAGAAAGCTTTCCGATTGAAACGCTTCGCCTGGAACATGTGGCCGTTGACGCGATAAATTTTCCGCCAACGTCGAGCACCTCGACGATATATGGACTTGTCTTCGCCCGGGCACGGTAGTCCGGGATACGACGGAATTGATGGGAACACTGTAAAATTCCATAAGACAGTATTCAATATAACAATATGCAATATTTTCACATTATTAATAGGGTCAACAACACTCCACAACAGCTCACACCCCTGACACTCTTTTATGATCTTTGTATATATGTGTGCGCTTTGTTCCCTAGCTATCAAAAGCTGGGCTATAGTTTTAAATTTTTTCATTAACGACGAGGTGTTCGAGCTATAACGTAAAATCTAAAACCAGTTATTGCTACAAAATACACATGCCAGCCACTTAATTACTACCAAATTAACAAATGTTTAAAATCAAGCTACTGTGAGAGCTTGACAGCTGGTTTGTCACGCTTAGAAGTTCACTCGTTGTTCCTAATCAGCATGCCAGTGCACATAAAAGAGCTATCGTTTTTTTTTTTTTTCTTATAGGCTTAACTGTGGCTCAACATAACTACAACAAGAAAGTAGTCGTCTTCAAATCTGTTGTTTCTGAAGAGCTATAACATATAAGAAAATTAACGACGTTCAACAATAAGGATCGGTCCCTGCTACTGTTCTTTTTTTCCTATAAGACTACGATGTTCACGTCGTCTTACGCTGTTTATAAATACATTTCGTTTCTATTTATCAGAACCACCGAGTGACATTGAGAAAGACGAAGTTGTGAGAAAAAAATTCAAATACCCCTCCATAGCTACTTAATAGCATAGCTAAAATGGTTTAACTTCTTTTTACCTTTGTAATAAAGCCTATGCGTGCGTTGATGTTTTCTCGCTTTAGAAATGACTTCAAATGTCGCATTGCGTGGTTTTTTCGAACAGCTACAGGAACGAAATAGTACTAGTAACATGTTTGACAACACGATGCAGTTAATTGATGGTCGCAAAGGTTTTCTCTCAAGCACTTCTCTAACCAATATACTCGTCACTATAGCCAATAGGTGATAATACACAAACGTATAACGACGAAGAAAGTGACGAAGGAAAAAAATGCTGTCACCAACACCGAAATGATGAACTAAGAAGCCTGCCATTTGCAACCTGCCTTAAATTTGGCACCGGTAAGCGACGACGAAAGACTTATTAGAATATATATAAGAGAGGGGAGTAGAAAGGCTAAAACTGCGTGGCCACTCCGTCGGCTCGTTGGACGAACTCCAGATACATCTGGCGAGACCCTCCTCATATATTGTTTGAAGCAATGCCGCTAGGTCAATTCGAACACCTTTCCGATAATGAAACAGCTGAGAACTAGAGAGATATATGATATAAAACCTCGCAGCGACGCGCCACCGACATATAAAAAGTGTGCCTCAAGATGTCTTGATTATAGATTTGTTTAACAGGATAACATAGGACTTATTGGTGCCTAACGGATGTCTGCTATCATTAACAATGTATGAGTGTTGTGTGTGCATGGGTAAAGGTGGCTAAAAAACAATATACAGATTGTTATTTAGATATTCTTAGCACCGATTGTGTAACCCTAACAACAACCGACTGCTTGAGGCGCAGTGGGGCAGAACTTGGATACGGCAGGTATGATGTTCAGTTTAATCAAAAGGCCTGTCGTGCTACGACTGAGTCATGAAATTACAGAGTACAATCACTAGAACTACTTCTACAAATATAGTTAAAAAAAAAAAGAAGAAAGGTCTTTTTGTTCCTACAACTTGTATCCTTGGTCCATCTTTATCCATTAGATTCACAAAGGAGCCAGATTCAAGTATAAATTAAAAGAACGTTCCAACTATAAATCTATCTCATACTACACAACGCCAGTTGTGTGTTAGATCGAACACTGATAAAGCTGAAATTAATTTATTATACCAAGGGATTCATTCATTCATTCATTTGACGGTCATGTCATTTGCATATGGAGTACTAATGTAAAATATCGCGAATGTTTTTGCGGAAAGCCCGAAGCTGAGCAAGCTACGACATTTTGATAAGGCTAGAGGAGCTAAAAAAATCACCAAGAAAACTCTATAGTGGCCCTGAATTCTTTTTCGACCGATTATGGGCACTATTTCCGTTCCAGTAAATGTAACCTGATTTCGTTTATTAGCATTGTGATGAGGAAATTTAAAAACAGGGACAAACACAAAACCGGAAAGCAACAGATGATTGCGGGCAGACGATGAGATATGGCAACGTTAGTCTTTGAACCTGATAATGCCCAACAGCTTCAATCAACTTCTTCACGTGGTTGTCGAAAGAAGAAAGCTTGTGACTATTTCTCGCTATTCCTGTATGAACATTGATTTTTTTTTATAAATTGAATAAATGAAAATACTACTACAACCTACATACACGAGTGCTTTTTGAAAATTTGAAGAAGATCCGGTGTGCCCCGCTCATCGACATGCATACCTCATTTATACTCCGCAACTGCTGAGTTAAGAGCCACCATGGACCACGTTAATCATCTCAGCCAACCAACAAAAAACTGCACATGTTTGATCGACAACTAGTCGTCTACTTCGTAGATTTCTACGAAAAACTATTGTCTAATTCCTAGAATATGGATCTTCGATTTTCAGTAACTACCTGATCTGAGATAGTGTTGGAATTGGACTTCTCATTAAATTCACTCAATCAAACACTAAATGAGAAACACACCTAAGAGCATAAGTTGTTTCTTGCAATTCCATTTTGATGGCGTATAAGAGAAAAATTAAAGCGCTCTTTCAATCGAAAGCCGCATAGTGGTTGACGCGGCCTGAGGCGTCGTGTCACTCGTAGTTCACTTGTTGTTAAGGTACAGTCCTTCGAGGTGTGGCAGTGAACTATTCTCTAAACAGCATGGTTAGTGAATAACCCAAGTCAACCCAACTGACCATTCGTATATGACGGAAAAATGGGAAAACCCTGATCCGGTTACTAGCGGTGCTCCCAACGACTAAATATAATTTCTTAATTTTCTCAACGCTATTCTAAATGCAGCTATGGTGCTAAACGACTCGGCTACCAGCTGATATAGTTAATTTTTATAGCGATAGATAATATCGAAAGTAGGACGAGACCCACAAGAAGTTTGGCGCAGAACATAAAATTTCAGGAAGCCGAGCTAACACTACAACTTATAACGGAACTGGATATTAGATTTAAAGTACCATTATAGTGATTATCTTGTTTAAGCTGCAATGGATATTTATACATTATAGGCATTGGCTGCCGAACACCGATGCACAACAGAAATAGCCTTTCTGTTATAACTATCCGTTATTCGTTTCGCAGCTCCAATATTAAAGCGCTGTGTACAATAGGTGTTTTAAAATGGCTGTCGTTGACTCGTTGAAGAACTGCAATAACGATCAATTACGATGGAAGAGTTGGTAGCAACAGAATATTTCGCTCTTGTCTCCTGAAAAATAATCTACTGATATTCCCTTTCACCTTTCACCCTTTCCTATCTCTCTTTCGGTCACGATGTTTACGTAGACGCTTTTGAGATCTGAAATGTTCCTACGCTCCAATGCGATTCTTACGTACAGTTTACAACTGTTGTAGAGCGCCACCTTCGAGTTTAGCAACGCCTACTAAAATCGGTGGGCATCTGGTTTGACGCAGGCTGCCACAACAAAAAACTGTGTATAGAACTGTGTAGGAGGCGATGTTTCAGATGCCATGTATTAAATTTTTGCAACAAACTTTCTAACGGTAACAAGCCAATCACTACAAAACACAGAAATACAAGGTGTTGCACGCCCACACAGGATAGTGCACATACAACACCCATAGATTTAGCTTGTTATCCTTGGCATCTTCCCAATGACGTATCAGCCACATTGTCCACGGCCTGTTACGTACATCAGTTGCCATCACATTCCAATTTGATCATATTTTTTTGCAGTTGCAGTTCAATTTAGAACAGCTCTCCAATTCCACTCACGATTACGTTATTTAGCTTTTGCTCACTTTGCCAGTGCTCGGAGACCTGTTTTATTAAAAGGCCTTCAAGCACTGACGAAAATGATCGATTCGTACTAAGAGCCACCGCAGGAAAAACGTTCAGACGCGAGATACTAGAATAACCGTTACAAAACCTACCATGAATATTGATTTCGGAATCTTTGTTGATTTCATAAAGCCGAATCGCCTCGTCCAGCTCTTCTTGGCTCTCTATCGTACACGGGTCACCTAAAGAACAACATGTACCATTCAATGAGTTCTAACAAAGCGTGTAGCAGTACCTGTCATAATTAGAAGTTAAATCTTTAGACGTTAAAGAGAAGCTGAAGCCTGAAACAAAAACAGTCACGGCAGAATATCTCCCTCAGCCACATGCACCCGTTGCTTCCAGTTCTTGTAGATTTGCGCTGACTGTATTCAATGGCTACGCACTTTATTTAGTGATAACACATAAGATTTATTGACTAGAGCACAATTTATTTGCTTGTTAGCTCTGCACCATTATAGGTACATATAACACATGTATAGACAAAGAGCTATGGAAATGATAAAACGGTGCTTGGCAATATTTACCTTCTTCGTCGACCCATTTTACAGTGAAACGTTGCTGTTCAGAGAATCCGCATACTTCGCGCATCTCAGCCAGGAACCGTTCTAGTCGGATGCCTGGCTCGATGTACAGAACCAAGATCTCGCTGAATAAGGGTAACCGAACAGACAACAGAAATTATTAGAGCTGATTTCTTCATTTATAATGTGTGAGAAGCGAACTATGGTTTGCTATCGAGGCGCTTTTCAGACAGCGCTTGTCCGGGCGGGACGATTCTACCAAATTTTAAAAGCAACACAGACACTTTTCCTATAACTGCATTGGTAACAACGAATATATCGCCAACGGGCGTGGCACTCTGTCAACAGTCGACTGGAAAATAACTAGCAAGATTACTGGAATATGAATTTCGACGAATTTGCTACTAGCGCTTCTGTACAGAGCCGGCTAAATAACTGAACACGAAGTGGTTGCTTTGGTAATTCGTATACGGGGAGGTTTATTCGCATGTGTTCGTTTCCAATTAAACTGAATTCTATGAGCGTTTGGCTAACCATGGGAAACTGTCAATGCTTCATGTTCGAGTGGTCTATACGTAATATACACCATTTTATATACGCACGTTTTTTTTTAGATATCGATTAAAGTTTCCCGCTACCGAAGCCTTTTTTTCGATTGTAGATTTATTAATAAATCAATACAGTGCCGGTGTTTTTATAGTACCGGCAATTAATATTGTTAAGTATTATATTAAATACATACAATGCTATTAAACCATTCTCAGTAACAGTGAGCGATCGCTGCACCCTGTTAAATTGGATAAAAAGTTCTTGTGGCCCTTTCTAGGAAAAGACAACTATCTTTCCCGCTTACGATCACTTGTTGTTTATTTCTCATGTACGTACCCTTTTTGCTCTGTTAGGATCCTCTAATGGTGTTGTTTTGATAGCGTAACTTCGTTAATTCAAAAACACTCAAAGATGTTTTTGACACCTTGTATTTTGCCGAGGCTAAAACGTTGCTGAGACATTTGTTTTGTGTACGGTAACGATTTTATTACTGGCAGGATTGCTCGAGAGTAGTTTATTCGAGTGTAGGTTGGAAACGGCTTCCGGAATGCTTACGGTGCCTTTCGCTCAGACCGTCTGTCTAAATCGGATGACGATTGTCTGAAGGCGCATTTGAAAAAACAGCGGGCGAGCCTCAAATCTCTTGGATTTACCCAGATTAGATCACTCTCGATATCGTACCTTAACGCTGCATCGCAACATATTGCCTGGTATCAAACGTCATGCGGTCACAGTGACAGATTTTTTCTCGAAAGAATCGTCATCCGTAACGAGAAGTAGAGTCGGTACGTCCACATAAACCAGCTATCGGAATGGATGAGTCCAAAATGGATGAAGACTAGCTAGGTCTTCATCTAAAAGAGGTTATGTTTTGCGCTTGGTGGGGCTGCTAGGGATACTTTACTGATATTTCAGGCACGTATATTTAGTCCAGTTACATCGAGTTAACTAGGCTATTCAAAGAAGGAAAAGACTCGACGAAGGAGGCCAGGTAATCTTGTTCTAATACTTACCTAATATTTGAGTCAACAGAAAAAAATGAGTTTCACCGCGCATTCAAGATGGCCGTGGTTGAGGATGGCGAGTTTAATTTAAAAGAAAAAACAGGACATCCGAAAACACTAGAAGATCTAAAAGTCGCAGTTGGGCCTGTTAAGCCGCGTATACACTTTTTGGAATATCCTGTGCTTATTTAAGGATGCACTTGTCGCAGTTAGATTAGGTCATTTGCTTTCAAAGCTGGAGAACAAATTATTGGAGTAATTTAGGTCGTCGATTAAGTTATTTCTCAAAAAGTTATCGCCCTGAAAAGATATTCCTTTAAACATTTACTCAAGCATTTATTAGTGTAGCACTTGTGCATGACCTGTTATAATAAGAGATGATGCGGTAACTTCTGTCTATTTGAAATTTGTACAACTAGTTTATATGCAGCCCCACACAAGCAAAAAAGATGTTATCAGATATTTTCTGTTATTTACCTGCGCGGCAATAAATCGGGAACTTGCGCATAGAATTAGGACGTTGTTAAAGGTCACCAATCAAATTGCAAATCTATTGTCGGGAAGCTCGTTAAGTAAAGGATTCGATAATACGGCTTTCCATAGCGGCTGAAAATGTAATTGGAAACAGTTACACAATTTGTAGAATTCTCTTTTTTCAAACGTGTAATACTCGTCTCAATCACATGGCATGAGATCAGTGAAACTGTAGAAATCATATTGTGTGTCTATTAGTTTACCTGTAAGGTCATTTGATATTTAATGACTTCGATAGAAGTCAATCTGAAGCCATTTTTATGACAACTTTGAGGAACAAAGAAAAACATTATTTTCAAGACTCATTTACACTTGTAGAACTAAAGTTTTTTTTTTTTTACAATTGTTCATTATGAGTTAGTGTGGGTAAGAGATTGCTGATAGGTAAAAATAACGACACCTTTTGAAGTGCACATATAAGCGGCTTTTCCTTCGTCTCCTCTTAAGCTCCAAGTGTGTACAAAATACATCCTGTTTCCCCGCTCCGAAACGCTGGTTTTGCATAATGCGGATCCCGACGCCACTTGATTGCTGCAGTATTCGCCGATAACTAATCCTCTCATAGGCAGTTGCTGGTTTCACCGCTGCTTCGTCGCAAAGGTCCCTCGCAGCCAGTTCACTGACATGTCGCAATCGAGCTTCACTAACTTCACCATTATTACGTCTATCTATGTAGGTTCCAACACGGCCATCAACACAAACGAATTCTGAACTATCACAACTCTTTACACAACGAATATTTCGAGCTAGGTCGTCGCTGCTACTTGCGTTACCCAGCAAGTGTGCGCAACTGTTCCTCTCAGCTGGAGCGCCACTATCGTATGTATCCTCTCCGCGCCCCTCATCGCAAGACGAGGAAGAGTACGACCATTCAATTGAGTCATCCGCAAATCCGCATCGGGCTCCACACGCCGTTCGCCAAGCTATAACTCGTGCTACAATGTCCATCTTATCTGCTGTATGAACTGATTACTCTCATACTACGAACAGGACGACACCAGAAGTGATATAATTCACGAGCTAGTCGAATAGAAATAGACGCCGCAGTAGCAATAGTTGTAGCTGGCCGCTTGCTGAACATGTGTATTGTTTAAACTGCTAAGCAACTATGTCTACGACGAAGGAGGCAGATATCGAAATCAGAAATCGATACCACATCATTCAATCAGCGGGCGTGACTATGCTATGTAGGCTAGTAAAATTGAACAAGAGATGTTGTTAAGGCCAACTAAGTGATTTTGTTAGCCTCTTCATTATGTATTTTTAAAGGTAAATTCCCTTCTATGAGCTACAACGCACGGGGAAATTAGATGTGTTATGCTTAAAATCACAGAGCACCGGACAGCCAACACTTGCTTGTTATGTTATTAAACACTTCGGGCCGAAACGTCTTGTTTCTCAAATACTAGTTCAGACTCGGAAACTTATTTTACACGAAAACTCCTGACATTAACTGGGTAGACCACAGATAGTTGCACAACATACGTAACTGGACGGCACTTGTATTTAATGCGGTTCTTTCAAATGTTATGTTATGGCATTATGAAAGTTATGGGTAAACCTCGAATCACAGAATGAGATTACACTTATTTTTCTCCAATGATACACGCAACTATACTTTAACCACACCTTGTCAAAACACAGTTATGACTCACATAGCAGCTACTATATTTCGTATAGTACATCTAGTGACAGGCACCTTGAAAGATGTCACCGTAACGCGAAATCCTAGTGATGTCCTACTTTGCACCACGTTTGGTTAGGCTGAATTCAGGTAGGCAGCGCTTATGTTCCCTAGAACAACTGCGCTAGTGTTCATCTACCGTATCACTGGCACAATGCGCCCTACTTCCCTGTATTTTTCCTGTTCCTATTTGTTCCAAAGAAGAGCCTTTAGTACAACGCGGGTACGGCTCTATAATGAACGAAAGCTTTTTCCCATATGACCAACGTTTTCACACTGCTTTGCACAGTCTGCACAGCTGTGATTCGTGCTGGAAACCACCACTCGTAGCAGCAACTGACGGAGAGATCGGCTGATTGCCTAACTGGTCGACTAAAAGTAAGTGAATTTGCAGCTAGCGTTGCGTAGTCCTTCGGGCATTGTCGTTGTAATCGCCGCTGAGAAGTCTCTCTAACAGTTACAGCCGCACAAGCAACAAGGAGCGACAATAATATACGCCGTTGTCGTTAGCTCTAATTCCTCGTGACCGGTAGATTCAACTGGCCCTGCCCACTTACACGCGCGACATAAAAGATCAATGAACGCGACTGTCGCTTTCCGGTGTCGTCGCCTGCCGTCGAGGTCGAGCACAATAATGATTTATGATGATGATTCAATGATTCATTCCTATAATACTACGACAACGACGACGATGGTCACTGTAACACAGATTGACTTGAGCGGCTGAAACCAACGGGCTAACTTAATGACGGCTTAATGACAACGATGACGACGAAGATCCGCACAGCGTTTTTTTTCGGCTATATACAGTCACGACACCATCGACAACTGCGTTTAAGGTACGCATTCAACTATATACAGGATTGTCAATAACAACTTGAGTAACACTTAGCAGACTACTGACAGTAACTTTCGCAGGCCACGCTTAGAAATTACACCAATCGATACCGGTAAGCTAAGTGTACCGGTAGGTAAGAAGAACTGCGATGATGCCTAAAGCGGCACAAATGGAAATATTAATCTGATTCGTATTCCCTTTATGTAGATTTATTCGCAGTAATCAAGCCTTTGATTTCTTTTGACATATAGGCGCGCTTTTGCTTACCATCTAGTCTTTAACATTTTAAATCGCTCAATTAAAAGGCAAAAACAGGTAAATTGATAATATTGCTTCTATGATTAATGTTGAAGATATTGTCGTTAATACTTTCTCTTCCTTCTTTTTCTTTGTGTTTTAAGCCAAAGACAACGTTTATGGTGAGTCAGTAGTTTCTAGGACAATTGCTTTAATAAGCAGTCCTAGATTTACCGCCTTGTCTAAAAATTGGATTGTCCAGAGCTATTTAGTGAAGAACATAAAATTTAGGAAATGCTTGCGTCAAGTCACTAGTTATACATAGTTATAAGCTGCTTGAGCGTCATCAGTGTGGGGGTCAAGATATTGTTTAGAGCTGAAAATTCACGCTCAGTGATGTTGTGCAAAGGAAAACGCGCTACTTAAGTTGATCGGAGATCGGTGAAAACATTAGGCAAGGAGGTCTTCTTGCAGTCATTTTAAAGGCCGACATTAGGATATTGAGAACCATGTGGGAGATCTAAAGACGAACAGCAATATACTATAGAGAGCTTATTTGAAACAAACAAAGCGTGAAGTTTTCGGTTAACTTGATAAGACACTCCTTGAAAGAGGTGTTTTGAAATCATAACGAAAGCACTAACGTGAAGAAAGATAAAGATGGATTCCGCATGAACTGAGTGTAGGAGAGATGAAAGCACGTGTAATGTACCCTAGAAAGATCTCACGCAACTATTAGCAAAAGAATCTGCTGCAAAAGAATCTGCTTGGAAGCCGACGTCGCCATAGACGAAACATGGATAGACCCATGTCGCCCGGTAAAGAACCACTAGGCGAGATAATGGCTTCGAACAGAACAAACCGACTTCCGTATTAAATTAATACTTCACCTTGATTGATAATTCACCATCATCAAATTGATACCTCATACTCGCAATAGATGCCGGGCATCTGTGGTTACCAGATACTGCCCGAAAGAGACCGATTAAGACTGCCGGATATCTCGAACTCTCAAAGAGCACCATCGCTGTGTCGCGCAGCAATTGACACCATAAAACGTAGTCAGTCGGTAACAACGTGACCTCATCGCCATGCTTCAATCACGGTTTGGATCGAGGCAAACAGAATGAAGCCATTGCTTTAGCCTTTATATTCTCCAGATTTAAGTCCATGTGATTTCGATTACTTTCATGTCCAAAAGAGGCCACTCATTCTCTCAGACAAACCACCGACATCGGGATTAGACGCGGTAACGCAAATCAAATATGCACAGCTGTTGAGAACTTCTTGGCTTGCGTATTCAATAAAGGGAAACACATTTGACACACACCGAAACGCCGTCGTTCTGTTTAAAAGTTATTTACGTTTTTCAAAACGCTAAACAGCTGCAGACCGCCTCATATACACATACCGCTAATGGTATCCATTTGGCTGTACGCCGGTCGATGGGGTCGATTTTTGATCCACGCGTGTCTATTTGACGTCGGTCAAAATCCGATTCGAACTACAAACTCTCACTGAAACCGTCTGCCGACTGCCTGCTCGAGTCGGGGAAAAAAAGATCATTCCACTTCTGCTGTCACGGATTAATGTACAAAGGACAACACATTTAACGCTGATTTAGCAAAAGACGCCTTCGAGCAAATATAAGCTAATCTTATGATCATGAGCGTTGCGGATAGAAAGAAAGATCGCAAAAAAATTATGCCATCTTCGTCCAATCTTAAAGCTGGTAGAGAATACGTTTGCCGAGGCGCAGATAAGATTCAAATAAGGTTTTATATAGTCGTGAAAATGCTTCCAAAACTTCAACGAAATAGAATTTACGAATATATTCCCTAGCATCAATATTCCTATTTTTTGATCACTGTTTCCTCAAAAACTCAAACGAAGAATAGTGTAGTTTGTACATAGTCTTCAAACACTTTACATCACGTACGCACAATGTATATGTGTATGTGAGATAACAGTGGTCTTTACCATTTGGAAAAACCTGCGTTTCCCAACGAACGTGGGCCTCTACTTCACGTAAATGGAATGAAGCTAACGAATAAGAAAATCTTCTGCTATCGATGCAGCACTAACTTAAGCGATTCTTATCTCTATCGCATCATACGTGATGAAAAGTGGTTGGTAGCATTTGAAGATTTATTAGTAATCACAAAAACATGCGTAATAATTTACAAACGCTACAAATCTCAATCAAAGATTTTCGTCATTTGTTTTCGTTGTTTCCCGAAATGATTAATTGTCTTTAATAACAACATGGCAAAATGTGAAGCATATCAGGCAGATGTTTCTTTATTGAAGCTGTTTTAAATCCAAGTGCATATTCTTATAATCCCTATTTAAAAACAATTATGGTAGGTTGTTTACTTTGACTTTAAATTTCGATATATATAAATATACAGGACAGCAAACCAATATAGAGTCAGTTAAGCAAAAACTATGTCTTTCATGATATTTTTTACCACATTTTTTAAGCAAAAATATCACTCATTTCTTTCCCGACTTGACTTAACCTAATGGAGATGTTGCTAAACAAGGACAGTCACAGGTAGTAATGAAAACTATGCAAACATCCCGTAGGCAACAAGATGCTTAAGGTGCGATAAAAACATCGTGTGGCAGTCTTCTTGGCCATAGTAGAACCAAAGCGATGTACGTATTCGCTTGGCAGATGTCTATTAAATATCGATAGTCGAAGGCTTTTCCACATTGATCATACCAATAAACGCCATAACTACCTACGCCATAGCTACCCTGTGACAGCACGTGTTTCGAAAGGCCGACCCGGATCAAATCAAACCAAAAACTTCACATTTCTTCGGCATTTCATTCAGTCGACTTCGTATATGAACGCTTGAAATTGGACAATGACCTCTAGAGCAGAAAAATCATTTGACTGAACGTTTCGTGAGACCCTGTCGAAAATTATAGATTTCGTCAAAAGAAACTCGGGGTAATTGACATATGAAATTACTGTCAAGCGAACGGGGTCGAGATTATCAACTGCATCAGATCTACATGATTTTATGACATTATAGGACAGTGGTTACATTAAGTCGGAAGCTTTTTACAGGACTAATAAGTCTTCAGAAACTATTGTTCAGAGGAGCGCACAAATCTTTCTCTCTCGAATAAAAGGAGTAAGTGTGCTTTATTACCAAATTTTATATTATCGTTACCCAACTGACAACAAATAGCGAAAAGCATAAATTAATTGCGTCGCGTCACACAAACTCGTTCGCTTATTGCTACAGGCGCTTGTGTGTACGCTTTTAGGCTTTAGATATGCACGAGCAGAGATGGGATCTGAACTCATTGACACCTAAACAAATTTGCTTGATTCTCATAACTATAGACAGAGCGATTTCATCGCTTATCATAAAAATGTTGGTTTTCATACAAATTGAATGGAGAAAAGATGTGCACCCAATTAGACTTCCTTAACAAAATCTAGTGTTGTTCCAGCGCGACTAGATTGTGCAGTCGAAACGATTAAAATCATTCAAATGAAAACGAAGCTCATGTTCGCGCTTCGTAGGCCAATTTCCGACGACTATAGAGAAAATATTGTTGTAAGAAAGCAAATAAAAAATCAATTACATTATATTAGTTTTACTGTTATTAATATTTAAGAGAAAATGATATAACTGCAGTGCTTAAGTTTCTAGTTGTGAATATCGTTTAAACAGGTGATATGACACATACGTATACTTTTTGTTCGATTAAAATGTCTTTTGTACAGGAAATCATATAAAAGTGGTCAAAGTGTATTAACTTAAACTTTTATAGGAGCTCCTCAGGGCGAACAAGGAGATGATTTGTCTTGTACGATGAAGCACAGCTGAGAAAGTTTATTAGGAAATTCTTTTCATCTGTCCTCTTGCTCATAGTATAGCACTTTGCACGGTAATGTAATCTTTAATGTGGCTTAAGTGCCTGAAGGCAGTAGGTACAGGTTTTGTTCTGGAAGGGAAAACGACGTTGCCTAAATGTACTGGGTCCAATTTCCACAACCTATTACGCACAGTCATGCAACAGCATATAGCAGACCTTTGAAGCACAATAAATTACTCTGCCGCTTCTTCAAATTCGCTATACAATAAAAAATAACTGCTCACACTTTAATGAATAATAGAGTTTCCTTAGAATTACCTTATGTGTTAATTTAAGGTTCTGATCGCTTTAATACCATAATAATACACAAATTCTATTTTATATTGAAATTTTGCGCGGCCGTGCCTTTCGTTTTGCAAGGAATGAGCGCTGCCATTTCATTCTGCCAAATATCCCGAAGTCACGCACTGGATCCTACAACCTTAGAATAAAGAGAACGTAAGTGATGGCGCGTTTTTCGATAGTCAATTAAACAGATCGTGAAAAAAAACACCTAGTAAACTAGTTTCTCCGCACGCAGTCTACTCATACGTGAGGTAAATGGTCCTTTTGCCATAATCGGGTACATAGTACAGCACCGCAGAACTTTCACAGACCACATCACGCATGCGTACGATAACCTGTTTTACTAGTGCAGCGGCACAAAAGGGAGGATGTCATTGCGTACGGCTTTCGAATTAATCTACATGCTTGTCCTGCTTCAAAGCCATACAGGCCGTCCAGGTGCGGATGCCTCTGGCAACAATTCAAGGGAATTGATTATATATCGAGAATAGTAGCTGTCGCAATGCTAGCAATAGGTGAACGTAACACATGGAGGTCTTATTTTTGAGAAACAATGCCCACTGCTCAAGACTGAGTCTGATGAGACAACTTCTTCGAGAAACGTAAACAAGATGGCGATGGAAGTTCGCAGTTGACAAAACTACTTCATGGGGGCAGTAATATAAAAACGAGGCGGAGGGGAAGGACGAAAAACACGTAAGGAAGAAGTGTGAAACCTGGGTGCTAGAACCTCACAGAACATCTCGTATCTTACAAAATCCTCCTCTTCTTCCCGAATCTCGTCCACCAATGCCATCATCCTACCTGACAGTCACTTTCATAGTCAGCACTATCCTTGCCGAATACTGTACTTTCAAAATATGTATATGTCAATGAATGAGAAGGGCGGTAAAACGGTTATAATATTAGTTGTTTCTCATATCCCTTGTGAATACAACGATTCAAAGCACATCAGCAGCTGGTGGCGGCCGTACGCGGTAGGATACCTCGTAACCACACAGCAACTGTACCAGTATCATAGAGTTACACAGCCGCGATGGCTGTACGCTGCTCGCCATTCTGTTGCTGTTACTTTCAGCATCAGCCACTGTCAGACACATTTACGTCTAGCAACAGCGAGGGCGGCTGGTTTCTATTATGACAAACATGACGACGAAAATAGAAACGCTCAAACCGCTAAGCCGATGAATACGCTTTCGATCTTGTCCGCCAGTTCTCCGGCACTTCGCAAATCTGTCGGTTCAGCGCATACAGATACGCACGGACGGACGCACAGGTAGCTTCATTTAACTGACGCCGTCCACCCGTAACGTTTAGAACCGGATGGCAGGGTTTCATTCTATGGTAGTATTTACTATGCTTAGAATTATGCCGCCCGTAAGAAGCAAACGGAACGACCAACTGCACCGCAACGAACAGACAAATAAACATCGTTTTCGCCTGGCTAACGGTGGCGGAATGTTGAACTTATCCATTATTCGCAAAAGCGAGTACGTACGTTGAGCTACGAGCTGTACATTGATTATCGTACATGATAAGGCCCCATGACGGACTACTGTTACGCCAAAAACCGGATCGTATCATAGAAAAGTTTATATTTTACAATACATACGCACAACAAACAACATACGCATTAAAACGGCAATGAGACGAATTTCGACCACAAGAAGTTCTTTCGCCCATCGAGCTTGTCGTTTCATTGGATGCACACACCATAAATAAAAAAAACTCACAAATCAATGCAAGGAAATTAGCAAAAGCCACAATATTGCAGTAATAAGAATAATATAATAATTATGAGATATATATGCATATTATTTTTGCAAAGTATTACCTATTATATGTACATATTAATATGCACAACTATATCGTTTTTACGGTTGTAATTGCATTGCTAATTGTATGAAGCAAATAGCAAAATCCGAATGGAAAAAAATCCTTTCCTTTTTCAAAAACCTCCACTCGATATCTATATATAATCGTTAAATTTGCACGGATGCAGTAAACAACATAAAGTTCTTTACAACTTAGTTACATGAAAGTTACATGAGCATTGTACCACCGAAAGAATTCAAATGACGAAATGCTGGAGAGATTTGTCATCACAAATCCTTCCATCATAGTGGCGGAAGAATTCGCGGTAGTTACACTGATGTCTCCTCTCCCCCTCCTGTCTTCATCGTGTTGAAACATTCGGATCGATCCATCTATGTCTATCTGTTCGTCTCTCTGTCTGTTAAATTTTTAGGCAAAGCAACAGGTTGTTAACAGTATGCGCACTTTACCATACTCACCCATTATAGGCACATTTAAGCCTGATTTCATCACCGTTCTCGTGGGCCATAATAATAATGATGATTGTGTTAATAATTATGATGATGATGGTGATGATTGACCCGTCAGCGTGTGTTTTTGTTCCAATTCTGCCTGTTACGCTGTCACAAGAAACTAAACACACAGCTGTGTTGACAGATTCAGCTTGAGGCAGCGTAAATATCTCCTGTATGGCTTTACGTCAGCTCAGCGGGTGCGAAGCACGCTCCTGCACAATCTGTTCGTCCTTCCAGGAGGCGTCCACTACTACACCACGCAATGATGATGCTGATGTTGGTGATGACGATGATGATGACAGCAACAGCGGCAGCGCCTACTCGTAATGTACATTGTTGTTTTCCCGCCGCTGTTACCTGCTTACTTTTTTTATGTCCTTCTGACTTCCTTGCAGTACCAGTCAGCGGCAATCCGACGGGTGTACACACTGTCCTGTCGCAACTGCCGCTGGCAGAATCAGATCAGCGTCCGAGATATTTCGAGCAAAGTTTACTAATGTTGGATCAGGTTGTCCTTGATGGTCTGACATCTGCAACTGTATTTCATGACAAATGAGACACTGGTGAAATTTCTACTGAAGGGGCGAAGTCTGCATTTTTGAAAGACCTTTGTATACACCAGTTATTCTGTGTGCCACCGGTCAATGAGTGATAATAAATAACAAAGAACTTGTAGCGACTTTTGGATACGGATCCGCACATTAATCACAGTAACATGTTTCGTTGTGGATTAGAATTGGGGGCGAAACCATCTACTTCAATCAATGGGAACGAACAAGGTTAGATACGGTTTCGTGGGGTAATTCTTGAGCGAAGACGTTATTCCTGGTTGTTTGTCGTACATTGAAAAAGTTTTCCAATGCACCTTCGCTCATGGATATGACAGCATCACAATCGGTCGCACTCTAGTTCCCTATTGATTGTAGCTCGACGATTTGACACTAGCTAGCTTTGGCATCCCATCCCATCTTGACAGAACTGTTATATATATCGTATATATATAGTTAGTCGGTTCATGGTGAGTTTCCTGTACCAGCAACACTCGCAGCTAACATCAGCAACTCTCACAGACGACGTTCGTTCGCCAGACAAGACACACTCTCGCACAGACTGGCCGGAGAGGCACCCAAATATCCAAACATAGTAGTGTGTTGTCTGTCGGCAACACGTTGCGTTCCCGATGCAGGATACGCGAACGTATCCGCAGACAATTCCCGTCTCGTATAGGCAACTGAAAAGACAAAGGCTGTCGAACCTAGACAGGAACAACTGCTGTCTGCTTTTAGCGACACACCTCAGTGATTGGTGATCGCTTTATGGTCACGATCGGAAAGGGGTGCGGAGCACAAACACTCCCAAACGTCTCTTTGAACTGCCGGAGAACTGTGTTAGCTGCATGTGTACGGTGCTCCGCGACAACAATAAGCCAAACACGATAGTTAACGTGAACTGTTTTTCACAGCGTTTTAAAACGAAACAGTGATACAAAACGATGAGCGTAAGGGAGCCAGCGCGATCAAAACAAACCGCCAGCATGAGCAGTCACCGCAGCACTAATGGTACGGATGAAGGTTCGCTAGCAGACGAAATCCTCTTGTGAAACGGAACCGGATTTCTCTTACCTGATTACGAGGATGGCGGTCGCGGGGGGTGGCTGAGCTGGAATACTAATGCTGCCGCTGTTGTTGCTACCGCAACTAAGGGGTGACGGAGCTGTGACGACTGTATGTTGACAGGCCGTAAAAATAGAACAAATTTACCTGGCAGCAGGTAGGAGGCAACATGGCGGGAAACTATAAATACGAAAGCAATTCGAAATTTGTCATAACGCTATTTTTATGTCATAAGCTAATTATAATAAGAAAACCAGTTTATGTTGAAGCATAATAGAAGAAAAAGCTTATGTAAACGTATGCTTTAAGTTTCATTGAATCACAATAACGCGCAGGGAGGTTTTCTTTATTCTACTAATTATATTAGTCCAGAATTGTTGATACAAGCTTTAACACAGACTAAACAAGAACAGCTGAAACATGTTTGAGTAGCAAATTATCTACTAGCTCATTTTAGGCATGCTTAATGGGGGGAAACATTTTATACATCGAGTCGAAGCTGGCAAGACTAAATGGAATCACATAAAGTCGATCTGGCTTCTGTTTTCTAAAATTTGCCTTTTTCAAAACAATAACTACTCTTTTTTTAGGTTGCAGATAAGGAACAGAATGATTACGGCATGGTTCAAATTAGCGAACATAGAACGCAGATCGAAAGTAAGTTGTAATAAAATATTCAGGCCGATCTGACAAAGAAATTAGTTTAACTCACTCCTGCTGCTGCGGCGGCGCTTAATGATGTAGGTCGAATGTGTGCGCAGGCTCTTTCCTGTTGTTCCTTCGCTATGGGTCTCATGGTGTCGTAATCGTTTTTCTAATACTTCACTAGGTATTGTCTGTAAAGTAACAGTGAAGTAAAACGGCCTTCCAAAACGGTTTCAATAAATGTGCGCAGGGTTTATTTTGTAGATGCATTTCCTTAGTAAATTATACAACGTATATTTTATTATAAATGCACGTACACTAATGCAATTTACAGTAAATCATATTGCATTATTTTTTTTTTAATTAGACTTGAGCTACGGGACAGCAGTGGAAAAGCGTAAGTAGAATCATCTGCGATAGCAGAGAAGGCGATAGTCGGAACAAAACCAATCAAGTACGGCATTTCGCAAAGCTTCGATCTCTGATTAAATCATCAAGCTACTTTTTGTGAGACAAACGTTTTCTATCATGTGATATTAAAATATGATCATAATAAATTTCGAATATTCTCCTGGAGAGATTATTTGTAAAATTTTATTGACAAAATTCAAATTATTGGGAAATATTAAAACGTGGATACGGCCTACAATTATTAAAGATGTTCTTCGATTAGAAAAATTGAATAATTCAACAACCTTTAGGTTTTCGTGAACAGATTCGGGGGAATGAGAGTAAGGTAGATTTTCAAATTGAACCTCGTGACCTTCAAATGCAATAATTCCACAAAAAAGCTTCCGATTAATTTGTCTTCAAGATGTTATTTCGGGCCTCTTTGGCACATACTTTTATTGAACGTTTTTTCAGTTTAATAGTCATATCACCTACGGCACGGTGGGTAGCTATCCGTTTGGAGCACCTCATATATGGAAAGTATAGTTAAATGTATTTTGCCTAAAGGTAACTCTAGTGCCCTGATGATTATGAACTTGAATAATTTGAAAGACAACTTTTGGCGATGAAACGCGACCATAAAACGGTGGAACACTAAGCCTGGCTTGAAGATGTCGCAATTTAATAAAAGCAGCTAACACATTAGTTATTATCGAAGAATATTTATTCTGGTGCAAGCATTTTCGCATACTCTCCACATGCAGCCGTCTGTACAAAATAAATGAAATAATACTGTTTAAAATGTTCTGAAATTGCTACGCATCGTGTACAAACAGCAAGTCGGATTTTTTTTTGTAATTTCATTCTATCTTCTTTCCATTCAAGCTCATATTTGGCAAATGGCGCAACGGCCTCGGGGGCTTTAGCTGACAGTCAACCAAAACAGCTTTCATGCCTCTGCTGTGATTTGCTTCAACGTATTTCAGAATAAACTCTCTTTCTCTCTTACAAACACACACACTTTCTTTTCGCCTCTTTGTGATACGCCGAACCAGTTGCAGCATCTGCATCATGTATAATACAATCGACCCGTCACCGGCAATATATGCAGATTTGTAAGGGATACCATACATACAGAGTGGTAGGGCTATGACGACGTAACTGTGCGTTTCCGTTAAGTCGTTTATGTGCCAATTTTACCGCTGGAACAGGAAGTTTTACAGCCGTAGATACGCGCATGCTTCGTTCGCGAAATTAAAGAAATCGAAATCAAGAGCCTATAGGCATCCAGCTACACAGTTAACAACATTTGGCACTCTATCATTAACCCGCATGCTTATATAATAGCAAATGTAGGTAATAAGAAAAGATTTCAAACTCTAAAAAGTAGAAGAAAACCTTTCTTATCACAGAAATTTAATTATTCCGTTACTCTTTTGATCAGAGGCGTTCTTCTTATATAAAGGAAGTATCCTACGGATGAGGCTAGCAGCGAATTTTACGAGATCTTAAACACAGGTAAACACTTTGTCCTTTTACCACGGGCCCTGGCTTTCATATTCGGCCCTCTACTCCATCTAATTAAGCACAAAAAAAAAATGTTAAAAGAAGTACAAAAGTTCCTTCATTGTCCTGCGGCGATCCGTAAGCATGTTCACCTCTTCTTCTTCAACAGATGGCTCTGCTGGTGGATCCTCGCCTGTTCAAATAGTTCCGGCCGCTCGCCCGCCTATTCTCTTGTTTCACTTGTCTTACTAAATGCTTTTGTTACGCTCAGGACCCGCTCCTTTGGCTCAATCTTGACAGCTTCCTCAGCCATGCAACCGCGTAGAGCCCGGTTTATTCGACAGTCAACCGCAGACAGCTAGTGACCGCCAGTGTCTCCTTTGCTACGGGCAAGCTGTGACGACTAATACAGCACTAGCAATGCTTCGAGTCACCCTTAAGTCAGTCTTCAGTTCCTGGGCAGTTCGTCTCAGGCACAACGATGGTGGCAGCGAGGCCCCCCTACCACTGGCAGCGTCTACCCAATACAGGCTGCTCGGCTTGTGAACGAGAAGCAACGATAAAGAGAAAAGGTCATGACAAAAAAAACACTATTATTGGCCTCGTATTCGTCGTCTGTTCGCGAACCATGGTTTGCCCCTATCCTACCCAGTCAAGCCGACGGACGATAGGGGCTCAAAATCGCGGCGTTTTCTTAGCTCCAGGCTTCCTGCCTTCAGAACCTTCCTACTTTTGCCCAGTGAATAGGAGCGCGTCATTTTTGCAACTCGAAGACCACGAACACTACAGTCTACCCTGCTGCCATTACCGGCGTTACCACCTTCGCATCGTATCCGTGCCGATTGGTCTTTCGCCAACAGGCAGTTTGTGCACAGCAACGGGTGCTTTCTTTGCCTTTATAATCATAAAAGAGGCGAAAGTCCACAGAGAGTTGGCTGCAGTCTTTTTCTGCGATCATTGTCGGGGTCCTTCTTTTGGACGAACTCAACTTTACGTAGGACAAAACAAAGCAAGACGTCTCGTATCTCGGCTAAGATAGTTACTCCCCATAGATTTGTCGATGTAGCCGAAGCTAATATTAGCACTTGTCACCTGAAAAATGAATAAAAGTTAGTCTTTTGCGTAGAAAAACAAGGCGATATTAATAGGGCAATAACAAGCTGATTTTAAAACAAGATTTGAGCTTACTGCGAAATCGTTCTGATTATTACTTCCTTAGAAACGATGTACTAGAAGGCAAGCTTCGCATACTCCATACAAAAACTATACAAAATACTTCCAATTTTTCTATCGATTAATTTCAATATTTGTCGTTTATTAATAGTGCGCTCTGGAAGCAGGTCATGAGAGATGAGAGTAATATAATGACATTATCAAAAGTAAAACGTTTACTTTTCAAGAATAACGCAGTAAATGACGACCACGAGCTGGGCGTAGTTGTTTTGTCGACTGCTATGCTACAAGATTTGGACATATAAAATATCGTTCAGCTGCAGTTCAGCCATCGAACAGCTCCTCTAACCAAATCCGCAGCCATGGTGGTCAATTCAGTCTTTCTCAGATTAGAAATTAGATGCTTTCTTTATAAATTAGCTCGATATATACATTGACTCATATATATATATTACCCGAAAATGTTACTACCTAGATTACCTATGAAAGCATTAAAATTTTCTTTGATGAAGCTGCTTTCTATATGATTTGCCTTTTATCGCCTTAGTTCGAGAATTTGAGAGGGTCTAAGCTCTGGAGCAACCACAGAAGGTCAACCCTAATCGACACTGCTTCTAGTGTAACTTACCCGAAAGTTAAATTCATTCTAATCATTTGCAACAGTATTTATATAAGCATGGTTTCGCTATGAATTTCTCGTATGATATGTAGGTAAAGATTATTATGCGCTTAATAAGAAAATCGTACGTTGCGATGCGCGACATAGTTTGATCTGTGTAAAGGAATCTACGTTTCATTCCATTTCAACAGCCTGTGGATTGTTTGATATTTTTAGAAAATATTTAAAAACAAGTTGCCATTTTTTCTCCTAAGAATCCATTGTTTTGATCTATTAACATGTACTTGTGATGTGTGTGATAAACAAATATAAACTATGTTACGGTTACGGCATTGAGCAAATCAGCCTGCTATGGACGTCATTCGAAATGTACGAACGGTAAACGAAAATGATGTCACTTAGTGATCGACAATTCACAGTCTGTTTCGCTGGCACTCAACATTCAGGCTTCATAGATCGGTGCAGGTCACACGCCCGGCACGTTTACCAGTGAAGCGCATGCACGTCAAGCCTTTGCCCGTCGGCGATTCCAAATAGAGTGCGTCGTTACATAGAAATATCCGCGCTTAAGTTCCTGCCGTCTAGATAAGACTTATAATAAAAACACTTTTGGTTTTTTGCCGCTTTCTTCTGTTGATTGCAGCAGAAGCAGCAGAATGACAGCGTTACGACGGGAATATAGCGATACGATCGTGGGAAAATTATCATTAAGAACAGTGACAGGCCAAGAGCCAACTAAACGAACACGGGTTAGTCGGTCAGGCAAGAGAAACAATACGAAATGCACGACGTCGTATTCTACCATCGTGCCTGCCCATAGCTTAGGCCTGCTATGAAGTAGCTAATACGATACATATAGTAGAAATTTACCAGATGAAAAAGATTTACTTAAAGTGGAGCAATCTGCTTAATTTGGAAGGATTCGTAGCGCATTACTGCGTATAATGGCATTGTGTACTGATTTAAAATTATTTTTACGTCGTCCTTACGTTACCCAGCAAATTTGAGTGGGTAACGGACGCATAACACAACAAAGGCCAAAAAACGTCCTAGCCCAAAATAGAGCTTAAGGCGACGTTTTATCATATAGCCTTAAATATAACTGTACTTACATGATTAGTTTATTCAGAATCTTAACTTGTATTATGATGCTATTCCATTTAGAAAACAATTGCTAATACCTTCAATACTTGACTGATGGCTTGAGACAACCGAGATGCGCGAAGTCGCTTCTGCTCGACGGTTCCTAATTCATCCCGTCAGTCGATCGAACATAAGCGTTCGGGTTCCTGCATTCCCATTAGAATTTTATACACCTCGGGAGCGAGGCTATCCTTATGCAGCTCACGAATTATAATCGTGTATAGAAGCTACCCGACGATATACGAAAAAAACGTAAAAAAGATACTTGACTCCTATGGGAAGTAGAAGTGTAGCAGCAGTGAATGATTTAATCTGTTTCTACCAACACGTAACAGCATCGATGCAGTGACCGGAATCAACGACGCCTTCCTCTAATCTATACTATTATTAACTAAAGATCCGGATTATAAAAGCTCAAAGACGAGCGGTGCATTGGTTGGTAACTATTATAGTGCACTAAATTGAACCATTGCTAGGAACCTGTATACTATTTCAGGAGCAGAAGCATCATATCCCAACGGTGAGTACAAACATTTAATTCGTCACTTGAAAGAGCCTCTACATCATGCGGCACGTCGTAACGATCACCTCGACATAAGTCGTCACAAATAGGTATGGCTTTGATCCATTGATTATCCTCATTTGAAGGCCGTGCACTGACAGGTTCCTCTGGCTGTATGCAGCTATCGTACGTCCGTACTCCTTATGGCATACACTACTTGATTCTATACATAAAACGAAGCGATTCTGAGAACTTATTCGCACAGAGAAGACAGCCAACAATGCCAAATAAAAATAAAAATTGGAAAAAACAATTCATGGAAAGTTCTACAGATACAATAGCTCTACATTAAGTATCTTAACTTGTAGCTCGTGTGCGCATGGTTTACACACCGCTACATCATTTGCAAAGTGCAAATTATGTTAGCATATTCAAAACATGTCACAATCAATTTCAGTTTGTCATTTGTATGTTGGCAGGTGGGGGGAGCTAGTGCTCTAGGTCCATACTCAGAGTCGATGGGCTTACCGGAAGGATACACTGCGCCTAGGGATTTCCATTGTAAATTTCCAGTTGACCTTGAGTCAAAGCTTCATCCGTCAAAAACGTAGCTCGTTGGACCCCATGCCTCAATGATTTCTCACTTGTCTGAAGCCTCGCTTTCATACCGACCCTGAATGTCCCGTCTCTAAATTAACGCAAGAAAATATCAGCTTCAATCATATACTACCGTTCCATATTGTTGGCCTGAACTGGGCAATATTTTTATCACCAACCACATGCGTACGTGCTCGCAGGAGAGCCTTCATGTACGGCAGGGGTATTTCAAACACGAAGGATGAAGAAGCTCAAATCAATCAAGATTCATATATTTTCAAACCTCTCACTCTCCACTCTGCGTCCCATAGTTGAACGATTTCCAGAATGACGATACAGCACAATACCGGACGACCGATAAAGTTTCGATAATTCTACTGTTTTTTGGAACTGTAGGTCGGTAGAACAAATAGGAGGCGAGGCCGGTGCAATGAAGGTGAGGTTAGTGCTAAAGTTGATTGCGTCTTGAAAACGTAGTCTACCGATGACCCGATTGATTGGGTTCGTGCCCGATGATGTGAAATTAGAGCTAAGTAACAGTTGGGTAAGTGTTTGCATCTCGCATAATTCAACGTTGCCAAGTTATCACGCAATGCATTGGGTACGAGATTCATCCATGAACCTCTCACTCGATGTCGACTGCGGTTGTACAGAGCGAGTTACTCGTCGCTAACGATTATTTTGCAAACGACTTTAAACAAATATACGAACCAAAATGTATCGTCTGCTATATACGTGGCGATAGAACGTACCGCGTATCGGAAATCTACAAATAGGCTTTATTATCTTTGTTAGGCTGGAAAATCTTGCAGCATCCTGTGTTGAGCAGGTTTTAGAGATGTAAAGATGTTTCTAAATTTTTACGAAGATACTTGCCACATCCGATTCGAGTTTCAAATTTAAAGCGACATAAAGAGTGAAGGGATAATTTTTTTCAGTCTTTTATTTTATCTTTCTGAGTGGCCCTACTTCTTAGAAAATCACCGAGGCACTGCAAAAACAGTTTCAGACCTGTTTCGACTGATCTATTTTACGGTTACTATATATTTGCGGCGATCTTTCTGCAGTACTTTTAACGTCCGTATATATATATATATATATATATATATATATATGTATTTTTTCTAATTCATATTTGTTCAAAATTCAACGCTGCGACGAGGAAGATAAGTAATATTTATACATTAGATAGGAAAGTTTTTGCCGTTTACAATAATTTGAATATCATGTTTGTTACAACACGAGGATTATTGCAAGATACCTTTCATTAAAACTAATTAAAAGTACGATAAGTAAAAGTGGTCGTCAACTTATTTGTTTCAAAAGGAAAATTGTATTAAATAAATTTTTTTAACTATCAATTCGTGGAGGTAAATTTATGATTAATGCAATGTTGGTCCTGTTTAACTTGTTCTTTTTTACTCTAGCCCCATTAAACGTGTATTAGACGAAAGGCAAAAAAAAATCTTTAGAAACATACCCCTTTTTTTTTAATGATTTTTAAATATAAAAAATCGTTTGCATACATGATTGCGTAAGTAATACAGGTTGGAACACGCTGGCGTTAATTTTACATTAACTTCGTCCCCTGTTAAGTCCAGAGCGAGTTAATGTAAAGAGAAACCAATGGCCTCACTGCAGAAAAAATATTATTTTTCATTAACTTAAATACATTCATACACGTGTCTGACATATTCTATGGACGTTTTGAGCTTCAATACCACGCAGATATTTATAGACGAGAACCAGGTGAAAAGGCATCTTCACCAAATTCCATCAGGGAGAGGATCAACCCACTACATTTAATTAAAAATTAGTAAACTGTATTACTTATTTATTACGTAGAGTATTTTTCAAAGAACAATGCAATGTCGCACAATAAATGTCTAGTCCACTGCAGGTATGATTTTTATTTTCTCTACTTGCTGCCCACCTCAAATCTCATTGAAATTTAAGGTAACAATAGTGAATCAGTGGTAATTGGACAGCTCTTGAATACACTGAGTGAGATCAATGTAGCATTTAAGGTATTGAGAACGATTCTACTATTAGCCCCTCGGCATTAAGGTAAAGCTGACAATTCAGCTTTGCTTTTGGTCGTGGCATACGGGGCGCAGCAGGCGTTGCGCCAAAAATTGTGACGGTCTGAACTTCAATAGGCCCGAAAGAACTCTCTGTCCCCTCGGCTAGTGGTAAATGTTAACGGGTGGAGTCTAGTGACTGGCCAATTGAGTTAAGATAGTGAGAGAAAATGGTTTTAGTGAAGAGAGCTTATCCCGATAGGAATCTTCATAGGCGCCGCGCCGATGATCGAAGATGGATGTTTGAGAACAGTACTTATACAAGATATTTAGCTCACTACCCATTCTGAATCGGATTTTGTCGCTGGGTGCCCTATACACAACCGGTATCTGCCATATTTCGCACTGGATTATTATAATAAAGTTTTTCGACAAAAGAACTAGAGGACGTTGGTATGTATGAGCGGTCGTGAGACATATTGAAATTCAATTCGGGTGCAATAAAAAAGCTTATTACTTATTGAAAGGTTTCAACTTAGACGACAAAGAAGGCTATATTATGGTGTTTTTTTTAGAAACAAGATTCATACGCATCTACTTAGTGTCATAAGTGAAATTTCCACCTTGCTCACTTCGTCGTGCTATCCGCTCTAGTAACATCTGTGCAGTCTACCTAATACAAATATATACGACTTACCTGCATTTGCTTCTTTCAAATGCATGGGATGAATGGCTGTTTATGTCCGGTTTTAGGCAACATTCAATGGGTCCTATATTTACCTGCTAATCGTACGTACGCTTTGTGGTCTAGGTTCGAACCAATAGAGCATAGACAAGCAGACTTTGTTTCAGTCAGCCAGTCAACTGTCTGATAGAATGGCGATGCCGGACGTAAAAACTCGAAACGTAGAGGTAACATTCATCTAAATTGTATTGCAGGTTCCACGCAAACTAGGTTTTCTTACTCAAATAATGTTGCGCATGAAATAATGGATCATTAAAGATCATTTTGTATATATCTATATATATACGCGTTTCTTGCAAATCTCTTAAGGATGATACAAAATACCAAATAAAATTCATATGTATCTTTAAGACATACGGAACCAATTTTCCTCCGTGCACGGCTTTGCCGGAAAATTCAAATATTTGTTTAAATTCAGTATGTTATAGCGCCGAGTGCTACCCTATCAATTATATCGAACGCTTATCCGTCTGAGTATTTTTGACTATTTTTGCATCACTAACAATTACCTCTGTCTTGTCTTCGTCTGTGCTAGAAAAAATCGTAAGCACATAAAACGGTTGCGTTCGGTTAATATAAGTAGGTAGAGGAAATTTTCTTCAAATTTCCACAGGTAGTCTGGTCGGTTAGTTTCCATAGGTAACTGGTCGATTTATCAAAAGTCTATAGAGCTTAAATATATTCAGAATTCCTTCCATATGACACACACACCAATGCTTGAGTATGACTACTAGTGCAGGTAAATGTAAAAGTAAAAGAAGAAATGTTTGTTAAATTTTTTATTAAGTACAAACTCAGTATCTTTTGCTGACTTTTTGATTATAATTGTCTCATTGTCCGAGTGACTGTGAAGGAGATAGAATGCGCAAACTAACATGAGCATCCGGCGAGGGCTTGGAAAGGGTGGTCTTAAAAGAAAGGGTAGTCCTCTTCGTAGAAGCCCTCGAGCAAAGTCAATGGTAGCGGCAACGGCGCACGTGTGCTGAACACGGTTATAGCATACATTTAAGGTAGAGAAGAGGTAAGAGGTGCGCCAGAACCGTTGGTCACCTGTAAGCGGCACCTGCAAACGACAAAGGCAACAAACCAACAGCCTATTACAAATTAAGTATCAGGTGCAATTTTTTTCTTAAAAAGGTGCAACGATAACTGCGAAGACTTCAATGGATAAGTTCCCTTCGCGTGAACTATTACCTAGTTGTGAATTTTTACTAGCTGAGTGTGAAATGCACCGCCAGCCTTCGGTGTCTGTGAAGCGCGAATAACATTTGGATGGTTAATTTTACCGCAATAACTGTTCGACATATAAGATGCCTTTATCAATATGTGCATGTGTTATGTGACGAGGAAATCTACCAGAAGGAATAAAGAAAGCGTTTGTTCAGAATTTGTTTTAAGACATCCTGTAACAAAACGTTCGCTAAAGGGTTATTCGTGATCAGACAATTCAATTAAGCAAACTGCCCCTAATAACTGGAAATGATGGGTGTAGCAAGGGATAAACACCTCTTAACTTCCGGATACTTGCCGACTCTTAGAAGTGGCTTGTATAAGAACGCGATGTTAAATTTGTACCTCGTCCTGGCGTTCGTCACCATCATTTTACTTGACCCTCAAGCGTTGACTGTTTCGGTAGCTAAGTCGGCTGGGAGCACAACCGCGCACACATCCTTTCACTCAGATGCAATATCGAGGAACTACCAAGCCCGAGCCCGTCCTCTGATTACTCTTAGCTCAGGAGAGTATGATAATACGGAAGGCGGGGAAACTTCGAGTCGGGATAGTGACCATTACGGTGATGAGGAGGAGTCTACGTCGACAGGCAGATCGTTTAGCTTAGAAGACTGTGCCCGTTTGTTGACAAGCACAGCCCCTCCGGACTCTGGCGTGACCAGTTCGCGCACCATCGGCGGTGGTGGATTCGCAATTCGTATTGCAGGGATGCCAACGAAATACCTACACGGTGAAAGTTACACAGGTAAGGATAGCAAAGTACAGTGTCACTTTGTCTCAAAACTTACTAACGCATGCACCGGTGTACAGATTCGTGGAAAAAAACAAGGTTGCTCCATGCTGCTGTATCATACGACGCGCTGAAGTGCGAAACGTAACTTCGTACTATTAAGGCCGACCACAGTTCCACGTAAAAATACTCTAGTTGCTATCGCCAGAATAATTGAATTACTCAATAGCTCAACTGTCAACTCTAATTTTCCCTGTACCACTGTTCATCGGTGGGAGGAACATGTACTCTAACCGACGAGGTATTGTCGAATTATATTTCTCTAGTTTTATGCAAACTGTAGTAGAACAGTAAATCATTATTTTAAAGTGTTGATTTAAAAAAAAAAAAAAAAAAACGTGATTTTTTATTGCTGTTACATAGACTTCAGACGCTACCGAAAATGCTAAGCAACGCAATACGGAAATGCAACCGAAGTAGAAACTTAAACTTTTATTGTTATACATCGGTATATTATGCTGGTAATGGGAATGATAAAGGCATTATTTGAACACTGTTATATTGGTTGAACGTGATAAGGATATTACTGGATTAGGCTTATACCGAATTTTGGGTAAATAGCTTTCAAAAAACGGAATATGGTTTCTTTGTAATAGCTGCGTTTCTATTAAATGTGCCTAAAAAATAACTGTATGAATTATGAATGTACTATAAAGATGCAGTCCTAAAGTATGGGCGTGAATGCAAGTAAATATCTATTTAATGAGACACAGGCCTAATTAGGAGTCCCAGTGGTATTTAAAGTTTCCGTTAGTGTTCGTAATTGAGGACCACGATTTATAAACCCGCTCACCTGAGGTAATTGAACTTAGCGAACATAGTTGTTTGTCTCTTATCTAAAAATCTCTTAAATTTATACGATACTGGGTTTAGGAAAGCACTAGCCAGAGGAACTAACTAGAAGACACCTTTTTTTCAAGCGAATTGTGAGACCCTCTTAAGGACCTGTAAGGACAATATAAGGGAACGTTGTATTTATTCTGCGAACAAATAGTAAATTAAAATAAAACGCTATTGAACGAGTTCAACGTACCAAAAAAGGTTGAGTCAATGAAACACAATGGCCAATTCTCCTGCGCGAAAGAAAAGCACGAACTGTAACAGAAGCTGTACAAGGCTCAATGTTAACAAACCACTTAAGTTACCTTCACAAAACGGGAACCGAGGGTAAAGTGTTCCGCCATAAAAACCGCAGCTCGACAAGTTCAATATACGACTAAGTTTTTCGCAGTTCGGAAACGTTCACTAAAATACAGGCATACAAAAACGTTAGCCTAGGCTACTCTGTCGCGATAGACGTGTTTGAAGTTCAGATCACCGATATTGTTTTTTTTCAAGGCAAGCAAGATCTACATAATGTTGGAAATTACATTTGCCCCGGAAAGTAGTCCTGTTGTGGCGAAATTTACGTGTATGGAGAAAGTATATGGAAAAAAAGTCCAGTGGTAACTGCTTTTTAGATGTAGCAATTTTTCGGAGAAATCGAACCAGTGTGAAGTGTCCAGATCTCTATGCGTTTAGTAAAACCTTTATTGGATTAAAAGAACGTACAGAACAAATCGATGACAGGAGGGCTATTCTGTTATGTCATCCTATTTAACAAATGCGCCTTTGAAGGATATCGAAGAAAATAGGTCATTTACAGCTTTTACACATGAACTTAACATCAGCAAATGTATAATGCACATTTCTGGGCTTTTTATAGATCTCACCTATTTCTGCCTAATAATCAAAATATCAAAACACCGCTACAAAGAAGATCGCCTGTGTTCATTTTTCTTAAATAATAATAACTAGTTTCTATCGTTAATGTTCTAGTAACTTGCAATCAATTTTGAAGCTTTCGTTGTCACGATACTATGGAAAAGCGGGTTTCAAGATGAGTAGACAAACAGTCTGTAGCAGGAAAGGAGGTAATTGTAACTACGAGTTTTTCCAAGGTCCATCGAGTGATCGGTTTCTACCGGGGCGGGGGCTTTAAAACTATCTCGTATAATACTGCTTAGACTTTGGTAACTTGAGGGACTTATGCTCGACACCAACTGAACCTTGCAACCAAAAGCACACATGTCATAATGTTTAATGTTAGCCTCTAAATCCTTACAGATACCGTAATGATTCAATACTGAGATTATTGTTGTTATTAAGGTTATATAATTTTATATATAGTAGTTATAATTTTCGCATACATAGGTAATGTTGTGAATTAAAGAGCCGCATTTTTCCCGAAAAAATAAACAGTGCTTTCCGCCGGTCACATAGCGGTTACTTTCTTTGATACGGCTTGACGCCGGCAATCTTATAGTGGCTCTATTGTGCTTAAACCAATCACACAATAGGTTTTTTCTACATTTTTTTATGCCTGTTTTTCCTTGTCCGGTACCAAACTCGCAGGGAGAACCCAAATGAAGTCCATCTACGTAGGCAAGGAAACTCCACCCCGCCCGGCGAATGGCCATCTTAGTAAACACAGCATTAGCAGTAATGGTCACCGTAGGCTACCAAATATGAAATATCCGTTATTGCACCCCGGTCGGCGAGCACGCGTTGTCCATCCTCCCTTCACTGTAACTAGCTGACTGGCTTCTCCGCGTTACTTTTTCTGATGATGAGAGACTTTTACAGCGGTGGTAGGGGGTTTATTTCATTGACCCGACTATCTGTCTCTCTGTCGTCGAGGATGCGACGAGCTAGATGATGAAGCGACGTGAGCTGCGGATCCCGAACGCGCGTGGGAGTGGCTCTATAATGGCGTGGTCAGATGGGGGCGCGTCGTCTCGCATGGGAACCTTCCTCGAATACGTTATTCTTTGGACAAGCACAAACGCATGGCTATCTATCTAAAGCAGCCGCCTCCCTCCACGGGACGGGCGAGCTATCACCGACAAACACGCACTCATGTACGGCTTTCGCTGCGTCCAACCTGACAACCACTACCGTTGACTTTCATGAACAACAACAGTCCGGTTCTAAGCGCAAAGACCCGATACACGGCCACCGTCGAGCCACAAATAAGGGAGAAATAAACGAGTGAAAAATATAGAGTGCGCGTATGAGCACAAATCCAATTATCTAGCAGATTTATATTTAAGTTGTTTCTTCGGCCCCGATGATCGCTGGTGTTTAACTTAAGAGGCTCAGATAAAAAAAATTGTCTGGAACTCGAAGATGTATACTTTCTTAGTACATAATAATGCATTCTAACAAGTATAGATTAGAAACCAAAAACTTAGAAGCTTCAGCAATTTTTTTCTATTTCGAATCCTGCTCATTCATTGCAACTGTAAGCTGATAGTGCCTAAGCTTAAGATCTGAGTATGGTTTAGGGGAAGTTGAACTCGACGATCTGAACTTGTATTTCAATGAAACTATCTAACATGAATTAGAAGCAGAGCAAGGCTTTTATTTTGTGGGTATAACGTACAAATACAACTATACAAACGTTTTCAACGTAAGTCTGGTCGCGTAGAAGGGTATTGACTCTTATATTTCCCAATAACTGTGCTATTGAAATATCAGAGTTAATGGTGAGATGCAAGGAAAAAATTGATGGTCATAGGGCAACAACTGGATCGGGCGCATCTCGAGCTCTAGAACTTTGAGACAACGATTCTCAAAGTAGATCGTTTCGGGGAAACCCTGCCCCTATTATGCGTATCTGGGTAGTCTTTTTGCTACCGACAATGCCCTTGGGCAGGTTTCACCTGCGTCTTGTTTATGATATAAACGAATAAACTTTTTAGGTTTTTATTCATTCGGTGCATGCCTGCGGTGCAGGGGCATTGCCACTGGGGAACGTATGAAAATAGCATAAGCAAAACATTCTCAGAAAAACAAGTTGAAATGAAGTTATGGATCATTGATAATTCACTTATTACGGTCTTGTACTATACTTAGTATGTTAATGGAATAACGTGCCTGCCTGGTAGCCGATACTTCGTGGGTCCAAGGTCGGGTCAGATCATAGAAAATACTTAAAGATAATGTTATGATGAATCACGGCAAATTTGCCGAAATCAAACAGACCCTGGTATACGGGTCTTACTTCCATTTCGATTCCAACTATTGCAGTTCTAGTACCTCTGTGAAGTCAAACTGGCAGGCTCCACGAGCATGCCAAACTGTTAGAAATGGCCTAGCTATTGTTGGGCCTCCATCGGTAATAGGAAAAAAGTTTAGCGGGGTTCGATCTGAGATGCTAACGTTACGACGTTATCGTTTGCTGGTCGGAAGTGAGTTTAACTGATAACTTTGAGATAACACGATTTATAGAGAACAACGCACGGAAACCTTTATTACATTTTCCTAGCATTTTGATAGAGCTATTGTAGGGGCTATGGCGACATAGCTGACCTTTCGGCTAAAGCAAATTTTCTGTCTCAGTATTACTTCAAGCACCCCCTGAATATAGCAATTCTCCACCGCGACGTTTCATTGGATTTACGCTGTTGCTGAGCGCCGGATCAGACGACCATCACTCAGCACGCCACCGAGGCCGGAGCGTGACAGATATTAAAAGGCGCATTTCACACCGCGCAGCTTCCATGGAACACCCCCGGCGAGCTCAGGACATTGTCGGTGCTTTCCAGGTAAATGGTACATTGAGCAGAATTTGTTGCCGGTACGTGTATACATGGACGCATTAAGCGTGCTAAATATGTGAAGCATTTTCAAAATGTATGTGTACTATGTGACAGGGGTCAGGGTTTAATGATGTAGAAAAAAATAAACTAGGTAATTTTATCTCGTGGATTTTCACTGATTTAATTGACATTATTAATTATGGGCTGTCATCATATTAGTGCTTTTATATATTATACTGTTCAAAGTAGATTTTTCTACATTGTACTATAGACGTTCGGGGATGCGTTATCACGTCTTTTGTCGGATGACTGCGGTCACGTGGTTAATGCTGCATCTTCAGTCCCAAAAAGCGAAGTGAGCGTGATATGGACGGCGCCGCCTATTGGCGCTAGCTGCGTGATTTTTAGGTGAGAGAGGGTGACGCTGTACCAGACAATAATGCAAGTATATAATCATTTGTCTACAAATAGATCTTTTTCTATCTACTTGTTTATTATAGACTACTGTTTGTGTTATTATCATCTGGTTTGCGTTGCAGCGCCACCGTTATCGAGTCGCCGGAAACTTGGTTTGCAGACGATAACGAACTAACAAAGGTATCATAGCACTTTCTGCATGCAAAAATGCGTCAGTTGTACGCAATCCGACATTGGGCATTTTCTTTTACCTGGATCTAGGAAACAAATTACGAATTATCCTGTAGATTCCATGTACATATAGCCGAACGTCTAACACTTCACGAAATACACAATACTATTAATACAATACATAATATTTACTGATTGAGCTCGATTGGTCGCGACAGTTTGATCTAATGGTTCATTTTCGTATAATTAGGAGCTGTGTCCAGAAGAGCGTGAAGACGAGGACGTTCAGCCACCCCTCTTGGCTGAGTGCTGCGCTTGTGATGAAGCTAAATACGAGCTCATTTTTGAAGGACTCTGGTCTAAAAACACACATCCAATAGGTTATCCAGAGAGTAAGTGTTGGGTTTTTTGTAAGTACACCACGCGAACCTTACGTTTTAGAATTTCTTCTTGATTTAGCTATGATATGTGCTATCCCATACTTACCGGAATACTTGATATGTCGTTCTATCAACATCTATCTGCGAGCATCTGTTAGTGTTGGAAGGTCAAAGGTGATGAACAGAGTTGTCCATTTGCTTAAAACATACGTATATCTCATTCTAACAACATATAAATTAAAGGTTAGCCCCTAACTCATTACGACAGAACAAGCTACTCGTTAAGGGAATAGGACAAGCTACACTGTGTTCCTCCATTTTCTATTCAAGTCCATGCAATACCACGTTCTATTGATGCGTACTGTCGTTACGTTTCGAGCACTAAAGCGATGAGAATAGGATCTAGCCTGCTTAACGTGTAGCTATTAACTATTTTCACAGACGCATGGTTAACATACTTTTCGGATATAATCGGTGCTTCACATGCGGCCGACTTTCGGATGTGGCAATACGGAGGTCCTCCGTCAGATGGCGTTCGCAGCGTGGCTGAACAACGCTCAACCAGTAGGCTCGAGGCCGAGCTTAAAGCGCAGGTACATTAGGATTGATTGCGTGAAGCATTCTCGAAAATGATCTGTCTAAACATCAGTAACCAAATTTTTTGCGAAATATATTTGGGGCTTAAATTTAATAATTAGATGTTAGTGTTGATAAATAAACAATTTGCCTCACTGGCTAACTGGCTTTCATCAATCTCTTCATTTTTCTTATATCATTTCGAATACACAATTTAATATATAGTGAGCACCCTATGTTATATGTAATCCTAAGTCACTCGTTCAAAAATAAACTCGCCAATGGCAAACGTCGCATCTCAGTAGTGGTCTGATTATTTTTTGTTGCTAAAGTAATTAAACTTAAATAAAAGTGCTCATCTATCAAACATGAGTAAGTAGCTGATATTTTTTGCCTCTAGTCAGGAAAAATCCGGACAATAATTAAGGCTCGCGGTTTATGGCATCCAGCAGCAACCGATGGCGGACGGACGTTTGCTGTGTTCCGTGTCGACCGACGTCATCATGTCGTGTCAGCGCTCTCAGCCCTTGGACCTCCCTCGGCTCACACCCCCTCCTGGCTAGTGGGAGTAAGCGCTCTCGAACTTTGTCTCCGCAACTGTTCTTGGGTTGCATCAAAGACCATGAATCTCTACCCATGGCATGCGGTAGCAACGACGCCAGGAGTCAGCGGTGATACCGAAGAATCGACACATCCTATAATCATGGTCAGTCAACCTGTTGTCGCCAATTTATCACCTTATCATTCTACAGTTGTTCCATCTCAGTGACATGATACAGAAGACATATAGTAAGGAAAACAGAATATAAAAAATACCTAAAAGGAGGGATTTCATAGAATAAAGATGCGATGACATAGTGACTAACCTATTCAATCCTCTTACAGACCATTCTATATCGATGCGTTGAATATAGATATTAGTTATGCGTTTTTCTTTTTTTTCGTTTGTTTCTGCTGGGCATATCCCTTATATCGCATATATATATATATATATATATATATATATATATATATATATATATATATATATATATATATTACAGCTGCATCGTTCCGCACCTATAGTTCCTCAGTTGATCCGTCCGGTTGAAACAGCTGAGGCGTCGCCAATGAAACCAGTAGCAAGGCTAACCATTACAAGACAACGTCTTTACGAAAAGGTACTTTTTAACGCTTCTTGCCGAGCTGCGAGAATAGTCATACGACGTCAGGGGCAAAGAAACCGCCGTATCTATAACGAATTAAGATCACCGAAAAGCTGAGCAAATGATGCATACTGACTAATTCTTCAGACACTTCGAGGCACTGCGTGCGGCATCGTGCGAACTCATTTCCAATAACAAATTTCGCTGATTTTAAATCTGTTTGGGTGATAACTAAACTATGTACTTGTATAATGGGCATTTGCTAGCAATATCTGAGGGTCTGCCAGTAAATTTGTAGAGGGAAGCCAAATATTTGGCATTTGCTAGAGAAGACAATATCTATTCGACTTACGCATTATACCGTTTGTTTCTAATACCTTATAAACACACTCTAGAAGTTTACGTCCATGAAATGTACCCTATCAGCTTAGGAACTCTACAACGGTCGCCCGTTATGTTTTTGGGCGGCGTGGCCTGACAGACCGCGTCTATCATCGGAACTGATCAAATCTCACATGGGCTTTTTGTAACTGCTCATTTGAAATTGAAACATTGCTGCACTATACAGAAGACCTCTTTTTGATAAAGTTTTATATGGCGTGACCTGCAATTAGGCAAAGGATTTGTTATTATTGTTAAGAAAATAGTATGGACTATATGTCGGAAAGTTTAGCTTGACAAAGGAGCGAATCTTGACTCAATGTTAAAGTGTTTTTTTTTTTTAGCACGTTCAGTGAGTAATGAAGAAACGTAAATACGTTGTTACGGTATATCCGCGGCGACGACAACGACAAGTATAGTCCATTATGTATTTGCTGCAAAAGTGACCTGGAATAAGATAGTCATATTTTAAAAGAGTAATGCCATAGGGCAGCATATTGAGATTTTGGTTGTTTTTTTTTTTTTTTTCATATACTTGTCTTTTTTTTCATACTGTACGCGCGCCAATAACAGTAATTAGTATGTGTTTTAGGCTTGATGGCCAGAACAAAGCTGCGCATAAAAACAATCTTTCAGTTCTTAAATGACAAACAAAGATGGCGCAAAGTAGCCCCTACCAATGTAACTTTTATCACCGCTATGAATATACGCCAATGAATGCGAACTCTATTTAAGCGTACACTTATAAAGGCAATAATAAACGTTATTTTTTTTGTACGACTTCATTAAAAAGCACAGGTGCATTCCTTATGTCTAATACAAACTAACGAGAAATGTCATCAGAAACTTAAGGTTTGCCTTCACGGCAGAAAGATCAAAATTCGACCTAACCGCTATATTAAGATCAAACTCCTTTAAGAGCCTTCTGATAAACGCTAAATCGGTAATGGTGAGATAGTTACGACCAATTCACTTTGAAGACTGACAACAGGATCAACACACAGTTTTGTCGATAATATTCTGAAAGAGTACGTTGGTCGTTCATGCTATCTTTTCTTTTTTTAGTTATATATATATATATATTCTAAATTTTTTCCATACGTTTGTCACTTTGACAAAATAACCCCGGAAAATTTACAATACAAACACTTCGGAATTTAGCTAACAAACGGCTCTCAAGCTTTTTGTACAAAAATTCTTGTATATATATATATATATATATATAAATGTGTTTATAAATTAATTTATTGCAAATCTTACGTATAGCTGTGCCGGCCTAATGAAACCATATCTAATGAGAGCGTAACGCCTTTTGTAGGTCTCGTGTGATCCCGACGCTGCCGAACGGCCAAGATCTGGCTCGATCAAAGAAGATAAATGTTTGTACCTCATTAAAATTCTTGGCCTTAAAATTCCGTAGAGTTTACACTAAATATAGAATAACTCATGTCTCTTTATTGTCTAACATGCCAAATGTCTACGGACTGTTTCCATTTGACACTTTTCGTAGTCCAACGCACAAATGAGTCCTAGCTTCCTCACTAAGAGTGGGCCTATTCGAGCACGAATATCTGTGAGCCCTTCACGAATCTTAATAGCTTTGAAGCCTATTACGTTGTGGTATTAATTATCTTAAGTGAAATACCTACCACCTAACGAAAGATGACCTAGTCCGTCAGTTGTACTGTATTTGAATCCTAAACGAATTCAGCAACCCATCCAAATGCCAGACTCACCCCGTGGCGGTTTTCTCTTGCTTATGATCAGTTTCGTGGCATTATGACGCAAGGTTGGCGTATATACGTATATATGCATACACACAACTTCCCATGAATAGCTCTGAATTGTTATGCAGCGTACACATTGCATACCCCCAACGACTTGCAGTAAATGAAATCTCCCAAGTTGCACACGACGAAAAATAGATGGACGATAAATACAGCAGATTTTCAGGAAAGATAGATAAATATCTATTCATAATTTACGAGCTAGATGTACACATCAGTCCGGCCAAAAAAATACAGTGTCTACGTGTTTTAGCTATGCTTTCTATTCTAAAAAAGTGTTCTGTTTGTCCAAGCCGTACGGAGAAGGCTGCAACTAAATCTCCCGTAGCATACCTTCCATGTAATGCACTCAAGGTTCGAACTTGTGTGATACTCCGAGTCACCCCCAGATAAGGAAGGTGCCATACACCGTCAAGGCAAAAAAGGCGCTTCATAATAATCGTTACCGAGCTGAGACGGCTTCAAAAAGTAAACTTCAAATGCATGTACCATCATCTTAAACCATTCATCTATTTATCTTGTTATGACATGTCAGTGAGGGCGTCCGATCCCAATGCGACCCCACATGCAAGCGTCAATGAGACTGGCGTTTCCTCGTCGTGTAAGAGCATCTTTGGGCCATGGGGACCTTGGGGACCCTGTTCTGCTTCCTGTGGAGGCCACGGACTTCGATATCGAACGCGTTCTTTACTCGTTCCGTCAGACGATGATCAAGGCGCAGAGTGCTCCTCGCCTGAGGGCGAAGTCGATCCACAAACTCTACTTGAACAAAGCGAGGAGTGCGAAAACACGTGTACAAAGTAAGTCTGCTATCGTATAAGCATAGTGTACATATAATAGAATAAGTATAAGCGTATGTAACCATGATGCAAATATGTAGAAACCCTTGGAACAATACTAGAAAAAAAGCAAAAATAGATTATCATAAAGCGATGACTGAAGAGGCAGTACGGATCATATGCTGAGCAGACACACAAATACTGTTACCCGTTTAAATGTACTGAATCAGACGTTGATTAGATGAAGAATTTTGACGAGAAAAAAAAAAGTTTTACTTGCAATTTAATAATAACGGCAGCTAATCTCTTGTGCCTCGGGCACGATCTCAATTGTCCGTCCAAAATGAAGGTCCGTTCTTTGGTTAATGTTTGGCCAATACGAATCACGAATTTGCTCGGTGATGCTATAGTAATGTAGGTGAATCTGTTACTGGCAATGGTACTGAAGTTGACCACTGAGAGGCTAAATGCTGGGTCGGACAATTTTCTTGCGTTCGGACAATCAACTAGTCCCTCTTTAATGACTATGTACCCATAAGCATTTCTTTTCAGTGGTATCTCGTGTGAAACTACCGCCTGGTCACAATGGACAGAGTGTGCAGCTACCTGCAACAAGGTTTGTTCTCCGACGAGCTGCTAAGGCCACCTATTTACGGCCACCTATTTTACTAGTGTTTCGTATATGACATTATTCGGCGCTCATCTGTAGCGCTTAAACGATCCTTTTCCGTTTAAATACTGGGTGTATAATCCCGAGTTTATAATTGCTGACGATAAACTAGAGGTCAGCCTCTTTGATCACTAAGCATATACTTGTAAATGGTTAAAAGTTTTTATGTATCTAGTGGCTTTTTTAGGAACGTTTCTAATAACTTTTCTTAAAGGCTTCGACATTTCTAATGGGAAAAATATGATGCTAGATCAATTTCAATGAATACCTAGGTAAAGTTGGCATTTTTTTTGTCAAAAAGGGTTGAGCATGTGTAAATTATTCTAATATAATGTATTTTTCACTCCGCACAATAAGCACATAATAGATATAGAAAAAAAATAACTGGCTTTGACCTTTACCACGAAGACGAATATGGCAGAGGGATAACAGTAGGGCAAATAGTATCTGAGGTTGGTCCAAAAAAAATTGAATAAGGTAACGGAAATATTTCAAGAAGACAATACCTTGCTTTCATACCCTGATGAAAGCGCTAAATAATTAATACGAGGGCTGTGATAATAGCCAAAAATTGCTGACGCACTATAACAGAGTTTTTGAGCCCAGATGACTGAACAAAACGACGGAACTACACTATGTGGTTAACTTGGTCAAGTACGGTCATGGAAGGTCACAGAAAAATACTCGCAGAACTTCGTTGATATAGTAAATTTACTGAAAAAAAAATAGACGTACCGCAGCACTTTAATGAAAAAACAGCAATAGCACAAGGACGATCGTTGCTTTCCGTAATGTACAGTAAACACCTAATAGCGCCGAAAAAAGGTCAAGTCGGCTTCCAAGCAACTGTAATTTACAAAAGTTATTATTCTATGTTTTAATGACAAGCAAAAAAGATGTGTATAACTTCAACATGATGGTTTTTGCTCGATAGGGGATTCGGGCTCGTCGGCGGAAATATCTCGCATCGCAGCATATGGCTCGAAAAGTTTGTTCCGTAAATTTAGTGGAGAGAGAAGTTTGCGAAGCACCACAGGATATCGACTGCGCGTCGGAAAACGTGAGTGGGGATTGACCAGACGCTTTCAAGCCGCTGTGCACGTTTACTAAACTGATCAATCAATCTCCTTTAAACGACTTCCATTGTTAGCCTACGGATCGGTGCGTCAACTCTCAAATATAGTCTAAGAACATGACTTTCATAACTTGATTTTGGCCAGGTTTCCGCTTGGTGATACCAATAAAACCCCAACTAGTTTCTTCTGAGACCATTGATTGCAATTGAACGTTATGTCGGTCGAGGACTAATTCGTCACGCGACCTACTAACGCTGGTGCCACTAATTATACGCGCATGCGGTGACGCGACGCCATTGATGGCACATAGTCAAGACAAAGATAGCCATTCTAAATCACTCGTCGTTAAGGTTTCACCTTATTCACGCGTTTACAGATTTCATGGGAGTGTGCGGTCAGCGAATGGAGTGAATGGTCTCCATGTACCGCATCATGTGGCGCTGAAGGTGTCCGTTTTCGAACGCGGGCGCACCTCCGACCTCAGCTAGCAGCTCTTGCTCGTTGCGCCGTGCCCCAACTACACAAGGCCACTTGCAGGTCTGAGCAGGTAAACGTAGCTCGGCCTCGCGCGATAATCCTACAGATAGTAGATTTTTTTATTTTAAAAGAATATTTCTAAATTTTCAGTGCCTTCGTTAAAGCATCGCATTTGGCAAGTGGCCTGTAGAATGCTTACTACGCTAGTAAGCACAGGAGGCTACGCTATCACGCTTCAAATAATAGAATGCAAAAACATAAGATGCCATCTTCTCATGTTTATACCGCAGTCAATATCAAAGTGTTGACTGATTTATATAAACGTGACCATCCTGCAAATGGAATGGACTAATAGATAGGGTAGAAATTAATTGACTGTTCGTTGCAGACGGTTTGTGGGGATGACGAACGAAAAGCACAAGGTACGCATATATTTTAACTTTTACTCTTCGTATTACCCTCGGTTAATTGAGTCAAGCCTCTCACCCCCTACTCCTGTAGCGGAAATCTTTTCTATAATAATGAAATACAGGTTGAAGGAAATCGACATATGACCTAGATCGAACGTGAGAAATATCTACTAATGCTTGTAATAATTTCTTGGTGTTTTCGGACATACTTGCTGTAGAAGCTTGTTTCCTAGCTAACGAGCCCGGACCCTGCCGTGGCGCATTTCACCGTTTCTACTACGATATCCGTTTGGGAAAATGTATGAAATTCATGTGGGGAGGCTGTAGAGGAAATAAAAATCGATTTGAGACATTTGCAGAGTGCAAATCAAAATGCGGCCGAGCCCTTGAAGGTTTGTACATGCTATACAATTACCAGTATTCTGTTAATTTTGTGGATTTATACTCTTTACTTTAATCTTTTGCTCAAATATAGCAAGTCATCATGTTTCCAGATAAAAGCTCCAGGAAACCATGATTTTGTTTTAGTTAAAATATATGAAAGAAATCATTCGTTAGAGAAGTGTGAATATTAGAATCAATTATGTTTCTTTTTTTCTGTGCTTATGGGCCTGAGCTGTATTTTAGGCCAAGTGTATAAAATTTTGTTCTGCACGGGAAATATAAGGTAAACTTTTGCCCATTTGCGCCGAAAGATTTTCGTCTAGCTAACGGTTTAGTTGCTTAAGCCTTGATAACGGTGCTATACCCTAATATTATTTTTCTAGTAATTTTCGTATCTACATATATAAATTACGAATTCGATAACATCATGAATATGTCCAGTATATCTTAATTTATAATTCGATAAACGTTGGTAGCGATCAACTTTGAAGTTCATTTGGTACTCATCGATAAGCATCAGCTAGCCGTATAAAGTACAACTTAATATATTCTTTCTGTATAGTGTTAAGACTGAATCATCAGTTGCCCGTACCAACAACGGGGCCGTCGTTGTGGCTGTTTGATGGCAGTCGTTATGCAGGAAGGAATCATCCGGATTCAGTGCTCGGGCTAACTTCTGAAACGCCTTTATTTGAGCCGCCCTCCCCGATACCATCAAATGATGATCAAGACGACATGGATGAAGCCCCAGGTCCTCCAGTTGACTGTGTCGTGACCCGTTGGTCCGAATGGAGCCTCTGTAGTAAGGTAAGTATTGTCCAAAGTTTTCCCAAGTTCCGTAACGATTGCGTTCTGTGTGTAATAAATATATTTAAGTAATCGACATAATGTTGCAGTCGAGGGAACAATTCTCATCACAAAGGTGCATATGCTATTCTATCGACATAGCGAGTCATGGACATTTGCTCAGGTGCTTCGTTTAAACATCCATATCAGCTTCTCGTACTCGTGTGACCTCGAAAATAATTCATACAAACACGATCCCCCAAAAAATGGCAATTTTTATACCTATTTTATTAAAACAGCTGCTATAGCTGATGGCGCTTCATTTGATGTATGTCATGACACGTTTATGGCTGTTTTTCGTGGGGTACGGTGGCAGACATGTGGCAACGGGCGACGGTCACGTCGGCGTATGGTGAAGACGAATGCTCGTCGAGGGGGTCGGCCGTGTCCGCGAAAACTCGTTCAGCGAAGGAGATGTCACGATAATCCGCCCTGCTCCACCGAAGGCAACAGTAGTGGCACCAGCAGCAGCCGTCCACGTCAGAAAGCCACAACACGCAGCAGCAGCAGACTGCTAACTATAAATAGCGTAAGTTAAACGCGAGTCCACTACAGTAATATTGAACGTAAATCCAGATTGCAAAAGTTCATGGTCAGACTGAAAATATCACCAATGAAACATAATTAACACAAAAGTTCGAAAGTTAATTACGCATTGAGCTCAACGCACATTCCATTTGCTTGACTTTTCTCCTGTTTGGTCCCTGCTTCGTCTTGTAGCTGTTTAGTTGTTCAGTCAAAATAATAGGCGTTAGAAAAACATTTTTTACCTTAATCAAACAATAAAAATAGGCATTTACCTTAGCTTATTGTAGGTTTAGGGCAGTAGGTGGGAAATCGTTTTGTAAATGGCTCTGAGAAGTGCGGACCAGGTCGTAGGAGGTGAGCCTCCTCTTCTTCTTTTTTCAGTCAGTTGAACTTATGTATGTGCTTGAAATGTTATTGGTGCCCACTATTTTAGCTTAATCGTCCCTGGGCGCAAAAAACAAAGGCGCCTTTAAGTGACTTAGCTGAGCCTTCTGTAACAACCATTTTCGTCCTGTTGGACTGCCCTTCGCTGTTGCGTTGTTGTCGGTTGCAGGCAAACGGGTCTAGCTCGATGGTTTAGGTTGGCTTCTGGCACAGGACGTTCCGTCATTCCGCTAACGAGGACAGTGAAACGAATAACGGCATCGGTTAGCCCATTAGTAAATCATGTTAAAGTTACGCATATCACCAAATTATAACAAAATCAACATACACCCATAGTTCATTAGTTACAATCGTATACCGTATTCATACATTCTTATATATAGACGCTCTAAAAACAGCAGCGAACATTTCCGAGTATTGCACGTTGGTCGAACAGATCAATTATTTCAGTTAGCGACAGTCAGGCCTATGAACTAGTCGTGTTTATCTGTACGTGATCGTGTCGTCATTTACTGTTTCCGATAACTTTAGCTCTGGATCCGCGACTCTAGTGAGTGTATAGTACAGGTGAAAGAACTGCAAGCATGTAAGTTGCAAATATGATTTCTATATGGAGAGCTGTACATTTTGAGCTTGCAGAAAGTTACTTGGAAAATGAGCCTTAGCAAGGGCAAGGATGCATTCGCGTCATATCATATATGCCGCTATCACCAATATACTAACGTAATCAAATAAAGTTATCTAACAATTTGTTCGTACCATAAATGCACAGGAAAATAACTCGATACCACAATACGTATCTCTGTTTATCACGTTCCAACAAATTTGACAGCATGGTGGCCTTCTGGGGCGCAGATCTCCTGAAGGCTCGTCAAAATCCGATTGGCGTTAAGTCACGAGTGTCGACTCATCGGTGTCGAAGATGAAAGCTCACCCAAAGCGTTCTATCTTCCAATGAACCCACGCGTACCTATTTCTCAGATGAGGAATTTCTCTCAACAAGCAGAGTTCTAGATCTTGCCAAGTATAAGTACGGTATAATGATGTGCGCTCACGTGGAAAATATGCAATGATTAAAAAATTATTAAATATCTGAAAAAGTTAAGTTAAAAATTAATAGGCCACGTGCTGTTAGCTAGCTATTCGTGTCAATCAACCATACATGAAGCAAATTTTTGTTTTCTTTTTAACGTACTTAGACCTTGGCAAGTTTACTTGGATTTTCCCCCGTCGTAGCACAGTTTTCAATTTACGTAACCATTAAAAAAAAGCGCCAACCCAACTTGAACTAGTCTAGCAGATATACTGACAGGCCGGTTATGCTTTTGCGCCTTCTCCAAAAAACAGTATTCAGGAGGCTTGTTCTATAGATGATGAAACTAGGTTTACAGCACAACGATAGCTTTTCAAATGCTTGTTAGACGTACGTTCCCTCATGGCGTGGGCTACGCCTAGCCCATAACGCCAAATCCTTGTCAAATGGTTCGGCGAATCATTTTGCCCTAGCCTTTCGTATAACTGCTCAATTGTTCAAAGATGTTTAAGCACTGTCGTACAGGATACGCTCAGTAGGTTGTTGCTGTCAACCGAGTTGGCGTAGAAACCTCGTTTTACACAGTAGAATAGCGTTGGTCACAATCTTACCAACTATTGCATATTACATATCGACTATCATTTATATTACGTACAAAATTCTACCCAGCGATAGGCATACATTATAAGACACACAGTATCCGATTAAGAAAGTTAGACCCATATTCAAAGTTGCAAAATAAAAAAATGCCCACCTAGAAATTCTGCTGTGAGGAACCCAGCTTAACATGCAGATTGAAGACGTTTGTAAACGCATACTTATTAGTGGAATTATATGCGTCCTCGTATGTTGCCTGTGTATTTAAACGATTTACAACAGTCAAGACCGTCTTAGAATACAAACTCGCCTATATTGTGCGTGGTCGTACTTACTCCGGGCTACTTATCGCACACCAATGCCAACCGGTTGTTTTTCGCATTGCCAATATTATAATTATACGAGTATAATTATAGCGTTTCGACTGGAGTCACGTAACGGACGCATTTACGGACGGAGACCTAGTAAGCAATTAATTCTACTACTGAAGTTCAACTCATTGGCACAGTAAACATATAAGCAAAAATAGACACAATCGTCTTCCTATGATAGACTCCGTACTCATGAATAAACTTTGTATATTACAGTTACTTGTGAGCGTTGTCAATTATGGAATGGCCAACGTTGTGTCTTTCAACTTCTATCTGGATCGTGCACACGCAGGACGGTTTCAAGTCAACCATCTGCTTAGGTCTACTAACTGGCTTCTATATGCTCCCTCTAAACTTCAGGATCATAAAATCATTGATATCAACAAGCAGTTCCCAATAACTCATGGTTCAACACGTTAGCCACCGCTTCTATAGAATAATGTAGAGACTTCCGAACACGGTTTCGGTGCGTTCTGATAAAATAGCTTGCCGGCAGAGTGAAGTCTCTTTGCCTAATCGAAACCTCTGGTATTGGCGCTTATATTATATTGAATTACAGAATTGGAAGCTTACGGAAAGTTACGATGATCTCTGTAGGATGGCACCGAAAGTATCAAAACTATGAGCAATAGATGTGTGCGATAGTTCCCGAAAGTTCTTCGAACTTAGCCAGTGTAAGTTGGAAGCGCTAACTTCAAGGCGAGAGTGTGTCTCTTGGATTTGAGAGCAGCCATAAACTAGGGGCAGGTTTGCCGTAACTACAACATAAACGGTGCGTTCATGCCAAACGCTTTTAGCCAATATTTAGAAGCACACGATATTTATCTAATATGGGGAGACTTTCTAGTGAGAACCACTTGTAGAAGCCTGTTTTCCTTATTGCTCGCATAATTACACGAAACTGAGAAAAGTTGAAATTAACTTTACAGTCGTATAAGCCGAGACCCATTCGGTGTTTAGGTTGACGGCCATTTTTCGCAGCAACGATGAGGCAAAGATATATTTACGCAGACATGCATAACATATTCGTTTACCGTTGAAAACAATTTAATTGTGTAACTCCTAGCCGCAGTTAGTTTCTACTGTGTTATTAATTGAAATTATAAAGTACAAATATGAAATGATGCCAAGGGAGGTCCGCTTGGATCACAGTAAAACTTAGCTGAACTAACTGAGGACTATATCGTATCATAAGCAATAAAAAGTTAGGGACGACAATGAAAAGCATATACTGAAAAAGAAAGAAATCGCGACATATGGTACTTACTGTTGCGCTGCTTTTTCCTTCGTGTAAATGAATTAGAACAAAATGGGCTTAATATATCCTGCGGATGAACTATCTAGATTGTCCAACAAAGTAAACTAATCCACAGATTGGCTAGTGCACTGAACATTCGTCTACTGTGTTTTCTGGGTGAATTTACAACAAAATAGATGTTGTTCCTTAGGGAAGATTGTCTCATAGCCTCTAATAAGTACGTCTTCGACTTTGAGCCGTTTATATATTAACAGTGCATATGCACACGAAGTGCCCAGAAAATGCCATCAGTACATTATATTTTGTCAGGTCAACCCAGTTACAAATATGCACGTGTGTAGGAAAGGCTTGGTCCTAGTTGATTTCGACGCAGATCCCGAGTTTAATTATCAGTGTTCCTTTAAAAAAGTGCCTGGCAAGTCACTGATAGTGTACGCCTAATTGTCGCTCCCCTGTACGCGCTCTCGGTGCCGTTCGATCATCATATTAATTGTTGGACAAAAGCTTCGTGCACGCAAGCCGTTCTTGCTCATTCATGGCTCGGGCGGAGCCAAACACCAACGTTCGAATCTGTAAGGCCTTGACTGAAATACGAAGAAAGTCACACATTTTCCAAACGAAGCTCGACGGGCCTTTTTTATAGTTAGTCCGCTAATTGCCTTAGTGACTAGGGATAGGATGATATCAGCGACCTTATTCGACTACTATTGTCATTGTTATAATCTTTATTAAAGCTGAAACGTTCCAGCTCTTAGGAGAATGTAACCATCGTCCCCAGTAGGTTGTAGGTGCTACATGTGTGAAACATACGAGCAGATTTGGCATCTATTGTAATTTACGTATGCGTGTTCTCATTCGTATTGGATCCTTATGAGTCGAATTATTTCGAATTTTTGAAACCATTCTAAAGCAAATTATCGTTTTTATCAAGTAATGTCTTTGTCGAAATTAGAGAAGAGCTGTGCTTGATGATCGTGCCCTCTTCTCCATCGCAAAAAAGACGCCAAATGGTTCTTCTGTCTAATTGAAAGATCATAAAAGTGAAAGCTAAAAGCAGATCTGTCTACAGACTTCAACCGAGCATTTTTCTACGGCGTTAAAGGTTATACATGGAAAATCGTAATGTACCACAAAACCAGTAACATGGACTCCATGGTAATAGGCCAATAACGACATTCTGTAAGTCTTCATGGACGAAAATAAAAAGCCGTCACGTTATCCGAACAAATTTCCCTATTTCACCTTAATTAGGGTTAGGAGTGCGTTCGATTCCGGATAAAAAATCACAGCGGTGACAAGGCTCACACATCTGCCACTCAAGATGTTTGGGCGGCCAAAGAACGCCCTTCAAAAAAGCGTAGCTTCCATTGCCGATTGAAGATATAAAACTATCTGCAAGACGTTCAACTCGCGTTAACAGTACGTTGCCGTATCTTCACAGATTGGAGAAAAATCAAAGTAGTTATTCCGTGCTAGCGGCAATTAGTGACGGTTGGTAAATATCACATAGCTACGAGAGTTGCAATTTACGGATTTCAGTTGCTGATTTGCGAAAGACGGAAACACAGTGGGTCAGAAGGTGCATTTGTAAGTGTTGTAGAATTAAGTACCTTCAATATTTTTCCATATAGCGCAACCAAGTCAGATTAGTGAATAGCGCAAGATAGTGAAACAAACTTTTATCTACATTTATCTTTACTTTACTCTATTCTATTCGTTCGTTTAGGCTGTACGTGCGGTGTGTTACATAGCTTGTTAGTCGTACATACGTAACGTATAAAGCGATCCGTTAGTACGCGGGTAAGCAATAAGCACACACATATATATGAGCTTGTTACACTTTTCTAAGGTATGTTCTCTTCAGACTGTTCGCAGCAAGAGAAGGTGCCATCGGCTCCATCGGATCTCGTAACAACGGCGACCCAAACTCTAGCCACAAAAGATGCTGTTCGCGCCGCTGGGGGCCCGCTGGAGCTCGCCAACGCGCCCATTATGATCAGATGTAGCCCTTCGCGTGGTCTTGCCCGAGCGACAAGTTCTGCCACTATAAATCGCCTAAATACGCAATCCGTCTCCCGGGTTGAACTGAGTAAACCTATTGTGTTTGGCAATTCGGCTCGATATCTCGGCTTCACAAGAGACGACGGCCATACACACGAATGGACCCTTTACGTAAGGCCATATCAAAATGCTCACGACCTAGGCCATTACATAAAAAAGGTATGATCTTTGAATACGATAACATCAATCAATATTCACTAGAACAGGCCAAACTTCATTTCTAGCCACGTTGATGACGTGTAGGCCTGGTGAAGATGACAGAAATATGAAATTGTCATGCGAGTATGGTACTTTAAAATACCTTTCTTCCTTAATAGATCCGTTTTCGAATGTAGAAGGAAGTATCGAAAACATTATTAGAGCTGATGCGTAGCCGTTGGCGCTATTTTCTTCAATCCAAATACCTCTTTTTCGTGGCTGTGAACTTTCTACGGCCTCTGGTGTCTACACGTGCTATATTTGAGTACAGAGTTCTCACGTACATACGTATGTACGTACGTACGTACGTACGTGTATTGAAGAAGACGAACAATATGTCGGCGAACGGTGTCCAAATTACAGTTCTCGTTTCAAATATATATACAAGAGGTACATGGTTTTTCTGCCTGTGGCCATTCTGATAATTTTAGCTTTGTAGTTAATACAATCATCAACGAAACAACTAAATCAGATCTCTGTCCGGTACGTACAGACTGTTGCCGGGTTTGAGTCTAGCTCAACGCTAGCAATAACATAATCTGAGTGAATTTATGCTCTACCGGACGGCGGACAATTTCCGGCGCGACAGTTTTCGAGCGAAATCACCGTACTAATTGTCATTTTCCGATATTTGCCCTTGGATGATTTAATCATGGTGCTTATCTTTTCATCTAGGTAATATTTATCCTGGAACCGTACTATGCAAATGAGGAAGTCTTTCAGCCGCCCTTTGAAGTCAAACGGACAGGGTGGGGCGAATTCGATATCGACATTAAAGTTATTTTTCGTCATCGCTCGATGCGTGCGCTCACCCTACGCCACTACCTGCGATTGGTAGAATACGACGGACCTGACCAGACTCCCATTTATACCAGTCGCATGCAGTCAGAAAGTTACGATGAGATTGTCATCTCACGACCGTCGGCCAAAATTAAGGCCTTGTTCCGCGAAGAAACAGCCTCTCCTACGCGGGTCTATTCGACAATACAAAATCGCAGTAAGAACTCAGGAAGTAAAACTGACATCGTAAACCTACCAGTGTTATATATTTCACCACTGCCGTTGGCTTTGCTATCATCATACGCTATATATATTTAGTATAAATCACATTATTATTGTTATTATAATCATAATTACTGTGACGTAGAACAAAACACGATGTGCGCTCTCTTTAATAATCTTCACAGATTTGTTAGATCTTTTTTTAATGCCTAAATTCGATTTTAAAGTAGTCGTCCACTTTAGATTGTAAAAGCTGCTCGCTTTCCAGCTAAACGAGTCCTGTTCGAAGGAATCGTCAGTCGTACAGGCCACCGGCACTTTAGACATTATACTAGCTTCCTTAGGACTTCGACTTGCTGAATGTAGGAGTCGATCAGACACCGCTCTTCCGTTGGCTGCATAATCTGACTACAGTCTGAATACTTATGCCCACTAGCAGGGAACTACACAAACGAAACAACGGATTCATCTATCGCGGACCTCGTAAGGCAACAACAACAAATGCAACAACATTCAAAAGCGACTGAAGACGCTATATTGGATCAACACGCTGCTCGACGTGTAATCCAGCTAACAAATATATTGAAAGGAAAAAAGGTAAGTAACAGTCAAGTATGCAAGCCATGTTCATAGTAGTCTTAGTCGAGCTCTATATATATATATATATATATATATACATATATACAAAAAAGCAAAAATTGTTTTTCAGAAAGTGCTCGCCGAAATTCATCGAGTTAAACATCAGCTGCTGAAAAATCATCAGGAGATCAGAGCGCTACTTTCGATTGTTGACGCGCAGTCCTTCACCCCTGCAGCCGGGGAACAAACGTCAACGTCATCAGACGAACTAATTACGACTCAATAGAATAAAGCCCTCAGCGGATATTTACTAAGTATTGGCGTATGTTGTTTCTAACAAAGAGCTGAACGTAGCTTAAACAGCTTAAACAGACTGGTTAAGTCAGTGCGGAATGGACGAGATACATCCCAGAATGTATTGTGACTAAATGTGTATCATAAAAGTAGCTTAATATTAAATAGCAGTCAAAGATCCTTGGATCTCATAAAGCATATCCGTTTATAAGGACCCGCAGCAGGACATGTCAAATAGCCACACGTTCTGGTGCCATTTACTCACGTTGCCTTTTCTCTCCTGGCCAAAATGGCCAATTCCGACAAACGGTTATGAGCTTGGAAAGTTAAGATGAGAACCTCCGGTGCTTGACGTTTTTATTTCTCAAGAAAGTAGGAAGACGCGAACTCATCATAATAGAGCCTACCGCTCGTATGAGTCTCCGCAGTTTTCAGATGCGCATTTCAAAGCTAAGTTAGGAGATTTCGAGTCCGACCAGCAGGCGCCAGCTGCATCCGTAGAAACGAGACTTTCGGATCGATCTGATGATGATCAGGTACTTAGCAAGCTAAACGACGTCCAATTTGTGTGGCGTGTATTGCTTTGATATCTAAGGATGAAGAAAGACTTTATATTAGGCCATTTTTAAAACAAAAGCTGCATATTTTACAAGATAGTGGCCGAAAAACGTCGTGAACGTTAACATCTAAGTACTAGCTAAGTGGTAGTTATCATCCTGAAAATGTTTCCTTGCATGATTTGGTAACAGAACCGCAGATATGGTGAAGCACTGGATTAATTGATAGCAACGGGCGCGTCAAATGAACGACCGGTCTTCCGTCGGCATAACACGTTTCCCATACTATTGAGTTACCGATGCATTGTTCACCACGCTCTATTGGGATTACCGCCCCCGACAAATTTATCAATCATAGTATAGGACTTTACGTGGGCGGTTATATGGGAAACACGTGCGAAGATTTTTAGGCGGCAACCATGCCAAACTGCTAGGTAGGATGATCCGAAACAAAAAAAAAGAGCACACTAATCAATAAGTGCTTTTTTGATGAAACACTTCTCTTCATTTACATATAGGCGAAAACCCAAATAAGACTTTGTGATTCAGTCTATAGAACTTGTCAATAGTCCGATGGTACTTAATAGTTTTGAAGATATACGCGGAAAAATTAACATAGCAAAATTTTTATGGCACTCATCGTGGTCTCTAATTGTTTAGATTTGGTTTCTGTACTTATATATCCATGCTGGATACCCAATACAGGTTAAATATAGAATTGCTTACATTTTACCTACGACATAAAGCTACATATAGTTATCAGTCAGGACGGCATTAACACAGTGATGATGGCATGATGCCTTTGCAGATACCAACGTTGAGATGGCGTCCTATGAAAGATGGTGTGAGACTGAGCGTTTAGTCCTACATTTGCTTTGAATTACGCTGGTGAAATCCCTTTGCTTGCCAAATTGTTGACGTTTCCCGACTACTGGCTTCCAGGGAATTACAAGCAGACGTTACCTCACTACCTCCGCAATATTTCCTTAAATTTTCCGGCAGAATATTGACACCGCCGTTAGGAACAACGGCGAACAACACCGACAAAATGGCTGGTGTAAACAGGTTCCATATGGGAAATTCAGGGTCCCTATTTGGTCAGTAAGAAAGATGGCAGAAACATATATGCGCTATAAGAGACAGTCGCTTGCTTGCTTGCTTGCTTGTTGGTTCCTATTAACGTTTAGCGAGTCTGGCCAGTGCGGCATTATAACTCGAGTTGGCTCCCTGCGGAGCGAGCACGGAAATTGCTAAAACATACGAAAAGCTGTTCCGGCGAAATACCTCCGTTTAGACTGCTTACTGGCACTATTGATCTATAGGACAGATCACCGAGCCTGTGCGACCCGATACTGTTACGTAGTTTGCCGAGCACGTTAACGTTACTTTTACGCGTATTAGCTTCAGCCTGCTTTTATCCAGTCAGGAAGTAGGTAACATACTTCTGCGTTAAATATGTCCACATGTGATATGAACGAAATACTGGCATGTTGCGTTCCCAGATTAGGACCTTGTCATGTCCCCTGATTTAAGTATATCGATGCGACTGGCTCCAAGATGTTATTCTGATAAATATCATCTTCACGTAGGTCGTCAGCTAGACGAGGCCATCTTGACACAGACAAAAGATAGATAAATGAACATAAAAGTAATGTGTGTTTAGAAACAAATTGCCGTGCGCGATGTGCTGTTGTAAATGGGCATAAGTAGATGTTCTAAGCAGATATATTGGAACAAACAGTTTCGCCTGCTGGTACGCTTAATTATCAACTCGTACCTATCGTTACTATTAAACACTCTAACAACGATGCGGTCTAAGTAGACAAATTGCAGTGTTGTGTAATGATATAAATAGGTGATTACATATACTAAGTAGACACTATTAGGTGGAGTACACTCGTAAGAAAAACGTCCTGTCTTTTCTTTCGACAGCCGTGGAAAACGTCCCTACTTTCTGAACGATATCCAACATGGTTGTTTGCTTATTGCATTGTCAATAATATTATTCGTTCATTTTAACTATCTTCTTCAGGGAATTTCAGTAAGGGTCTTATCATGTTTAGGCCTGCTTGGGAACATCGGGCTTCTATTGCTACTTCTACGGGAAACTACTCCAGTGGCAACAAGAGACCGTTTGCTGCAAGAACATCATAACCGGTTGCCTGAAAAGGTCTGTTTAGGTTAATCTATCCAGCAGCGAGTTAACGGTGTCAATCCTCACTTACAGATATGAATTCATCCTTAATATAACTTCTACTAACAATATAGCTTGTCCTTAAACAATAGCTGATTATCACCCGTTGGCCGAATTGTACCTGGCTGAGTAGACTCGCCCCATGGAGAACCCATTTTGAATTATACGGGTTCGTTGGAATCATGTTCAGTTATGGCACATTTATGTATGATGATCAGTAAAGTATTAAGAAGTGCACTGACTGAGGTGTTCCTTCAAAAAGCGGCAAAGCAATCGAAGAGTTTGTTTCGCCCTACTTACGATGGACTGACAGATGGAAGGCGGCCTAGAGACTGCCGAACACACGCTATGTGCTGTGACGAGTCGGTGTGAATTACGCCCGTCGGTGCCTTTAGCTTTGAGGCGAAGCTTTAGCGGTACCTGATAGTATATTCAGTATTGCATGAAGCCTCTACCGTAGCTAAAGCAGACCGCCGCTAAAAATACAGGCAGCATTAAGTCTTTTTCCCAAAAACAGGGTGGAGAAGTGTTGTAATATTCCTCTTTAAAGTTCCTCCTCTTGCCAATGGAATATGCATGGATCCAGCAAACGTCCCTAAGCAAAGCTAGACGTGATGGAGTCTGACATTAACAGACTACGGCCGAAAGCAATACAGATTAGTCTTCCAGAATCGGCTAGATTGCTACGTCTGGACTAACCAGCCGTTCGGTCTATGCTGTTCAAGCTGACGACAGTTAGTTTCGGTAGAATATTTAATTGGTGAGTCGATAAGGCTTTGAAATAGGGATCAGTGTTGTGTGTGGGTGGGCCGCGGCAACCGCAAAATGGTCAACAGGACTGTTCGACGTTAGGGTGTCCAATAGGAGAACGTGTGCGTTGCCAATCATTTATAACAGACAATAACAACAACAGCATCGTTGGGTTCGAAGGGATACTGCCAACAACGAGTCGTCCCGTAGTACACGAGTTACTCGACGACTCCAGAACTTAGTTCGCGTAATAAACGCATTATGGCCACGAAATCATTGCAGGGGTTGCCACGAGATCGAATGCCCAAAAGAGGGCAGTTTGATTTAGCATAATATCCATTTCACCTTCCTGTAGAAATGCCCCTGTAGAAACGTCCAATCATTTTGACCTATACCAAAATGTCAGTAGAATTCGACAGAAACGAAAATTACTAATTGGCGTATGTCACGATATTTTTTGTTCATTTGTCAGAACCTATTATACTATTGACGTGTTACGTAATTGGCTAAACGTATAGCATTCAGGCTGGTCCCTCTACCGAAACTGCTTACGTTGGTCGGATACGTAGCTACTGGTACTGGAAAAATGTGAGAGGATTTGTTTGGAATCACATACTTCTTCAAATAAAGATGGTTTTTTCTTCATTATAGAGAAAAACAGAAGATTGTTGAATACACAACAGCCTCAAACGTCGAGCTGATACGCCGTAAATATATATGTACGTATATACATGTATATATAGTGGTGATAAACGTGTTGCTCATTACAGATGCTCTGCAATTTCGATAGGCTGTTAGGTATACCGAAACTAACGTACCTGTCAGTTTAGGCATCTAATACGTTTTTGTGAAGCATCCTTTTACTATTGTGAAGGCCTTATAGAAAAACTCCATTAGGTGCAATGCCCTTATAATTTGTCACTGGCCTTCTATGTTTGGAAAGTAAATTAACTATATATTTGCTTTCCAAGCTAGTACTGTCAAATGGTGACGTATGTGCTGGTAGATCTAGGGGTTCGAATTTCTGTAGATCGTTTTATAGGCAAGTACTGACTGGGCAACTTTGATTTTTTGTAGCCCTTCCGTTTGCCTGTAAATAACAAAAAATTCAATTCATTTAACTTTATCCGCACTACACATAATCATTGACCTTGATACTAACCTAACTAGTGGTATAATTGTCAGTTTTTATTGGTTTATGGTCGACGACCCATACAAAATAGTGAAATTATTAGTTTGATCGAAGTCAGTTTTTCGGTCTATCTTTCTTTGTTACTCTTCAAGACTAAACATAGCTTCGGCAACTCTTAAGAAGTCTCCCAAGGGCCGACTGTGCTAGTCTCAAATGCCAGCAACTCTGCAAGGATTCTGATATTTCCTATAGAAATATACTTGAAGCCATACTGCTTATCGTAGACAACCTTAGGGGCACTTTATCTTGACCTTTTACCGTCTCGACAACAATTTATCCATGCAGTTTCAAACAAGTGTG